TAAACTTATGTTTCTGTCATCGTCGCACGTGGATGGGTTTTGTTTTAGGCTATTAAAGCGTTACTAATGGTGTAATGTGTATTAAAACTACGCCTTCTGTCGGCGATACCACAATATTTGGTTATATCGGACCATATGGGATGTTTGTTCTGCAAGAACGAATGGATTAGTGATTAACATTTTTTTTTCCTGGACCACGAGCTATGGTGTAATATACATTATGGCTATCAGTATGTTCAACGTGCGGTATTTGATGCGGGCTGTGCGTAATTACACGACTACCGTAAAACGGACCGGAAAAAAATTAAATGTACACTAAATATTATTATCATAGTACGTCGTGTATATGGGCCAAAGAAATTGACCAAATGTCGGCGGCACAATGCGATAATTATGCAAGATACGCTACGGTTTGTATAAGTATAAACAGTGGGCACGAGACACAAACAGCAGCGGTGGCGGCAGACGAGTTTTTTGGCACACGCTCTTTCCGTTAAAGACGATCCCCCTTTTAGATTACTCAAATTTCCCTCCCATTAACATAATAATATTATCATTATTATTATTATTATTATACATGCCTGTTTTGTCAACGCACGCACGCACGAGTCGTAATATTATATAATAGGTACCACCTATATTATAGTGACATTAAACACTAGGACTACCAAAAAAACATTCCAAACATTGGCGGAGATCAGAAAGGGAAGGGGGATTGGGATTCTAATAAGCTTAAAACTTAAAATTAGCGCTACATTTATTTTTATTTTAACAAATCTCTCACTAAAAAATAAATGTAGATATTTTTAAAAACACTTATTTTGAGTTTACAGGTTTGTAGTAACCCAAGCCCCCCCCTCTGATCTCCACCAATAATTCCAAACATAGCTGCTCGCATTCTAATGGGATTTTATCAATACTATTATTTTGATCTACTCGATAGGTTTTCAATTTTTCATCGATGCCAACCACGGCGCATTATTAAGCGCACAGCATTTCGGTCGAAAGTTTGTCCAGCAATTATTTATTAATGTATTTATTATTATTAGCAAGTAGGATTTTAGGTGTGGTTTGACGAGAAGCTGTTGGAAAGAAGTAACAGGTCTGGCGAAAGGCCAACCACGTTGATACATGCAAGTGAAAGTTGGGCGACGAATAAGACTGATGGATGGGAAATGAGAGTAGTTGAAATCAAAATGTTGTGATGGATGTCAAAAAATTTTCCAAAAACACCTCATGGTCCCGACTCTGTAATTTAACCGCCGATAGTGAATCAAAATGAAACCTGCACAGTTAAAATTCTAATTAAGTGTACATTAATAATATTTTAAAAAAATATCTTATTTTTTTATTTTTAACCTGGAAATTTTGTTAGAAAACATTTTTGGGGTAAAAAAAAATATATTTTGCTTATATCGAGTGTAAGTTATGTTCTCATGACCCATATTATCTTTGAAGCAATTAAGTTTATTTTTACTATTAATTTACGGGTTTAAACACGGGTGGTTTGCTGAAAACTGTCTACTTTACAACACATATGTAACTAAAAAAAAATTGTCCAAATTTATATAATATTTTATATATTATGATTTACTGTAAAACATCTGGTAAAAGTTTGGTAATGAAGAAATTATTTTAAGGCTAGTAGTATAAGGGTTCAAATTTTCCGATTTACATTTATTAGAAATATACAAAATTTACACAACTATTCAATTTATTCCTTATATTATAATTGTGTCATAATACAAAATTATTGAACAGGCGCATCTAAATTAATAGTGACAATTTTTACCTAGCAATAGTATCTATAATATCTAGCTGTAGTGCCAAGTGCGAAAATAATAATCAATGGTGGGCATTGCTGATCGGCCGTCGGTGAAAAACGTATGGACTTGGTTAAATATAATAATAAAAAGATAAAATATATTTAAACCATCTTAACCTATACAACGTATTCATTAACAGTGGAATGAACACTAAATATTATGTTAATCCGAGCGAAGATTGGCTAACGCCGGCTGAATCACCACCGAAACCCACTTAAACAGTGAGAGCACAGACATAGATGAGTCAGAACTCAAATGTGTAGACTATGTCACGGATCCTTAAAAAAAAAAACTCTTTGCTCTCTCAGAAATTCGGTAACAATGTTACTTGAGGGGCTTGCCTGATCGATTGCTGACAATTTGTCCGTCCCTAAAGACCCTAAAGGAGTTTATAGAACGATTTAAACTTCCTTACAGCTACTAGCGAAGTCATTGACGGAAAACGAGTTAGCCGAGAGTCCCCCCCCCTCCCCCAATACTGTCTTCGCCACTTCTCTATTTGCATAGTAATTAGCTTAGTTATCAAATACAGTCCTATATTTTTTTTCTGTGGTCGGATAGTGTCAATAGTATCGTCCTTTTACAACGCTGGTGTATACAATATTATGGGTAGCTTAAAGAAATCCAGGTGCGTGCTCGGTGGCGGCGCCGATAAAAACAAAAACAGATTCGCTATTGTTTTCTCGTGACGGTAAACTTATACACACACATATAGACATTAGAGGTACATTATAGTTTACACGGTACTCGCTAGTGTTTGCCTTCCCCTCTGCCTCGGCGATCGTTCAAATTACCTGTGTAATCGGTCCAGGTGCGTTTCACATTGTACACACCGCGATCGGCGGCGACGGTGATTACTATCAGCTGTCAATCATATAATAATCCCGATAATACCAATAATTATTATTTTTATTACTACAGTGGGTGCCTGACAAAGCGTTTTATTGTTCGGCCCTTGGCCACGTGGTGGAGTTAATAACCCGACCGCCGTCGAGAAAACCTGCCGACCCACCCTCTTGCGCGTTTCCAAAGGGGTGTCACAAAAGAGTTGTACCCTACCCACCGGCGCACGGCTATCTGGTCAATTATTAATTATAGTTTTTTTTTTTGACGAACACAATAGTAATAATTTACCCGTATGATTTTCGAATTTTTTTTTTGTGGTCACGTCGGAAGTCAACGCCCCAAAAAAAAAGCACCGCAGCTGGACTAACCTAAGCCGATCTCGTCGATTCGGACAAAACAACAATTTAATAATAAACAATAATAATAATAATAGTATTGATGTGTTTTTTTTTCGAAATGATATACATACCTACTATAATATTATTATGTACCTATGCTCTTTTGTGTTAAAGTTTTTGCTGCTGTTTATCTACAGCGCAGTAGCTGTATACCGATTCGGCTATTGTTAACGAAAATATTGTTTTGTGGTTTCCGGTAAATTACACGTTGACTGACTCATACGTACGTTTTACACAATATATTACACATGTAATAGTATATAATATCCTAAAGGTTCGGCAATCCAACCCTTTGGAGTAGGTTACGCTGCAGAGTGATTTAAGCGTGCACCGAATGCATATAAATAAATAATTATGCGGTCGAATCTGGGCGGAATAAACGGAGGGTAAAAAAGGTATCAACTACCTACATGTACATTATACATAGTAATTACATTTAAAATACATACGTGTATTATAACATTATATATTGTACCTAATGCCATACGTGCGCCAAGACGGAGAGCCTTATGTTAAACGCGAGCCATCGCGATAGGGAAAAATATCCTATAAAACAAGGCAAACGATTATGTAATTGTTCCTATTTTTTTAGCCGCGTGCTCGGTAACCGTTCGACACGGTATAGTGTATACCGGTGAATGACAAAACAAGAAAATAAAATAAAAAATACACGCGCATTAATAACATCTTAATGAAATAAGTTAAAATCAGTGTTCCATCATATTACCCGAGGCGACTTGAATGTAAGTATTTGATACTTCTGTATAATATTACATTTTGATACAATATCGATTCGTTACAGATAATAAAATAATAATAATTTTTAACAAGAATAAATATCCTGGTAAAACACGGGACGGGTTTAATTGAGGTAAGTCGAAGTTAATAAAACGCTATTTGATTATGTATACATACTGCATACACCATAGGGAGGATGTACAATATTATGTATTTTACACTTAACACAATATACGGTGTGGATACACGTTAAGGGACCTTTCTCTTATTGTTTAATTGTATAGATTTTTATTTTTAATTAAAACAACTACGAGTTAAACTTGACCATATGTTGTATACGATGCGTCACGTACACCTAACCACGTACCTTATTGTTTTACCCTCGATGATTTGAATAGCTTAGGCGTGTGTAAGTACATTTTATCTTTTTTCATCTTAATTATTTATTCTGTGTGGCCATCGGTAGGTTGTATAAGTATAATATTGTTTTGTAGATTTACTAAATTCCTCGTGTTTATTGTTATCGTCGATAGAAAAACAGACGTCGCAGAGAAAGGTCGGCAGCAGAACCATTTTCCCTTAGGTCATCAACTTGTTAGTATAAGCCAGGCGCGTTTTATATATGAATAAATAAGGCTAACTAAGTGTGTATAATATACATATATATTTTTAATCTTATTTCTTATTGTACAATGCTGTTAACTTTTCTTTTAATAAAGCTATAAAAAAAAACAAAATTTATTTAATGCTAAAAGCCACTGGTTTACATAATATTTAGAATAGGTAAGCCCACCCCATCTCAGATTATGACCGAGTGTACTACAAGATAAGTTACAAAAACCGTTCATTTTTGAGATAAAAACCCCGACTCTGAGCCATTGGCATAACTCAAGTCACTATTTCACGGATGCTAAATAATTTATTATAGCCAGTTAGTTCAATTAACATCGAGAGGACGTTCTCATTCGTAAATAATAACAGTATAAATATTTTTCCAACAACACTTATTCATTTGGAATTTGACTATTTAAGTAGTACTTACGACCACACGAAAAATTTGAAATAAAAATATTCAACTGTAACGGTTACATTTAGCCGCCCGTTACCACTCGCCTCCTAATATTCATTATTGGCACTTTATCCTGTTTAGCATGTAAGCCATTATAGGTAGGGGAGACAATAGACACACGGGACAATGAGCCAGGAGCACCGATGCCCAGTCAGTTCACAGTTGACATCTTACCATCTTTGGACCGCGACCTAATTAATCTCAAGCCATTACTCAATACCTCGTGTTACTTAACTATTTTATATTTCTTTCGACTTTATCAGTACTCGTGTGTCCGTTCAACTCCACCGTTACCTGAACTAACTACAGAGAACGCTTTAGAATCCAGGTAGAGGTGTACTATATATATATATATATATAAAAAAAATAGTAAATCTATGTGTATATATATATATATATATATATATATATATATATATATATACATACATAGATTTACTTATTTAATAAACCTATTTTCGTTTTGTTGCACACTCGAGAGTTATTTAGAGGTACGATCGCCTGTTAATAGCTCCTCAAGCGATATAGTAAATATATAAAAGAGACTTAAGGGATATTTAAGTGTAGACACGGCTTAGCCATCCATCCCGTCTTCGGGTTCACTAATTTAACCCTATTGACTGTCGTTTCGGCCTAGCCTAGCCAACTAACCAAACAGACACGTTACAAAACGTTGTATTGTTTAGGTTACGGTTATTAAAATTGACTGAAATTAGAACAAGAATAACTTATGGTTTTAGATTTTTAACTTTTTTTTTTTCAACTTTTAATATTACAAAGTTGTTTTGAGTAATACTTTAATTAAATTCTCGTCAAATTTTAACATCGTTTTCGCCGTAAAAACGATTTATTTATAATTTTGTTTTGTGAGGCAAACAAAAATGATATTATTTTCCTTTTTTTATTTATTTCAGCTTTAATGCAAAGTTGAGAAGGTACTTGTTAAATATTTGTTATTTTCCGGACACCAAGAATGAATATGAGACAATAATCTGTGTAAATTGTTACAGATAAATACAAGAAAATTTGAGAGGTCTAAGCCTATTATTTCCGCCTACGTTATGCTAAAATATTTTAGTTATATAAAAATAGTTATATTAATAGTTTTATTGATATTCAACAATAAAACTATTAATTGTACAGTATATTTTTTTTTGAACCGAAGAAAAGAGTCGCCAATATTTTTTTGTAAACAGTTAAATTTTAAGCAAATAAAATTAATATTTTGATTTCCTTACTTTTGTATTTTCGTGTTTTAATGACATGCTTATAGTCGAATATACCGGGCTTCCCGCGTTAACTAAAAAAAAATGATAGTTAAAAAAATAAAAACTGATGACGCCCATTATTTGTGTGTAATTTGTGGTGATGATGTGCATAATAAATTGTCTTGTGTACCACAACACGAGAATATTGTCAGCGCCCAGTAACCTTGAAAACGAGTTGCATTTAAAAGCGTTGGGTAATGCACATTGTGGTTTCGACCTTTCACTTTTCGTGTATCCCACCGCGTTAGTGACTAGTGTTGGGCCGACTGTGACAGACAATACGTTCTACTTGGTTGTAGGCAATAGGCATACATGTACGTTACCGGCGAGCCCCGGGACATACTGTGCGTGTATTGTGTTTTCAAATTTGTGTGTACCTACCATAGCCGTTAGCCTATTATGGACCAGCGAACGGTATGACGCGCTGAAGCTCCGCGGACGATAGCCTACAATATTATAGCTCTGCTAGAGTTATGCGCCGTCTGTCCGCTGTCGACAAATCTCGGTTGCGCGTACTCGGCTGCACTGGCAGGGCACGTCGGCCGTCGGTTTCCCGCGCAAAACGACCGGTGGCAACACTGCGACGGCGGCGGCCGTGAGACACCCCTCCTACGGAGAACGACTTGTGGCGCGGGATCGCGCTCTCGCCGACCGTTAGAAACGATCGAATTTTAAATTCAAAATCGGCAACGTACAATCTGCCGCTGTCGGCGCCGTTCCATCGTCCGCCGGTCGTTCGCGTCTTTAACCGATAGGTGTTAGTCATTTTTCAATATTAATTAAAAGCAAATTGGTCGTTTCGTTTGGTCAATAGTTTTCCAGTGATAACAAACCCCAACAAAATGGTCTTGTCGGACGTGAACAACTTGGGCGGTACGAAGAAATCGGCGGCCGAACGTTGGCTGCGGCAGCGCAATGCTCAGCGGGCGTCGGCGGCGCGGTGCATATTCGGGCCACCGGAGAAACGGGCCCACCTCATGATGATTATGCGGAACGAGGCCGAAATGGAACGCAAACGGATCGAGTTCGCGTCCCGGTACGAACCGGTCGGACTGACGGCCGCCGAGCGTCGCACGTTCTACGACGGTCTCCTCAGATCGCCGCCTCACAATAATGTCGCCGGTGAGTTGTCGCATATAGTAATTCAATTAATCGATATTCTATTGGCATATGGCGGTTGGCTGACAAACGCGTTACGACGGACCCGTAAGCCGTATGGCCGGGGCGGCGTACGAACGGACGCACTTGGCCTTTTCGAAAATTCGTTTCAAAACTGTTTTGAATATGTATCGCATTATCAGTGTATGCCAAAGTGTGTTTTTGTGTAAACTACGATCACGCCATTTTTTTGACCGAAACTACTTTTATTATCGTAGTCGATTTAAAAACAAATTTGAACGTTCAGCACAATAATATCGTAACCCGCCGTGTGTGAGTGTACGTTTTTTCTTAACATGGATAATTTGTTACTATGGTAAGAAAAAATGCGTGTGTGTGTGTGTGTGTATTTAAACAGGGTCTACGTCTATGTCTATGTCTATTGCACGTGTTATTGCGCGATAAACGGCACCTGTTGATTACAATATTGTTGTTTGCTTTTTTTTCCTCTACGCGTAAAAAAATGGCGGATAAATTCGTAAAATTACAGACTACGACAAAATAAATTGTCTATGAGTAATGTAAACATAAATCGTGCGGTTTGCGTTTTTTTTTTTACAAAACCCCCAATGAGTCACATTATCATCTGACAGAAAATTCGAATTACAAAAAATGGAGGGAGATAACGATTAACGGCGGTTACAGTGATACGTTTTCCCGCTAAAAATTATACGGACCACCGCCGTTTAGACTACGACTAAATGATTATAGACACGGTAAAGACTTCTACTGCCTAGCGATGATTTCATTTATCGTCAGTTGACGGTGTTAATCGCAACTGCGGTAAAAAAATTGTCCATTGTAATATTTATACATAGTCGATTAAAACTCTTTGACAGAGAGGACATATGTTTTTTTTATACCCTTCCAAAAAAGAATATAATTGAGATTAGGTAAAACCTATATAGTATACAAATTAATATACATATTTATAGTTATAATTCTTGTTTACAATATTATTTACATTCAATCTTATATTCTAGATTATAACGATTTAAAAAAAAAAACAGGGAATAAATTATCAGTGGTGCCGCCCCTGATTTTGTAACAATGTCCATCCTTTGATTGACGCAATCAAATTATAATATTTTTATACATTCGTTACGTAATTTATGGAAGGATTAAAATTTGATGTAGTCAATTTTTTCCCGCCTATCGACCGCATGCGTGGGCGCACACTACCAAGCAATTGGCGGGAAAACGTGCGGTGTGTAGTATTGGTATTACAATTATTCAACATGGACCTCGGAAAATGTTTATTCAACATCAAAAATGCGTATGGTCTTGTTGAATGTTTGTGAATCAAACATTTTTCCGACTATCGCTATAATATCATTAACTTAAGCCAAAGCTAATACAAATGAATGTTTACTGAATGTCGAACCCACCAAAAAACCAAATTTGAAAACGTAAAACCGGTATACTATAAATCGGCGACTATAACGCTAGCGTTTTATACTGGTTGTTTTTATGGCTTATTGTTGTTTTTTTTTTTTTTTTAAAAAGAATATTATTAAACTGGCAAAAGATATAACAATATATTAATCGTTTTGCCGCTCGTTTGTCAATTCAAACGGCGTAAAACGATGCTAATGTTTAAAAAAAGAACAAAATGGGAGAAAAATTCAAGGTTCGCATTTTGTGTAGTAGTAACAACAGTACAACAGTATAGAGGGGGAGATGAGCAATATAATGGGTAGGAGCGATCGAAAAATTGGCGGGAACGCTGTCGTAGCACGCGTCTACTGACGGGGAAAAAAATTACATAAACGGGTTTAGAGAAAGAAAAAAAAAATGTATACATGCCAGGTATCCATATTATATTTATACAACACACGCGAGCTCGCAAACGACACAATATTATCCCTGTGTCAATATTAATCGCAGAATTTAATACAACTCAAGGTTGTAATTTGCACAGACGGCTACCGTGTTTGTGTAAATGTACGCTGGCGAACCGAATTGGCGGGAAAACGATCCCACGCAACCGTCAATAATAATATTTAAAATCAACGTAGACATATAAATATGTATAAATGTATGCATTTTTTGTATTCTGTTCCAACCGACAGTTTTATTATTGAACGCACAATATTTAAAAACTAGTTTCACTTATTTTCTAAAAGGCTATTACAAAAAAACGTCCATCCGCGTTTCCATTGCCCTGTTCGAGTGTTTCGCCGACTATATTCTAGCCAATGTGTTGATGTCTCATTGTTTTAAAAATGTGTGCACAAACGATTTATCGCAGGGTTTTTATATTTGATTAGCCGCTATAGTTATGTATTTAATATCGAGGACCCTAAAAGCCGACGGGTGCAAGTATACAAGTGCAATTTTCAATTAAATCCAGTTAAGTACCCGAGACATTATCGAATGCGAGTAATTATTTCAATCACCACATTTAGAAGTTGAATAAGTATATTAAAATAATAATTAAGTATGGATTATGAAATTGTATAAATTTCAAGGTCTTTCGCGAAATATAAACCCGATACGTTCAACGTTTTACTCGCATAACAAGTTTTTAAAATGATTCACATTAATCTTCCAAGAGATCACAATATTATTGCCTACCTAAACGAAAGTAATAAAAATTAAAAAAAATAGTAGGAAAACAACGCCAACGACTTCTTATAGTTCATTTTTTTTTTATTTACTTAGCTTATTAATTCGCCGTTAAAAAAATAATTTGGCGAACCATATGCGACCGACTCATATGATATATCGTAGCAACGGCTCACATTACTCATATTATTTTGTTTCCCCCTCGTATTATTCATGTAGCAGATTCGCCGGCAAAGACCACCGTCGTGGAAAGATAAGTAACGGCCAAGAAGCAGCACCGGTGTGTTTTGCAAAAACGGAAAAGTAATTTATAAATTACGGCAAAAAAAATAATAACATCGAATCGCTACCTCCTGGTGAATTTTAATCGGATTTTTCTTTTTAAACGCGTTTTATCTTTTATGTATATATATTTTTTTGATCGCGAAAGAGAAAAGGTTACCCAAAAAAGGTCTATGTTACGTCGTCCACGGTGCACGCTGTTTGTATATACGTTTATTTGTATTGCCCCGGGCTAAATTAACGCTCTAGTATAACGTGTTTTTTTTTGCCAAAATTTCGATTGTCCGTTTTTAAATTGAAATACACATAATGTATTTTTGTTCGTCAAAAGAACAAAAATCAATTGAACTCCTCTACGGGTACTACACGGGAGGAACCACGTGAACTGTGTGTGTACCTATATCTTTTACAAAGTATAATACGGGAAAACGTCGTTGTTGTCTTTTGTGTACGGGGAAAACTACGGTATAATAATGGATTTCGTCGGACACAATGGCACCGAATTCTCCCTACCTGTCGTCCGGGATAAAAGATCACGGTGGAAAAAAAGTAAACACACATCTTCCTGCCGCGTCCTTTGGACCCGAGAAGAGCCGCAGGACTTGCGGTGGGAGAGAAAAAAAAACATTTTTGCAGATGGTTAACGCGTCGGCGGCTGAACAACAGGTGGTTAATTTGCAGTAACTACGGCACAGCTGTTTCGGGACGTTTAAGTACAAAACCCGGTCGGGTACATATTTTCTGTCCTTGTTGCTCTCGAGTCTCATCCCACGCGTTTCCTGCGGATGTGGCGTGCGACGTCACTATCGGAAATCCTCGTTGAACGACCGAATTGTACGGTATATACCTGGTAGAAGACACTCACGTGACACATGGCTCTGTTATTTAAGTACGATATATGTGATATCGTTGCACCTAGGCCATACGTCGACGTACGACACAATAGAATAGTGCGGTGTATTTAGCACACCGTGCAGCTGTATTGTGGCTGTAACTACTTCAAGACCAAGTACATACATGTTCTAAAGAGAACGTCGTCCGTCGATGTTATAAGACTAGCTATGTCTGTGACTGTACCATTATGATCATAGAGTGGACTTTAGAGTTTTAAAATGTTCGAAACTTACAGAAAACAATATTATCCACAGTTTGTCGTCGGTTTTTATTGATATCTATAGCTAATAGCTTCATTTAATTATTAATCATTTGTTAATAGTTTTAAATTATTTTTTTTATGTCTTTAATTATTACTTTTATAAAAATGTATTTAAATACAGTATAAAAAAAAAACTGGCGATGATATAATATTGATTTTTTAAGTGCCAAAAATATTTACTACTATCACCATTACTGACAGGTTAGGTATTCTATAGGCAAATAGGATAGTGTTCAGCCGACTAATAATAATAATAATAATAATAATAGAACACCGAAAAAGGCGCTATAATAGTCTGATTAAAAAATGTACAGCCTACTAAAATGATAAAACATGGAACTTGCTTTAGCCTACTGGCTCCTGAACAGTGATTATTTCTGATCTATAATCTCCTTGTGATTTATGACGATAGTATAGTCTTAATTATATGTTCTGGCCAAAACGTTTGCATGACGACGACGACGACCTGTTATGTTATACGTTTAAAGTGGACGCGCTACTTTCGTGTCGTTACTTTGTGTCGTTTTCGAGCTGGGAGGCCAAAGCTAAAGCGTGTTCCTTGGTAAAAAAAAACGAACTACACATAATGGAACTACACAAATAGAAAAGGCTGTTGCCGCACTGCGAATTTATTAAGGAGTAAAATATAAGACATTTCTCGATGAAACTTGATATGGACCTCAAATGATCAATGTCTTATATTATCATGGCATATTATTTTTGTTTTCAACTCTTACAACACGGTTATTGAACACTCTTTGTTAAAAACCACGTCTCAGGAGATGCGCTTTTCCGAGAAACTGAGCGCAAAAGTGCATACAAACAATATTTTTATTATTAGAAACCGAGTTATGGATTTTTCATTGGATAATTATTTACCACTGTTCTAAATATTTGTACTGAAAACGACTCGTCGAAATGTTTAATCTTTGCAGTTTTAAAACGTTACTTATTGACCTAAATTCAGATCCTAATCATTTCAAAAATAACGTTGTTATTCATAACTTTCACATGAATATATTAAAATAGTATTTGGTGTTACTATATACACCATCCCCTTATTTTTTTAATGTTAACTGGTCCATGTATTATGTAGGTCGACGCGACGAGTATTTCTGTATAAATGATTTACTATTATTGTAATTAGATACCTACAACTTTTTATTATTATATTATTTTATTCTATACAAACGTCCGTGATTCATTAAACGTTGATGAGACGGCAGATAAAACACCGTAAAAGATACGGTTTTCTTGTGTATTGTTTTTTTCCCTTTGAACTATTCCGAAACTATTATATGAGAGAATGAGCGTGTACGATTGTAAATTAATACACCTATTTTTTTATAATTTTTTATGTTCAATTTCGCTTATAGTAACCGGCTTATCTGAAATAACAAACGATAAACTTTGACGCACGTTAAACGGAATAATAATATTATAGTAGTTATCGTTTCTCGTAGTAGTAGTATACGCATAATAATATTATATATTATGTACTATATGATAATATTTGAACACTATATATTATAATGTATAAATTGTGTTAATGATGGTAACACAAAAAACCTAGTGTAATAAAACTTGACTGGCGTATAAATAATTATTCAACTCGGTTATTTTGTATTGGAAATTGAAAAAAAAATGTACGTAGCTTTTACTAACACAATGCACAAGGTGAAATTCACAAGGTCATTGAAAATTATGAAATCTATATTCCTTAATGTTGTTTCGGAGGTGCATATTTTTTTTATTAGGTCAATCTAAAATGTATTATCATCAATTTTGTCGGTTATGGTTGGGTTTAATCGGGGTAAAATATAGATAATATGACGGGCGATGGCGGCTGAACGCGTTGGATCAAAATACAATTTATCAACAATCGTGTACTTACCTAACATGTTGTCTCGTTTCTATTTACATAGTCGGTAGAGTGACACACTTCTAAGATAAACACAATATAGGTGTAAACAAATACACGTGCGCCGCAGTTTCTGTTGTTTTGCTATAAAATTAACCCAAAGAACATTGTGCGACCGTCATTCTTATGTAACTTTTTTTTTTTCAGATAATCTTAAAAACAAGAAATCGGACCAGCAGCACAAAAAATGCAATAATCACAATCAACCCGAAGACGACGGCAGAAATCAAAAATAAATAAAAGAGCCCCTATACACTATTATAGGAGCATGCGCGCCCAAATTATCATGAAGATCTCTAGCCTAACACTAAAAAAAAAAAAAAAACCTAACAATTATCTTCTATACCTATCTAATATTATATCGTCTGTTTTGTATGTAGTTAAAGGTTTTGGGGAAAAATTGGGTCTTTTATTACTTATTATTATTATTTGATTTGTTTTATTTATTATTTGTACGAAGTCGGGAAACGTTTTATTTTCGGTTGACAAATTGATATATAACTAATGACTGTATAACTGGACTGTATAATTATATAATAGAACATCGTTTAAATTATAATAATTATATTGTTATGACAACAATAATTTCGAGAAATATAATAAATAATTAAACTATCGCGCTTAATAAAATCGATTTCAAAATTAATAGAGCAACAATGCCGCTATAATTTGCCATTTTTTTTATTCTGCAAATAAATATAGTATAAAAAAAAGCGGTATTGCCAAGATAACAGAGGTTAAAAAACTACTCTATCTAACGACGCATTATATGCAAGCTATTCATACACAATAAAATATAGCGTAGTTACATAAAACATTATAAGTTAATTTTTCCACTCATTACTCGTGAAAGCATTATCGTTTTTTTTTTTTAATTCTAGTATTATTTTTTAGAATTTTTTTTTCCTTGTTGTCACAAGAGATACTCATGATAGTGGCTATATATCATTGTAGCTATTTTAAGAAATTTATATGCAATATAAATGCTAGTCTAATAATTTGTTACGGAGAAAAAAAATATTTATGCGTTATTTAAGTATACATTGATGAATTTATATAAACAAAAAATATATTATTTATGGTATTGTAATAATTTTCCAACGAAATTATTTTGATTTTATTATTATTATTATTAGGGTTAAAAAAATTGTAATAGGTATTTAAAATGTATATTTACATATAAACTATGATTTGTGTATTAGCAATCACTATTATTATTATATTAATTTTTTAAGAAAAATATTTATATACATTTTAGTTATACTGAAATAGAGAAAAATGTCATAATGATATTAGACTATATATATATATTGTGTATGTTTTTAATTTGTCTTGATGTTTATTTTATATCTCTATCCTATGACGTGTGTTGATAATATGTTTACGACCGTATTTAATTATTATTAATGTTTTTAAATAACATGGTATTATACTAATCTTGCCTTTTGTCAATGCCCTACACTAGGTCTTGAAATATCATATTATGTAGTCAGCCTAATGTTTCTCATACCGCTTACAATGTATAGTTGCAATAATTTGGATCTTTAACAAATATGTATCACTTTAACGTGTATTTTTTAATTAGAAACTATAAAAATACAAAAAAAACAAATGAATATAGCAAACAATTGTGAATCAGTAGTTTAAGGTTTAAAGAACAATTATTGTTTTTGTATAAACTAACTGTATAACTGTTCTACCATAATGGTTCGCATCGCTACAATACCCAATTTAAGAGAGTCATGTTGTTACAGCTTATAACTAAAATACTACTATTGCTTTCATCGACCACTTGCTGTAATGTAATATTAACTGAAACTTATCCAGATTTCAAATTTGAACTCTTTTTCTAACTAGAAGGAAAAAAGTTTTCAGGAACTAAGTTTCCCTGTTTCAAAGACCTAGTTAGTAGTTACGCATGTGATGGTATAATTACTATAATATATTTCTTTTAAGTCATTTTTTCTTTTGTTTACTATACATTAAGTTGTACCGACACTAAATTGTATTTCTCGGTCTTTTTTAGCTATACCCATATTAGCTTCTCCTAGCTTAAAATTGACTAATGCCTATTCTCTATTATCATAGATAAAATATACATAATACAAATGTATATTATATTTAATCTACTCTATTATTAAATACTAATGAATAAGGATACACTGTAAAAAATAATTTTGTATTAAAAATATACCTAGCTGATTGGCCCATTTCAATAGTTAACGCTTTGTTTAAATTCTACATATTTATGTTCGTTAGTCATCAAAAACAACATTCGATAACTCGCATAATAATTAATATTATCAGACATTGCACACGCATTTACGTTTGTCCTATGTATATTATCAAGAAACTAGGCACTGCTCTCGAATTTTCTTTTAAAAGTAGAATAACTGATAACGATATTATTGCAGTCCTGTAGCCTGTATCCCTTTTGTGTTTTTTATATGATAAATTATATTTTAACGTCGTTTAATTATTGAAATCGGATAATCCTAAGTATAGTCAATATTATTTGCAGACTTTGGTCAAAAACACATATCGCTTTCAATCGCCTTAATGTAAGTAAGTGCTACATTTTTTTTTTATTTGAAACTCTGTCAATAACAATTTGTTTCTACGATTAGTGTTACGTTTTATTATATCAAAATTTAACGATCATTAACACGTATATGTAATGTATCGCCTTAATCCCTGTTAGTAGTTTTAACGTATGACGTTAAAAGGTTAAAAATGAAACACCGAGAAACCCACGGAAATATATTTCTACTCGACAGGTTTAATATAACAATACTCGGAAACAAAAGAGAGACGGGAGAGTTTTATCCCTCGTGGCATATTTTAAATTAAAAAAAATAGCTGATGCTATTTACAAAAGCGTCGAGCGTCTATATCTTTCAAACAGTAATCAACCGTTTTTTTAGACACAATAATCACAATTAATCTACGAATTACCTTATGGGCTTTTTTTAATTTCGGGGTGTACGAATAAAACGATAAATGTCGCAACAGACCCGAATGAACCGGTGCAGGCGGTAGGATAACGATATTGTTATTGCCACGACGGATGCGCTTTCCTCTAGGGGTCTTCTTTCCTGCGCCGCATAAATAGTACCGCGTCCCGCCTCTCCCGTGCATGTTGCCCGACGCGAGGAAGCGCACACGAAGACGTACATGTGCGGTGCACGTTGCAGGACGCAAAACGGCTAAGGTGATAGTGGAAAGACGATGTGCAATGTAACCCCCCCGGGCAAGAGATGACAAAACAAATGTGACGTCCGCATCCGGTCGTACGCGCGTCTTACGGCAGTACTCTATGCGGGACACACGGCGGTATCCTGTTTCGCGGTTACATTATGGCCCGTCAACAAAATCTCAATGAAGTCCCATTAATCTAACACGGATAATATCACGCGTGTGTGTAAAAATATAATATATATTGTCTTCTTCTGTTTTCCTACCCCATTCTTGCGGGGCTGACTTCGCGAATTACATTATTCGTCCATCGTCTTATACTATATTAACATGTTATGCTTCCCGGTTATTATTTTTACCACACTTTGAAAGGAAACTCTCATTGTTCCTGTTATTTTAAGTTGCACTCATCATACGATAAACACGAAATGTTTATGATTAATTAGTAATCGCAGTACAGTGATTACTAATTAACAGTGATTTCCTCGATGGAACCGGAATTGTAGACGTTGTGGACATTGCTACAATATAACATCTACACTATAATATTATGTGTAGAGTTTTATTAGACCAAAGTCGTAATAATGATATAGTCAGTCGTCTAATTATAATTTCAATGAAAACTGTTTTAAATTATCTTTCCCGTCCTAAGGCCAAGCCTGAACGACGTGGAATAATTTTGATTATTATTTAGTACAAGTACAGTAGTATGGCGTATAGCATGTAGGTAAAGTTAAACAGAGGCATATTTTTTTATAGAGAATTTACAGTTTTCCTTAGGTACATATTATGCCCATTTTCACTGTTGTCCGATAATTAAAGTAATTGTAATATATAAAATTATATTAGTAATTTAGTCATATTTTGTAAGCTATAAGCCATAATATTATTATTATTATTTTAATAAACGCTAAACATACACACTGATATCCCCTCTTAAAGATCTCCTGTTATAACCATTCCAGTTTTCCAGTTCAGTTTTCTCCTTTCACCCTCACAGTGTATCGTCTTTTCTTACTTTAATAATTTCTTTCATATTTTCTCACGTTTTCTTTTGCTTAATACCAGTGTGTATGTAGATCATTTTAAACTAAAAAAAAGATTATTAGTTATTTATCATCATTTATACCATTTCTCATTTCTACATCTATTTTTTAAATATTATTTATTTAATAGTCTGATGCTCATAGAGTCTGTTAATATCACGTTCGACACAGATAGAAGACCATCGGTAGTCATGGCCGCTTTCTTTGTGAAGTGGTGCTTTGATATCTGATGAGCTTAACTGCTGGCGTTGTTACTGATTTATCTAGTAATATTAAGTCCGATTTAGATAGAAGACCAGCGGAAGTCTTGGCCTTTTTCTTTGTAAAGTGGTGCCTTGATAACTGTTGAGCTTAACTGCTGATATATTACTATTGATTTACCTTGTGAAAAATAGTTATACTATCTCAGCTATTCTAGCAAGCGAGCTGTACACATTTAACATTATAGTAACTCAATTAGTGCTTATAAATTGTCGTTTGTCTTCCAGCCTGAACACGTGCAGTATTGATAGGCGCTTTACGCCAGTAGCTTAAGCACAGCACAGGAAGGTTGATAACCAATATGTGTCTCTGACCATATGGGCGTTGAACAGGTCATGAGAACACATTTAATAGCTTACATGTATAATTTAATTGTACGTGTATTATAATTGATTCTCTAAGATATCTCTTACATCAACAGGATCTGGTATTAGGATACATTATCTTAAACGATAGTAGTATAACAAAACAGTTGATTCATAGTGTATTATAAAGTATTTAATTAAATCCATTCTACAAAGCACACTCAGCAGAGGAGAGATTTATTCAAATCATCGCAGAATCGACTAAATGTACGTGAAGTTTACATATTATAACCACATAAGAGTAATAGTAGGATTAGAAGAAGATAGGATATTTTAATTACGCTCCCATATACAACATACACAACTAGAACATCATAACATAACAATTATAGTAGAATATCATCAACATAACATAATACTTCCATTACCCTTTCCTTTCTACGCAAAACTCCTATTGACCCTTTTAATTTTACTTATTACATAATGTTACGTGATGTTAAATAATTAACCTTATACCAATTTGTGTTGCATAAAATAAACAATCAATTAATTAAATGGAAATCCTAATGTTTTTACGTCGAAGTATTTTATTTATTATAAAAAATAGTAAAAAGTGTGTTGCATTAAAAACACAGTTGTTGCCGTTTAGCGTGGGCTGTACGTACAACGATAATGTAGAACCTTGAAAGTTAGTGTACACTGTACAGTAATGACATGTTGTGATATTTCAAATAAATATGATTATAATATTTATATAGCTGTTATTATTTGAGATTTGCTTAGAATGTAAATAGATAATTGGTAAATTATGTTTTTGGATAAATATTGACCAAATTACCTTACAAGAAAATAGCACGGTATGTATGTATAACCAACGAAGGAGAGGCGGGAGCTCTTGTAGTTAAATCTGAGAGGATTTGTTAGGGGGTTGGTGATTGTAATTATTGAAAAATGATTATAAAATTGTCACAACTGGCCGAAAAAGCCAGTATGTCGTTTTTTTTTTGTTGCAAGTTGGTTTAATAAATAAATCTTTACTGCTGAATTTAAAATTATGCATTAGCCACTATTATAAATACAATAAATTTATTATGTACAAACCACCGATATTAAATTATGATTAACGAACAAAATAGTATTTTATGTATATTGTGAAAACATATAAAAGTAACAAACAAATAAATTTTAAAATATACGAACATCCATAAATAAAAGTGTGAATACAAATTTTGTTTTTGTTTTAATTGAAACTAAATGCAAACGAATAATCCGACTTTCTATACATATATTATTGTGGATTTTATTATAATACTTGTTCATATGATTATTTTTATCGGCAGAACAATCAAGCACGTCTTTGTTTTAAACCTTTTTGGCACATAATATTTCATTGAAAAATACGGCACCGCGCAGATACGACGTTGGATTGTCAAAACAATAATAATAATAATAATAAAAATAATTAAATTATATGAACACACGGGCTGGTACGTATTCTGTTTTGTAAAATTACATTAATATTAATAATGGGATACACAATAGTTCAACGTGAACAAAAAATTGTGCAGGGAAACTCGTGAAAAACAAATAAATAGTTTTTGAACAAACAAAAACAAGTTGCACCAACGCCGCGTCTAAATATTATATTGAAAAAACATGATCATAGTGTGCTCACCTAGGACAGACTGTTCCGGACAGTCGTTTATGACTTGCGTTTAAACGCCATACTAATATGTATGTAATTCTCGACAAAAATAAATGTATTACTTTCTAATAGTACTATTGAGATTCATGATGATAATAATTAGCAAGAGCGATCATCATAGTAATTTAATTTCGCTGGCACAGATCAAAGTTGTATTACAGTGACACGATAAGTCTAAACTCGGATGTTTTCTCTGCAATGATGTGTTTTTATTTTTATTATGTAAAATCCGAAACAATGTAATTTAGAATTTCGGAGTTATAACGACGCACGTTACCGCGGCGAGTCAGAGTCGGGTTTGGGGAATTTGTCCAGTTCGTTGCGTATGGCTCGGATTAACGGGACGGCGGGGTCCTGGGGGGAGAGTTGGGCGTCCGTGCAGATGAACTCGGTGTTCAACGACGGCCGGTGGAAAGGACCCGCGCTCAACGGCCGAGGCGCGAACATTGACTGGTCCGAACCTGTCCACGCTTCGCCCGGCGGCGGTGCCCAACACGACGCTCCTCCCGAGGTCGTCTGATGGTCATCGTCGTTGGCCGACGAAGTCTTGGGCCTGTTTCCTCGAGGCAAATCGTTCGAATTGGCAGAAGATCTACACACGGGTAAAATATTATCATAAACTATTTAAAAAACACACACACACGTACTTGACGCTCATTTACGAGGTTTATATGATATCTGACACAAGTATCAATAAGTCTCGATCAGTATTAGACGAATCGATAACCTAAATCATTTTTGTACCTCTATGTAATATAGAGGTATACCTCATGGTTTACCATGGTAATCATGGTAAATGTAATTTAAAATCAGTTGTTAGTTAAAAACATGATATTTGTATAACTTAACTAAATTTAAACTTGTAAAAAAAAAAAAATGATGTCTTATGTCAAGAGCCTTATGATTTATGAATGTATTAATATTTTGTGTATTGTATGTAATGTCCACCTCTGAGTAAAGATTGTACTTTCAAATCCAGGATAAAATGACCGTGATAATTATTTAAAAAAAAAAACGAAATATCCCCTAAGTCCTAATGGAATACTTGAAATAAAATCGGTTAAGAGGAGGACGTCGTACCGGCTATTGATTAAGAAGTTCGGTACAGACAAATTAAAATCGAAATCGATTAAGGTAATGGGGAAAAGGGATTAATAAAAAAACATCCATTTTCAAGCGAGTGGACTAAAAGATGATAAGGGCGATTTACACGAAAATTGCAGCATTATTACTTATAGTTTATACGGACAACTTTTTGGCAAAAGTAGTTGCTCTTACAACTACAACGAAATCAATTAGAAAACAATCCTTTTTCTTATCTCAGGCTAGTAGCAATGTGAGTATACTATTATAATAGCTCACCTGAAAGGAGCCGATTTCGATCTTAACTCGTCGGTGTTCGTCGACGGTCGACTGCTGTCGTTGCTTTGCAAACTCGAGTTTCGACTGCCAAACAATGTGAACGCGTCGTCCAGCAGTTCGTGGAACTTTTGGCGCATTTTCGTCACATTGTTGTCCGCCGCGTCGAAAACGTCGAAACTCGTCAGGGACACGTTGTCTTGGTTCTTGGCTAGGGCGACCGAGTTGAAAAACAATTACGTTAAACAAGTGCTTGCGTTTTTTAAGCCGTTTATTTTTTAAATCTACAAAATAAAGAACGCTCACAATTGATGATTTGCATTTGTTTGCAGTGCAAATCCCACACAATGGGACCGACCACTCCGGGATCTTGACCTTCTCCAATGCTTTCGTGTCTGCTGATTGTCCGCACGTTTTTCTGTTCGTCGCGTTCGTGCAATACTTCCGTCAGCGGTCCGGGTATTAGATCTCTGCAAACAAAATAATAAAAAAAAAAAAAACCAACGTTTTGACATTAGCCGTGTAATTGATGACTTAATTACTATTGTTTTTTTCCACAAACACGAACGGCATTTTAATAGCTCGTCGTCAAATACTGCGGGCCAAATGTTGACAAACCAAAATCTCGCTTTGTATTTATTATACAAAACATTATTGCATTGTAATCAGACCAGCGGGTAATAGTGCGGCCGATTCGGATCGTGTAGGTATATCGCGCACCTGGCGAACGCCATTCGTACAACTGTTTTGTTTTTATCGTTCGTTGTCATTCAATATAGCATTACCCATTTATATACTTATTATTACCGAACGATCGGTTAATTAAAAGCCATATTACATGAATGCGTTTGGTTTTATTATATCAAGCCGACGATGATGTTTATAAAACCAGCATTCTGTATTGAAGTTTTTGTTTCTATAGTGCCTAGTGGTTTTATAAGTATATATAGGTGTGTTTGAAAAACGAGACGTTTAATATTAACGAAAAACATATGTATTTTCAGTTTCAACTTAAGTTAAGGTTTATTTCCATACAAGTTGCTTAATGCTTAATACGAATGCAGGTTATTTAAAAGAACTGACTCTCTTGGCTTAAGGCTTCATGCAGGGAAGATATAGATGCTGAATAATAAAGTATATTATATGTATATTTGTTTTACAATGTAAAATTTAACTCTAAGACTATTGCTTATATGTGTATTTGAAGTGATTTTTTTTCTAAAAGGGAAGGACCTCTGTTATTTCTAGATCCACCCGTGGTTACGCGATGAAAAGTTTTAGCGGTTCTTGTTTTGGTTCACAATTCGTACCTTCCTTGAACAATCTATGAATTTCTATCCGAAACGACCCCAGATTTATTACTTACTTTTGAAATTTATTCACCGCTTGCATGGAATGCAAAGTATTAGATATTTTGCTTCTGTTCCTCGGTTTCGGTTCTGGTGTACGAAAATCGGTAATGTCTTCTGTAGACGTGCCCTCGCTCTTCAACTTTAATCAATTAAATGGGGATTTTTTTTTTAATGCAATTATACATGATTTTTTACGTTATAATCAGTGGCGAAATTAGGGGCTAGGGATCTAAGCCCCCCCCCCCCCCAAGATGCTAGTTAGGCCCTACAAATAAGTTTTCATTGGTAGTATAATATAATATAATTATTAGCTAATTCCGCCACTATGGTTATAATAAAGATGTAACGCACGTCTTTTTGTGGAGTGTGATCTGCGCAAAAAGCCATGTTTGTTTTTGCCGAACTGATACTATTTTTCCTGCTTTTCTTCTTATGAGCTATAAGAACGGTCGTTACCAGTACCACGACGATCACAAAGGCCACGCTGACGTACGCGAACACCTGGCCGTTAGTCACCCCTTGCACTTTACGTACCAGCAACCCGTCGAGGTAAGCTAATCAACAATCACAAGAGGGCAACGAGTTATTGTGTTACATCGCATACACGTGTCATGTGACAATGTTGCAATAATATTGACTCACGTCGAGCTTTGATTTTGACGGCGTATCCCAGGTAGTAGGCGGCTTCTCGAGCGGACACCAGGCTCATGTCGTGCACCGCCGTCGCGGCGGACACCGGTCGGCCATTGACGCTGACGAAGTACACCAAATGAAAATCGCTGGATAACGGCAAAACGCTTACCTTGACTGCGATCCGGTTATCGTCGGCGTCCTGTCTACGATTTCGGTAATAATCCAGCTCGTCGTCGACTTTGATGGTCGTCCTATTCTGGTTGACTCCCAGGTGTCTGGCTTGCTGTCTACAACAACACACCAAACCAATAAATACAATAATGGTATACTAAACGCGAACGCCGATCATTATTATTATATGTTATTGATCAAACGCTTTGTAACGACGCGTATATCGCCGCACGTCGTTTTGGTGTTGATTGCGGCGATTACAGTGCGTCGCAAACCAGTACCGTTTCCAGAGGTAGGGAAGGTGCCCGGGCACATGCCACCAACCAAATAGTTAACAAAACACTTTATCGGGGAAGAAATTGCAATAAATTAGTGAAAGAAAGGGATGATCATGGTCCAGGTACCAGAGGGTTGGTAAATTTCAGGTTTCTCGATATACCCCTCTATTCTTCTCTAAAATACATTTCTGGCCACAGTAGTGTCGCAAACCGTAGCGTTAGGATATCAAAATTTGACGTTAGGTTTGACACGACCCAAACTACCTACAAAGGTAGGTGGGATAGTACCTTGTAAACGCCACGGCATAGAGCGCGGACAGCCTGTCTTCGATGACTGGCAACGTCACGTTGATACGCGACGACGCCTGGAGTTCCGTCACTATCCAATAAGTCTGGTCCGGTAAGTCAGCAGTTTCCGATATGTCGATCACCCCGCCGGCGATTGACGGGACGGTCGACGTGGGTCGAATGTTGCAGTCTTGTCCTCCTATGCAGTCCTCGGGGCTTTCCTATAACGAGTTATCTAAAATATAGTATCCAGGGTTGCAATTTCACTAAAAAATTGGAAGGGGGAACTTAACAAGGAACATTTTTCTTAAGGCCCCCTCCTGAATTCCGCACATGTGAGGTTTACTTACCGTGTAAGACTTCACAGGAGTTTTAGCGACCGGCGAAGACTCTTCAGGACCGTCACCGGAACCGGACCACAAGAAAACGTTCAGATTGGTAAAATTGTGGGCATCGTAATCGGCATTTTTGTCTAAAACAAAACAATGTTTTAATTTTGTATATAATAAATTAATAAAATAACATTTTTTTACTATTGTTAAACACTTATACCTTGTTGCTCGAGCGCTTGTGAGTCGCATTTAGGCACCAGCGTAATTAATTGCATCGTCGTTATTATGTACACCAAACACAACTGCTTTATATCCATGTATACATTCCAGGACGATCGCACGCGTTTGGGCACATGGACGACGGTCCTTCAACCTCCATTGTACCGTCGCAAATAGGCTTTTCCGACGACGACGACGAATGCCGTAACTCTGGTCTTTCCCATTTGGTATATCATCCGCTTTGACAGAAGAAAAGTACAAAAAAAAAAAACCCACAAAAACAGTGTACGCGCATAGGGCGCGTGCGCTTGTGTGCGCGGTGCTTGGAGCTCTGTATGTGCGGGCCAGCGGGTATCCATAGGCAACAACACACCCAAATAATAATAATTAATGTGCGTGTAGGAAATAGACTTCCGCACGCCACACGCGTAACGTGCGCATTATGCGTTTTCAAAATGACAAAAACCTGGTGTATCCTATATAAAACATACACCTATAATACCTATAGGGTTTATATCCTATAGGTATAAGTTGATTTGGTTATATATTTGAATGCAAATCGGCAAATCTTTTTGCCCTTGATGGACGAAATAATTGTTGTTTAATTGAGTATAAACAAATGGTAGCACAGTAAGTCGACGTGGTGAGCCCATTTATTGGTAGGTCCATTGATATAATTTAACATATTATACAAAAAACCATTGAAAAGTTTTTAAAAGCTTATTTTTTGAATTTAAAAATTTGTTTTAAACAAAACAGAATAATTAATTTAAATATTGAATTACCTAAAACCTGAAATGAACTATTTCAAAAACAATTTTTAGTTTAACGCTACACCTTTTGAGCAGGGCTTGCGCTAGGTATTTTATACTAGGGTCATTAGGGTAGTTTTAAAAAAAAGAAGCAATAAATTAAATTAAAACAATGAACTATTCATAGTTTTAACTGAAAGTTTTTAATGATAATATACAGATGTTATGTGGTCACACATACCGTTTTTTGTGCAAACACAAGGATAAGCATACTGAAAACATGACCGAATACTGAATACTCGTATATATATTATCATATAAACATTGTGGTAACATACGTGATACAACACTGATTTTTCTGAATTTTATAATAGTTTTTACACAGTTCAATCCAGCAATGCGAGTAAATTAGTATTATATTAGCGTTTCCCATTTATAGCATACTTAATGTGGGCATTAAAAGAAAAAGATAATTATACTATTCCCTCTCGAAGAGGTTTTTTTTAATTTCACGATTATTTGTTGGTTTACACTAAGTTTCAAAACTTACATTTTTTAATTAATTAATACAACTTTTCGAGTTGAAGGGGGAGATGCATAAGTTCTTGTATTTTTAGAAAGGCAAAAAGTACCTATTTTCTATCTGAATTTTTGAGAGAGCCATATGCTGTTTTTTAAAGAAAATCATTACAAATTAAGACATTGACAGTTTGTTAAAAATATTAACTACTAATAAAGTATCCTCAATACTATTTTAATAAATTAACGAAATAGTTTGAAATTAAAAAAAAAGATAGGAAAAAATTGCCTAAACCGAATGTATTACATGTGTCTTCCTCTTAGAACTAACTATTAATTACCATTATAATTACTATTTGCCAAATAAAAAAAACCATTAAAAGTATATTATGGATCCCATACCAACATATAAAGTTTGTTTATATTTAATTTCATATTGAATAAAGTTCAGTTAAAATTGTAACTATAGTTAAACATATCGCTTAATTAATAGGACTATACTGTATGAAGATTAATTAGAATATTTTCATCATGACAAAACATATTAAAACGTATGCAGGTTCTCTTATTTCTACATGTAACTTACTTATTTAAAGTTGTATTTCATTTTATTTAAACTTATTTAGTATCTATAGTATTTCATTTATACTGATAGTATGAATTACATGTAACTTATAAATATATACTAAGAGTTACATTATGTTCTTCGATTCGTATGACTAAGAAAATATATTATACCTACATAGATTTCAGAATTCTATTAAAGTAATAAATTATTATTGAGCTTCCAATGTGTTAGCATGTTCGATTTTCATTAATACATTATATTTCAGTACAGAGTATAGTAAAGTTTATCGATACACAGAAATAACTTGGATACCTGTTTTGCTGTTACATTCAGTTAATTTTATTTTTCACCCCCCGATCTATTTTCTGTGTCTTTTAGGCACACGAATCACGATTTTCACCTAAGAACTGCGTGCAAGACTTGTAATATTTTATCCAATACAACAAAGTAATAAATTATTATTATTTATTTTATATTTACACTATACATTATATACATTTTCTACACATTATTTTTGGTTGACAAACTAAAAATATATCATAAACCTTTTCACCTAGGGGTGGAATCTTATTTTTTAGTTAACTTTTTTAGATGAAGTTTTAGGGTTTAAAGTCTGAAAATTAAACCAAAGGTAAATCTACAATGAGATATATCTTATACAATTTTATTAAAAAACTATAGTCAAACTTTTTTTTTTATTAAGGAACTCCCCCCCTCCCAAAAATAGGGGAAAATTACACTTTGGCCGTAATCAATTTCTATGTTGCAGCAATGTGTGAGTGAATCAACAGCCATCGGGTATTTAAAAATATTTTTATTTTATTGTTAATTACGATAAATTGGTAACTATGGTAATAAATTATTTTAGACAGACGATCAATCCTGCTCATATCCACCCAGCACCTTTTTACAAAAAATTCTTTTAAGCACATTTTTGTCAGGTACAATGCTTTTATCGATATTTGAATTTCTGTCATTACAGATTCACATCGAAACGTTATTTGGAAGTGATTTTATCACTTATTATTGTACCTAATAATTAATATAGATCTGTGACCTCATTTATTGATTTTGATTAAGTGTGGAGGGAGAACAAGGAATATTATTACCAAAGATAACCTTTCTGGAATATAATGCAAGCTATTAGATATAAATTATTAATATACCCAAATCCCAATATACAGTTTTAATATTATTTTGGTAATATGTGGATTATGTCTATGCTCTGCTAAGCAATTATGGTAATTTTACTTGGTTTAATCGGTTTTTAAAAGATTGTTTTTGAGTTACGGCACTTTTGCTTAGCAGGACAGTGTAGGTACCCATGTTAAAAATAGCAATTAATTTTATTTATGTATGATTAGTGGTTTCTCTCTTTCTCTCCCTTAGTGCTGCCTGCTGGGCATGTAAAAAACTCGAGTTTTGTATGGTACACATTTTTTATTTTGAAAGATTATTTCAAAGAGGCGACGCCTAGTTGCTGGACACACATTGTGTAAAAACTAATCTTTTATTATTAAAAAATAAAGAAGTTATTTAGGTTCTTTATGACCCTTGTTTAAGTAATACAATTTTATTTATAATAATTTATAAATGAAGTCTCGATGAATAATGTGAAAGTATGTACGTACAAACTACTACCATTGATTATAAATATTAATAATCAATGGTACTACGTACAAAACACAATTTTCATCTTCACTTTTCTTCATTTGGTTTATTTCTCACATTCTCAACCAAATAACATAGTGGCTGGTTGGTCTTAAATTATTTTCCACAATAAACATGGTTAAGGTACATTTACCATACGGTATCAGTTTCTACTATAAAATGATATTGATAACGTTATGATTGTTATCATGGTTACTATTAAAATTCAAAAATGGATTTTACGACATTAATAATGTGGAAGTATTAAACAATTCTACTAAGTTAATATTATTGTTCTCATTATTGATCAAAACTCATTGTTATTACTTAAATATTCCATACGGTTACAATGGAAAACTTATCAATTCCGACTTTGAGAGTTCTCTACAAACATTATGTGAACTGGGTTAGTTCTAATCCCGAGCGTACCACAGATATAGAAGCCTCTATAAAATGGGTATCTTATTTTCTAGCAGGTAACTATTTCTGTTATTAAATACGAGTTTGTTTTATTTTAAAATTTATATTTTTTTACAGGCCGAATCAACAACTCAACTTTATTGTCGGAACTTGTGTACTCGATGTCAAACTTTATGGTGATGTTCAATGATCAAATTATACTTGACTCTGTAAAAAAATCAGCAGTAGCTAACGGGGTAGAAAAAAAAGACTATTTTCGAAGTGAAAATATCAAACGCTTTTTGACTATGATTGATTATATAGAAGTCTTTATTGAAGTATCTGCTACTAAATTGTGGGGCACAAGAGGACGATGGATTATTATTGTATTGTTGCAAACTATAAAGTAAGATTTTATTTCAGTACATTAGTATAGTTTTTTTTTTTTAAACTAGTATTTTGTATGTTGTCCTATTTTGTTTAAATTGAGGTCATCGATATAATGCTTTTAATTTGTACAAAAAAAACGAGTATCTAGGTATTGCGTGAATTATTTAAATAAAACTCTTATTTTCCTATTTCAAAGATATTTTAATGTAGGAATTGACAGTAATAATCAAGTGACGTAATACTATTAAAAAGATTACTCTATTATAAGTTTCGTTCATATAACTAAAATTAAAAAACCCTTATTCCATTAAACGCTAAATTGCTATGATAAACATCAACTTAAAAATTTAATAATTTTTTGTTTTAAACTATGAAAGATAAATTATAACAAATATGTATTATTTCGGAATGTTAATTTAAATAATGTTCTGCTGCTTTGGCTGACTCGATCCACCGCCAACGCTCATGAACGACAGATATGTATTCCAGGCTAAAGATATAATTTGTACTGTTAAAACTCGATATTGTTGAGGTACGAGTGAAAAATTTAACGTTTGCACAGCTGGCCAAAGCTAAATGAAAAAATAAAAAAATCAGTATCAAATAATTTGATTATAAAACATTCTGCTTATTATTAATAATATTTTACCATATAACTATTGAGTATCACTGTTACATAGTTGTCTTCTAATTTTGTTTGTATTTGAGGCCATTCGTCCCCGCTAAATACTCTACTCATAATCATCACGGATCCATTGACAATAGGCGAGGCGACTAACTGGTCGACTAATATTTTTTTGGCAATTATTGGCACGGTGGTTTGGGTGCCGAATCTATCCAATGTTTTATACCAAATACTCAGCGATGGTCCCACCGCACACCCAATAGATGCATAACGTAGGGTACGTAACAAATCAATTTCATTTGGTTTACGTTTTTCAACAATAGTTTGGGCGGTGATATCACCGAGTCCAAATAATATTCCTTTGAAATTATAAATAAAAAAAATCACTATAAATGATATATATTAATACAAAACATTATCAATCATACCTGTTTGAACGAGATTAGTCCGTATTGGATAAGTATGACTGTAATGTCTGTACCATTTTAGAAACGATGCCATATCGTTTAGTATAGTCACTAATTTAGTCAACAGAAATTCTATTTATCCATTAAAAGTCACTTTCACTTAAGTACCGTCGTTATCATCAGGATCCAAGTTACACGTATACTCGACTTCAGCCGAAATTTTAAGATTACTACGAGTCCAAAGTCACATCACAACTAGAATTTGTAATTTTTATGGTGGGTGTATTGTAATATGAATGTGTAGACTTGTCCACCAATTGGCTCAACAATGATGTTATAATGAATATTATTTACGGTGTTAAACGTCACGTGCGTTTTATACTGACAAATGACAAGTATTCGGTTTTTTTTTTTTACTTAGAAGTATTGTAGAACTACCGGTTGATTCGATTCTGGCGTGTTATCTAATGAGATTTCTGCGTCGGCGCCGCCATCGCTGTATGTACAGAGCGTTCAAAATAAACTTTTGTTTTTTAAAAACCGTTGTCCGGTTGCGTCATTTAGTACGTTTATACTTTATAGCGTTAAACGGTTTAAAAACATCGAACCGATTTCAAAATTAAAACTCGCGCAATGTAGTTTAAGAAATTAAAACCATTGTAAACGTATACGGGTTTTTCATTTGGCATTTTTATTATCACGGTCATACCAAAGTTATTTACTTGCTTATTAGTTTTCGTTAAAAATGTTCACTAGACCGATTTGATATATGGACATATAAACGGATATAAGAGTTGTTAAGATAAACCGTTTTAATAAATTAAAAAACTATTTAAATTCAAACCGATTTAACGCTATCGAATACACGCACTAATAGATTTTAAAATAATTCACAAATTAGTGGTACTATACACGGAATTTTTTTAAATTGGTAGTTTGATTAACTTTTAACAGCATAATAATTTGCATCCCATTTGTATGACCATATTATTTATCCTTATCGAAAACTACTTGACATTCATTTCGCGTTTGCAAGTATGTCTATGGCCTATGCAATTCCGATGTCAATCGATAGCGCTGTGCGGAATCTAATTTTCTCTAAAATTCTACCAGTACGCTTTTAATTTTTCCAGTGTCTAAAACTGATTTGATCAACATTTTGATAGTTGTAGATGATTTTTTCATTTTAACTAGAATTTTTTCCAGATTCCTCTGGGATTCTAATTAATCAAAATAGTTTTATGTGATAAGTTCGGTTTTGAGGAAGTTATGTGCCAATGATTTGGCAGAAGTTTTTTAATTTCACTTAAACTTTAAATTAATTGACCACATTATATGTCCTCGTCGGATGCTTTTGACTTTAAGGCATCTCTGAACAATTAATACGTCTTGCTGGGTTTACAACTTGTTTCAGGTCATTAGCTCGTTTATATCTTTTGCACGTTCACAAGTTTTGTATACTTGAATCGCCTCCTATACAGCCGTTAAACAGAAAAGCAGTTTGCTTGAAACAAACCGATGTCTTGGAAAATGGTGTAATAACATTGCCATCGGGACGAACAATTCGTAAATTGAACAATGGTTGTATTATATTATACACTTAATTAAGTTTATGCTCTTGTAATTATTAACTAATTTTTTTATTATCTTTCAGCTCCGCCCATGAATCGTCGTACATGGAAAGCTCCACCCAGATCGGATAGATCTAGTAATATTAGTGGTCAATTAAATGACAGACTTCTTGTAGCTGAGGTAATTATTAACTTAAAGCTTTATTTAATGAAAAAAAATAACTTATTGCTTACTCATGATTAAAATTTTACGTATTTACATTTCAGACAATGTATGTAATGAAACCACTTGTACACTTAGGAAGTATGTATGTATTTGGAGGAAAATCATGGAAGCCTTGGATAATATCCCTGACCATTGAATACATTAGGTAATTAAACACCAATCATTGTCAAACAAAATCTAATGCCATGTTTTATTATATATAGTTTGCAAAGGTTAAAGTCGTCAAAGAACCTAACACATCAACAACGTTTGGTTTTATCGAAACGAATGCTCAGCTTAGCCATGTATTTAATGAGATCTCCATTCTTTGAAAATTATTCCGAAAAACATATGCGGGCATATTTGCGCTGGTTCGTTTCAAGCGTACCTTTGATCGGGCCTTTAATGCGGCCTTTCCTTGAATACTTAAAACAATGGCAAGATACATATTTTTACCTATGGTCATATTAAAATCCTTTAAAGTTGCGATAATCGGTGTTTGAGAAATTACGTGTAATTAATGGGTACAGATATATATTATTATTATTATTTAATTTTTATATGGTTCAAATTGTAATTTTTTTTATTTTGTAAAATATGAAGGTTTAAAAACAATTAATAGTATTTTCTTTCTATCCTGTCTGCACCTATTCTATAATTTGTTTTTTAAAAAACATACCAAGTTGTAATTAAAAAAATAAAATATTTAAAAAAAAACCTTAACCACAAAAGAAATACACTAGCATATACGTGTATTTCGGCACTAATGTTACGTCAGCACTAATAGTATGTTGGTAACATTGCCGCCGAAATATGTGTCAAAGTGTATTGTTTTGTGGTTAAAGGTTTTTAAATATTTTATTTCTTTACTATATATAACCGCTAGTGTTCCTTAAGATTTTTTCTAGATAAAGTTACATTTGTTGCTTTTTTTGGTAATGAAAAATCTCTGAATGAAAACAATATTTTATGAAATAAGAAGTAAAATTCTAATTTTATATTAATATTCTTTGTACAAAACATAACTAGAGGAAAAACATTATTAAATAGTTAACAGCTTTTTTGTATACAATCTAATGGCAATTTTTATAATAAGAGTATTATTTAGTTATTATGAAAAGTGAAATATTAACAATATTATCCATTATACATTATACATAAATAATAAAAAATATATTATCTTTGCTAGAAGATAGTATGACAAATATTTTGTCACCGTAACATTAAAATTCTAAAATGCATATAAAAATTATTTAAATGTCGCATTTCATAATAGCAAACAACATATACATTGAGTATGCAAATAAATGATAAAAAAAATCATCACAAATCTTATGAATTAATTGGAATTTTTTTCATATTAAGTCTTAAATTGTTACTGTTCGGTAATATTGATTCAGATTACAATTTGATCATTTAAATTTTGAAAAAGAATAAAATTGCCACATGGAACACAATACTTTAAAAACTTGCCAGTTGAAAATAAAAAATTAATTATTTAGCAAAAAAGTAGGTACACGTATGTACGTTTCTTTAAATGGTTTGTATAACATCTTGTAAATTGCAATAGTAATTAAGAGGGATTATTAACAAATTAATAATAATAAAAAAACTATTCAAATTATAAATTAATTTTTAATTTATTAATAAGTAAACATTTGGTTTAAAATAAATTATTAATTTAAATACCTTCTCATAGTTGCCTTGTATTACATTATTTTAAAATAACAAAATTGAAACTTAACATAATTTTATTTGAAATTAATAACAAAAAATATTAGATTAAAACAATCAGTTTTCCCAAAAATAAAAATTGGATCACATTAATTTTGGCCATAGGACAAACTTTAATATAAAGTAGTCTCTCTATTCATTTTCATTGGATTTTTTAAAAAGTAATATTTGATATACCATTTATAAATTTGTATCCTATTTTTCGTTATTATGACACAGTTTCCACATAATTTGCTGGATATAAACCTACTCGTCCTTCTTTGCGTCCCTTACACCAACCTTGTTCATCTTCATCTTCCAGTTTTTCAAATAGATCTCCTAAAAAATATAGTGGCTTTTATTATTATTGTACAACAGTAATGACATATGAAAAATATATGTGACATAAACAGAACTGAAACATGCCTACCGGCTATACTAATAACAAAAATTGTGTTCTTTATCCGCAGATACATGATTATTACTATGAGTACTGAGTACATAGAAAAGTGGGAGGTAGGTACACACCTATCACTAGTTACCAACTAACAGACAAAATGAATTTGACTGATTGAGATGAATCTTTACGATTCGACATTTGATAATACTGTTTATAGCTGTAGGATACAATGATGTATAAAAAAAAAGCATCATATAAACTTTTGAATATAGTTTCTTAACCACTAATGCCAGAACATAGGTTAAGTAATTAAAAAAACACATAATAACAGCAAAAGTAGTAATAAACATATGGATTAATGGCGTTAATAAGAAATATATTTGTAATTATTTTTTTTTGGTTATAATTTAATAGATAAATATTTTAATATTTAAAAAAATATTTTACCTTGTTTAAAACTGAGTTCATCTGCTTCAGCGCCTTCATAATCGTAAAGGGCTTTTACAGGTACGCCGGGTTCGCCGTTGTCCACAAGCGCACCATCGGGACCAACTCCTTCTTCCTCATCCCATTCTTCCTCTTCAAATGGGTTTGAATCTGGTGTTTGGCTGTTTGACCCCCCATTTCTAAAAAGTATTAATATTATTATTATTTGTATTGTTTTTAGATTAATTACAAAATACTACCGAGGGATAAAAAATAAAATATAAATTACAAAAAACTTAGTGGGACACGTGTAACCGATCTTACCGATAAATAAAGGTATGTAAGGCCCGGTGCACGGCCCCTTCATTAGAAATCTAAACGATACGACTAGGAATTATTTTGAAGAAAATAAAAAAATAACAATAAAACTCGACTAAAAACTTACGTTATTGGATGTGATTTTACCGCGTCTGTTTTATCTGGAGACTGTTTGTGATTATCAGTGCCTCCATTAGTTCGTGGCAAAGCAGCAGCTGGTTTTTTACTGTTAACTTTCGGATTGTTCATATGTAATTCCTAAAAAACAATATATTTGTTGATATGTATATAATATTAATAACTATAAGTAATAAATAACCCAAAACAAATATATCAACACTTTTTTATGGGAAATATAAAAGAATGAAGACATAAAAAAGTAATACATACTAACTATTGAAAAAAAATTAATAAAATTCTATTACTAAACTAACTCTTCAATATAGGATATGATTATTATTTATATTTATAATTATACATTTAGCAATGTACTCATAACAAATACTGTAAACCCGCAAATTAAGTACACAATTTTTGCTAAGAGTACACACATACAAAGTAAAGTGGAAGGTGAGTACACAGTGTATGCTCACGACTAAACTATTGATTATATTAATAAATTGATTGAAATTTAAATGCAACACTAACATTTACATGCAAATCTTCTCCGACCGATCGTTGATTAATTAATGTAATTGTTCCAGCTGGAATGGATTCTTTAAGTTTGCCTTTGGAAATATCTCTGAATTCTTCTATATAATCCTAAAGACAAACAATATGGCAAACACATGCAAACAAAAATTAGATTTATTATTTACTACATTTATCGATACTATTTTTTTTTTTGAAGCAGTAAGCAAAATTATTATTTAACTACCGCACACAGTTTCAGTAAAATAAAATAAAAGTTGTACAAAATATATAAACCAACAAACCTCAAACAATGGCCAATTCATAGCCATATTAACTCCATGATTATTTGACCACCATCGCAAGTCTTTTTCATGATCAGCATTATTGATTGTGTGATAAAATTCTTCATATATCTGAGGTAAACTAAAATAAAATGCAGATAAAAATTTTAATATACATAATATTGTAATAAATATTGAGAAATAAATTTCTTACACTGGGTCCTGAGAGATATTTAAGCACTTGTGTATTGTAAATAAAGTATCTTTGAAAAACTGTAACCTTCTGGCTTCTGTTTCTTGACATCGATCGAATACAACCGTCATGTCTTCCATATATTTTGGATTATAAGCATTTAACTCTTGTAGAGTCATTTCATATTTTTCTTTGGCTTTTTGCACTTCTTCTTTAGATTTAGCAACGCGATCTTGCATTTTCTTTACCTAAAATACAAAGTATAATAAAAATTCTGTAGATTACTGTATTTTAATAAAACACCAAAACGAAAGTTACTTGATCCATAGACAATGAACTATCAGCAGAAGCATTACGTTCTTGATTAGATGCAGACTTCTCTGCTTTACATGCAATATGATAATCATTTTTAGTTTTATTAACTTTGGTTAATAATTTGCACCAAGGTTTTTGAGCTTTTTTGAATGATTCTTCCATTTCTTTCCGTTCTTTAATATGTAATACAGTCTAAATAGGCAGGTGTTTATCATGTTAAAAACAAATAATAACCATACAACAATACTTATGACATATTTAAAACGTAAATTTATGCAAAATTGCAACACATTTATTTAAAAAATTAATCATTTTTGTTAATTTTACCTTATGATAGTTGTCTTTTTGCCACGTTTTAACTTGCTGCATGATATCATTACACAAATCATCTTTCACTCTTACATGTAAATCACAAAGTCGATCAGCCTCGACTAATACTCCTTTCCAAGCCGCTTCTGTCGTACCATATTCTGGGCCTTTTTCAATAATTTCATTCCACTTTTTTGACCATCCTTTCAGACTTTTGGCGTACGCTTTCTCAATGTCCGATCGTTCTTGTATAAGTGTAATAAGATCATTGCATAATCGATAGCCATCTTCAATACGTTTAGTGGTACGTTTATGATTACCGGGTTCCCAAAACGAATCGCTGCTTGCTATCAGCATATTATCATCGCTGTGATGTGACATTTTTTTTTTATTGATAATTAACTGAAACAAATGTTTTACATTAATAATAATTTTGATAAAGTAATAATAATAATATTTGTACTTCAAAAACGACAAATGTAATTTGCATTATAAAGTATTGATTTACATTAGTATAAATTGTAGATTATTACTGGGTAGAATACACTTCACACAGCTTTATTCTAATTAATTAAACGAAAAGAAACGAGTAGATATATATTAAATAAATAGGTATTATATTGTTAGGTAAATCTTCAACAAATCAAAGATACTTGTAAAGTAAACTAAAATGTTTTAAACATAATAAATGAGCAATTATTATACATTATTCATACTGTAAAAGCGCACGAATAATTAGGTGCTATGTACAATTCATTATTATTCAATAACAGTGCCTACGCATGATGAAACTACTAAACTAACACTAAGTCTGTTTTGAAAAAGGTTATGAAATTTAGTAATTTGTCTTCTAATTACTTGGAACAAGCGCAGTGACAACGGGTATGAAATATAAGCCATAAAATAAAAATGGTAACCAATACAATTGTTATAAATTAAGATTACTATAAACTGAATAATTTGAACTAAATTAAGCAACATAAAACAATAGTGAGGTGTCAGTTGAAATCAAAAAAATGTTGTACTTAAATGTGTATAAAAACACTTGTTATTTAAATTAAAAAAAAATGAGTAGGCATCATCTGACTGTCAACTATAACACTTCACAACTGACATAAAGAGTGAAACAACTTTTGAACGAAAAAGTGTGCAGCCTGATATTCCTGGGTTAAACACAAGGTGAACTACTAAGAGCAATAGTAAAAAAATTCAAATTAAAATGTTTAGTGATAATAAACAAATATTATATTAGTAGTTTACAAATTACCAACATAAAATTAACAATTGTTTTTATAAAATTATTCAAATTTTTAAAATAAGTTATGGAAAACTTATTAGGCAATTCTATAGAAAAAAAAGACTTGTGGTAGAATTAAAAAAATCAAGTTATTTAAATTTGATTTATTATTAAATCGTTTTGCGTTGTTTGTAGCAGCTAAGTACTGGCTCATTATTTCAGTCTTTCTCGAAGTTCATGGTATGGGAACTGAGAAAATATTAAATATCGTACTAGAAAAATAATATGTTATTAAATTTAAAACTTTAGTTTGATGTACTGCAAAATTTATTAAATTTGAGTAATACTATTAATTATTATTGTAAATCACGAATTTGTTTGGAAAATCGAGTTTGGATATCGAAAACTAAACAGACGAGTTATAGAATATTATTTAACTGGTCATGGTTCAAAACGAATCGGTTCCGTGTTTATAATAAATATATATTGTATACACTTAAGATATTGTTGCGTTGTTAATCGTTTATATTAGATACATTCAAATATTCCTACACGGCATAGAATCTTTATTCTTTAAAACGAATATTATGTTTTCTTATCTCTATATGCTCCTAAAATGGCGAAGTACGCCGAAATGGGGAGGGATCACCTTTGTAAATATAGCCTTAATACCCATTTTTTTTACCTGACCTGTGCTTTTATAAGAGTCCATAATAATATGTGGCAGTGCACCCAACATTCTAACAACTATAGAAATAAAAAAAAAGTTTTACTTGGCAACCATATATCAAATACCTACAGTTGTTGTACCTGTTTACATTTGCGAGATAAAAACTAAAAGGTTTGTAAGCAATATTCACTCTTTATTATACAGAACCTATACACGACAAAGACAGAAAATAATAGAATTTAATACGAATCGTCTAATGAGAATACACAAGTTCAGTTTGGAAAAATAGTATACACTATAGCCGCCTTCCTACCCAAAATGTAAATTTTATTTTTGTAACTGTGGAGGCGGGAGGACAAATGTTACTCAGACATCAAGAAATCATATTTAAATAAATGGAATTTATTTTAAATTTAACTTAATTACTTGTGGGATTAATTGTTATCTTACTAAATAACAACCCTATCTATAAACAAATTTCACTTTGACGCAAATTATATTTTGGCGACTATTTTGCCATCTTCAGTGAATATGTAAGCACACAATTGTTTATATTTATAAAAAACAAATTTGAAGTCCCTTTGAACTATGAAAATCTCATACGAACAACTTTTAGATTGGATTAGTATTTTTCGATAGAAATTGATTAATATTTTAAAATGGGATAAAAATGTCCTTCTATAAAATTTTTCGACCAGTTATTAACTCTATGTGTCACGGTAACATAATATCTCCAATAAAAACCAAACAGAGTTAAGCAATACAAATAAAAGAGCAGTGTTGCTCATGAAAGTAGGAGTGAAGTGAGGTTATGAACTAAAGAAATAGCAGACTTGGTCACAATGTAGATATTCACTACTTTGATAGGTTTACAGGTGGTCTGACACTTGGCCCTTTTTCACTGTTAGGTTTTTGTTGGACCTATCAATATATTATTCCTTTTTGTCGGTTCAGCATCGTGGGCGACGTGTTAAGTTTTTACGAGGCATTGGTGAGAGCATTTCGAACATGGGGAACAGGCGTTTGATTCACGCGGCCGCGGCAGTGCGCCGGGCCAAGTTCCAGCAATGCCATTGTATCTTTACACGAACCAATTCACCCAGTTTTTCTAGCCCACATATCTCTTTTTCCTATAAAGATAAGCTTTTGAAATTTTAAACATATATTAAGCACGAGTAACTTAGGATACTGTAAAAATTTGAGCCCTTAATAACAAGCCTTTTCAAAAGGGGAGAATTTCAAAGTTGTCATTATTGTTACTGACTCACTCACTCATCATCAAAATTATAATACACTTCGCGTGTAAGTAGAAACGTGAAATTTGGCACAAAGGTAGTGTAACTAAAGGGAAAAATCTAAAAGTTGCAATTTTCTCAAAATGAATGCCACTTTAGGGAGTGTAGTTTTAAATGCATGATGTGACGCGCATTAATATTGCTTGATTAGATTAGCACGGGTTTTTAGTAGTTAATCATAGATTCCCGTGCGGTCGCAACAAACGTTTTCTTTCAGTGTTACAACATGACAATAAGTAATTGTTTGTAATTGACAGTAAATACTTTTCAAACATGATGTTTTCGTAATTTTATTTCATTTATTGGTCATCAAATACAGAATATTTTAATAATCGTAATAATGAAATTATTTAATTCAGTCAATATACTCTTATTCCCGTGTTATTCTTCGTTGGAGAATTCGTTCGTTCGTTTTAAGTATAAAAAAAATAGAAAGTGCCGCTTTTCTAAGAAAAATTGTATAAGCAAAATCTTCGAGGCGGCCGAGCCGTGCGCTCAGATGTTTTAAAGGTTACATAGTTTAACGAAATTGTAACGTTGATTTTACATATTATAGTACACTTCAAATGAATTGCACCATTAATATCACGACATCAATATCAAAATTTATTTACGAGTTATTAAAGAAGAAAATTGTGTTATGGATTTTTCATTAGCAGACAATTTAGACTAAAAATAAGTAAATAACTAATTAATACAGTCAAATATTTTTCGAAGGTGCTAAGCTTTAATAAATATGCTAAATTAGTTTTATCACTTTGAACTCTTACCACGTCTAGACTTTATTTAATGCATAAGTTACTTAAAATCAAATAAAAATAAACGATTGTTGGTATAAATATAAAATATAATTCAAGTTAGAAAAAAAAAAATTAAAAAATTAAGTTTTTAGAATTTAAATTTAATTTTTTTTGAAATAATGGACTTTTGAGTTAAGCTTTTCTAGCGCTATACGCCTCATGTACACCTTAGAGCTTAAAATAATCAATTCATTTATTAGAGTAAAACTAAGCATTCAAATTAAGTAATAATGCTAATAAAAATGTTTAATATTTTATAAATTGTGTCACGATGTAAAAAATAATAAATATAGAAATTATACATACAAATACTAACAATACATTTTTTAATTACATTACAGTAATTAATTAAAATTAGAATGTCTAGAATTAAAGACGTTAAAGAATTACAAAAATTAAATATTTTACTGGTTCTTAGGTAGAATAGGTAGCATTATGTTATAAAGCTCTTGATGGAATGTTAATTAGCTTGCAGCATATTTAGTCCTTGACCCTCTAAGCCACACCCAGTCTAGTGTTAAGAGGCCCCCTTTTCTTCAATATAATATATTGATAACTCTTGTTTGTAAATTGTGCTAATATAGATCAATATGCATGCTGTGACGATAATTTACAACTGTGTCAATAAATACCACATAAGTATCTAGATAATATGTGCAGTTATAAAAAAAATAGCAGAAGTTTTCTTCTTTAATATTTTAATTTTTAGTAGGTATAAAATTTAACATATGATGTACATTCAGCTTTATTTTTCATATAAAAAAAAATATATATATATTATAGTGTTAGTATGAAGTATTTATCCTTTTATTTAATAAAATGTACTGTGTATAATACACAATTTAATAGACCCAGAAGATACCTTATATAATTGACAAGTTGTAAGTCTTCAGTATACTCGCCAACGTACAACTTTATTGATTATTATACTTTAGTTGTATTTTGTTTGTAGCTGTATGGAATAATGATGATGCTTATGAAATAACACTATAACTGGTGTAAACTATTATAAACAATAACAATTATGTACCGTTAATATTCATCTTAAATAATTTACTTAAAATTATGTAAATGGAAAGATTGTGAATCAGAAAATTTTAGGTCTTGATACTCTATGTACATATTATTTTTTACACGCAGTAGTGTACTAAAGTAAATTATTAAGAAACTCAATAAGATGTATGAACAAAATTAAAGAACTATAATTAGTGTAACAACTTATTATGTATCAATACATATTATGTCCTTAAATACTGAATTATTACTCAATCCTTATTACTAATCTCTTAAGTATTAGTTAAAATTACTAATGAATTATATTTATATTTATATTTATAATATGATATGGGCTTTTGCCAAATTTACAATTAGTACATTTATGGGGAATGAAAAGCGTCAAATTTTTTAGAAATAAAGACTAATACGCGGGGTAACGTTCTAAAGTGTCTCCTGAACCAATTTCATTAAGTTTTTTTTTGTTATATAGTTTAACATCTTCTCTATGGGAGCTAAAACGCCGATTTTTTATTTTTGTTTTCAAAAAAAAATGTATAAGCATTTAAATTTTTTTATAGTTTTTTCTAATACATCTAATTACTTTTTTAATTGCGAAATCAACAATCGGCCTTTTAGCCCCATAGAAAAAAAGGAAGCTTCACATAAAAAAAATTTAATCTGTCCAATAGATATGCTAGAAAATGACTTCTACGAAAGTAATTTTTTATTAAACATTCACCATAACTCTGAGAAAAATAACTTTAAAAGTATTATAATTTAAAAAATTTAATATGTGTTCACCTTGAAATTAGTAGGCATATTAAAAATGGCTATTATATTAATTTTTGTCAAATATTGTCTATCCTTTGCCCCTAAATAAATAGTTCTTTCTGTTCCCCTAAATAACATTACTATAAAACAATAACATTTTACAATTAAATTTGAGATAAGGAACGGTCGAAATTGGCTTAAGACACATAGTAATATAGTGTTTTATTAAGTCCATGATTAGTTAAGGAGATAGAGAGCAAAAAGAGAACTATATGTTAGGAGAAATAGGGATAAGCTTTAAAAGAGATTTAAGAAAGTAGGTAAGGTGAATCAATTTGCCTATGTAATAGTTTGACCAAAAAACTGAGATTATTAGCACACCTATAGTTGGCTAATGTATCCAACTCAAGGAGCTGGAGGACTTGTGTAAACAAATGTGGAAGAAACTCACTTTATTTAATAAAAAAAAAATGTGCACTGTATGTTTCAATAAAAGATAAAAAAAAATTGCTCATGCATTATAGAATTGTGTCTGCTGTGTGAGGATCTCGATCTCAAATGACCAAACCACATTATAATATTGACCTAACTAGCAAACAATAAAGGGCCTTCAAAGGATATTACTTTTAATTCATAAGACACTAACTTAATACAACCTTATAAAATGATATAGCATCACATGATCCACAATATAAAGAACTTAAATAATAAGTGTAAAAAAAATGTATCTAATTGGACAATTTATGTTTAGTAAAATATCATCAGCAAAAATGTGTAGTTTATTTCTAGGTAAAAAGACATCAACAGATTACTTGAAATACTTAAACTTAAAATTATTTTATTTAAAATGTTATATTGTTAGTTATGTTGTTTTTACCAATTTTATATTTTTGTATTTACAGTTGTTTTTAAATGGTTAACAATTAATAATAGTGCAGGTTTTTCGATCAGTGTATTAGCCATTAACAATGTTATTAGCCAATATGCTGCATATTTCTTGAAATATAACAATTATTTGATGATATCAACAAAATGGAAAATATATTATATAGGAACTTTAATCCTTCACACTGTGACTCAAGTGAGAAATATACGCCAGGCAGATTTTATTTAAGTGTGACTGAAAACCATGCGACTAACAGAGGGTTAAAGTGAAAATAAATAATAGGTGTTATAACATAAACTATATACAAATTTATATTATATTATACATTATAAATTTGTACTGTTACTATAGTATAAATAAAATCATATAAACCTTAACCTTTTTGTTACTGACATCCTCGTACGAGGATTAACTTTAAAAATCGAATAAAATATTAACAACGTATTATTATTATCATTACTCTCAAAAATGTCTTTAAACACAAGTTCTAGTATAGATTGATGATAAAAAAATCGACATAGCTATATTGATAATCAATATCAATCCAATACGTAAAAAAATTGATTTTTTTTTTCTAAAAAAAAATTCCCAGGAACTAAACGGAATAGCTTTAGTGGGAATTTTACTTTATAATAGATATTAATATATAATATAAATATTACAAGTCCACTATTTGAACACCTATCGTTGAGTACTTTATAACCATTATTAGCCCGCCCTAAAAATATATGTACTTGCATGTACATACAGTTATACTAACATAATATAGTTACCTCGTAATTAATAAAGTTAAATGAGTTTTTACCTGTGAATATTGTAAACCCTCCGATTCCTCTTATTTGTATTTATTTGGTCTGCTTGTTTAATTAACGCGTTTAATCTTAATGACTAATTTAAGAAACTATAAACGGTCGCAAAATAACTTTTTGACGTTTCAACACTTTTATCAATCTGTTATCAACTATTGACATGGCACAGGTGTGGGGGATCTCTTGCACTCATTGTGGCGACGATTAATTTTCTCACAGAAACATGAAACGACACAACTGCGCAATGATACTATCTTACTGCTCCGATAGACCTATTATATTAACAAGTAACAACACAGATACACAAATATTGTAATATGGTAAATGTTTATGCACCGAAATATAGATACTAGATAGGTGTGTTGGCGGTTGACCAAATAACACGGTAGGTACTAAGCGTATTGGACGAATCGAGCGGGCAACCGATGAATACCGACATTGAACGACAGTCTACAACGACACCAGCGACGGCGACCAAAGGAGATGCGTGGATTCTTTCAAATCAGTGGTCGAAAAATTCACACGGATACACACATAATATTATATACAATTAACGGTATCTAGCGTTCAAAAATCTTACTGATGGCTATGTTAACGTCAGCCATTCATCGGAAATGGTCGGAAATTCATATACATTTTACCATTTAACAAAATTACTGTCTACACAATAATATTATTTATTTGAATGCATTTAGGCTTCAATAAAATTAAAACTAGTTGGAAAAATCCCAGCCCTTTTTTTTTTTAACTAAGATTTTATTTTTTATTCTTACAAAATATTGCGAAATTAAAAAATCATCTAACAAAAGTCGTTTAACATTTAATTTCGTAATATAAATTGCTTGAGTTTATTATTCGAACTAATAGTTTGATCGTACAATTTGTATGATATTACTCATACAAAAAAAAAAAATTATTTGAGACATCGATTTGCGCAAAATCTATAAAATACTGGGAAAAAATTGAAATTTCATCAACTAAAAAACGCTCTAGTCCAGCGGTTCCCAACCTTTTTGAGACTATTACCCATAATCAGGTTGGATATTAACAAATACCCCTCGCTCCCAAAAAGAGGGTAATTACCCCCCTTTTATAGCCCCCCTAGTTAAAACCATTAAATTAAGTATTGATATCATTTTATAGGATAGGATTTTATATTAATGGGATATAAAATGTGTAGTTGTTATAACAAAAATAATTAATAATAATAGATATAAAGTACGTAAAATAAAAAAAAACTAGTTTATTCTTTACCCCTCAAAAAATCGTGTTTTACCCCTTGAAGGGGAATTACCCCCAGGTTGGGAACCTCTGCTCTAGTCCAATAGGTAATCTGCGAAGACTTTTAGGATGTTTAAGCATTTACCCCAACCCAGCAATAAAAAGTAAAGGTTGGTAGGCTTTTTCTCCGCTATTTGCTAAATATTAATACATTCAAGATAACAACATGTTAATCTATCTATCTATATATATAAAAATGAATGTCTGTCTCGTGTAAATCGTGTCTATCTGTTTGTCCTTTACGCATTACTCATTAGTACACCATTCATCCGATCGCCTCCGAAATTTTGGGAAGTTGTTGAGTACACTCCCGCGAACCTAACTGGCATGGTACTTTTCAAAAATTCCACCCCTAAGGATGACCTTAAACACGAACTTAAATACGAGGTATTTTCCGTTGCTAACCAAAAATAAACAATTAGTTTGCATCCATGGTAACCACGGTACACGAGCGAATGGTAGGTGCTTTTAACTGTTGGAACGGGATCTGGAACTGGGACTGGGGTCCTTAAATAAGAGGAGGACATAATAACCGAAAATAATGTCAGAAAAACGCAGTCACGCTGTTATCTGATAAGAGATAAGAGATTAGAGATGGGGGTGGGAATGGGAATTATTTTACTCAGCTCTGGCAAACTAAATCTCGGGCAACGCCAGGTCCGGGCAGCTTGTAATATTATAAATTACCTGTAATACGTACATAATACTGATTAATTTGTGCAAACTACTGGTAAATAATATATTAAACAATGATTTCTATAGACTCTTCAGTGATATTGTGGTAAAATAATTCCAAAATATATGGTTATATTATAATAATATTTTGTTACTAAATAATAATACAACGCGCCTACGCTATACTGCCTACGCGCCTACTCTTTTTGTGTGCCTACGTTTTACTTAAATTAACAAATACAAATTACAAATACAACATTACGAAATCATTAAATACTGTCTAGAACTATGTTTCCGCCTCGAGAATGTAAACAAACAGTATAAATGTTATTCAATTTTGGGCCAAAATCTTTATCTAACCTTTGCACTAACATAAAAATGTATAAGAATCAAACTTATGGAAAATTATACGAGGAACAACTTTTGTTGGAAAAGTTTTGTCGTAAGTGTAGTATTCTTCAAGAATTTTGTTAAAACGGGATTTGAGGGTGTTTAATACCCTCAACAATTTAGCAGAGTTCGTGAGATTTTTAGTGTGTTAGTAAGAGGACTCCCCTGTTTAATGACTTTTCGAAAAGTCCTGCTTGTTACCTCGTCTTTCATAATTAATCTTATTTTTGTCTATCTAGCCTATACTATAATATAATCTATAAATTAAAATTATGTCGAAAAATTTAAATGGTAAATATATATATATATTACTAAAACTGTTACCTGCCATTTTTATAATTACTAAAATGAATATTATGAATGCGTTAAAACTTTCGTGGATTGATATATCCGAAACTCATTCAATTGAAATTAAAATGAATATTGTTCAAATTTGTTAATTAACAAAAAACAAAGAAAGTTGTACGTGACTCATGAGCATCAAATGATGATTATGCTTATTATGTTATTACTTGTGATATTTTACTGCGAGAGAAAAATATTCAGATGTTCAGAGAAATGGAGTGGGCAATTTCCGTGGGGAGGGGGTACCCAATTTATCAACATTCAATGAATGATTGTAATTTGTGACTGTAATTAATAAAAAATTATGACTATTGACTTGTATTCAATACGTGTAATAGTGTAGATGATATTATAACCTAGTTAATTTACAAATAAAGTTATAATCTCCCAATAAAAAAAACCATAAATTTATATTAAAAAAAAGTGTTAGTCCATTCAATATTTTGAAATTTTATTCGGTAGGTAGTTTTCAAAAACAATTAGTTTTTTCAACTTTAAAATTAGGTAGATATTCCATTGATTTTGTTATATGCTATTATTACTATAAACATTAAACATGTTTTTAATAGTAGTTTTTATTAATTAAATATTAATCGAATTACGTTACTATGGAAACCCTGTGCAAATGCATTCTTTAATGCAGTGCGTTACAACTTATATCACATTGCAAGACGAAGGAAGGTAGGTAGGTACTGATGGAAAAAAAGTAGACATACGAGGTCATCCAGGGTACCGTTATCATGTGCAGCTGCAGTGGCCGGGTTGTTATTTCCTTATCAGGAGACTGAGTGCGCGGTCTTTTATCCCTATGGTCGTCTCCAATAATTGTCATTCAACAATGAGATACTGGATAAAAAGTCGTAAGTATCGTTTTCCATTTACTAAATTAATTTATAAGCCAACTAATATTCATATTATTATACTTAATTTGATTGCTTGTTAAATACTAACAACATTTGCTCGCTAAAATTACTAATCGAAATAAATAGTATTAATAATTATTAAATTTATTATGTAAATATATCTATTCAATGTTGTTTTTCTTTTGAAATTCTGTAAAAATATTTTAAAAGATATTATGTAAATGGTATATTTTGGTTTCAATTCATAGGATGTATACGTAATACAAATACTATACTGTAGTTGTTAGTTATAAACTAAAGCATCGGAGTAAACGGTCTAAACATCAAGACATTTCGACATACTAGTTTTTTGGGGGTTCGTATAACTATAAAGTATAATACAATGAAAATATATGCTGCATAGGCGCACTTGGTATTTAACTTATGCTGGTATTTATATTGCTGCAAATGTTTAATACAATCGAATTCATGTGCTTTCAGTTTTTAGTATACTTTTAACTTTTAAGTAGACAAATAAATAGTTTGTACTAATATTTCAATAAAAAAAAAAAAACTTTTAAGTAGACTATAATTATTACTGCCTTTAAATTTTTCGAAAAAAAACCATTTTAAAGTTCGTAGGACGTAACTTATTGCCGATTGTTGAATATAGTTTATTTCCAAGTACGTAATATTATAATAGTTTATGTATAGGGTGCTATAGCGCAGGGGTGAGAAATAATCGATACGCCTTGGTGTCGGCCATGTTTGTGATGTTGCGTCCTGCGCCTGTCTAACCTTTTGACCAACAGCAGGCCGCAGGGTAGGTACTGTTCCTTTTATTCTGCCATTTTACCGATGCGCTACTGGAATTGACTATCGGATCGTATATAATAATTAATCATTTTCTCAAATAGATTAAAATAATATCAGTGTTAATAAAATAAAATCCAATTTATTTATGTAATTCGAAATTGTATGTGTTATTCGTTTGCTTACACGAATAAATATATTTGTGCGAACAAGGATACCCCGTAAGTAAAATATTACATGTATATTGATAGTATATGAAAAAGCTAAAACTGTGTTGTAGGCACAATGTCTGTTCGTTTTCGTTAATCGAGCAATAATTAAAATTTTAAAACTAATATTAATAATTTTATAATTATTTCGGTGATAGCAATCAAATGTAAATAATGATGTTTTTTAATAAAAAAAGTGTACATACTAATAACCATTGATATTGCGATTGCCGAGTTCTTATTCAAGTTAAGTATTGATTCTTCTTCTTTAGTCCATCTTCCAAAAAAGATTATAAAAAACACGCTATAAAGATTATAAAGATCACGCACTATAAAAAATAATCTGGATATTATTATTTGTATTACCTATATTTATATCAAAACATTCAACTATTTTAAGCTCACAACAGAAAACATGTAAATATACGTTTAACGAGTTCCAAACTATTTCAAATGACGACAGACTGTCGTCATTTAATGACAAAGACTGATGTCACTTTTAATGACATGAAAAACGTTTATCTAAGTAGTATTTTAACCGTCGAGAATTGGTTCAATCCTTTTATTAGTTTCAGAAAACTGGATTGTTGTTTTGTATAAATACCATTATGCATCCGAAGGGTAGTACTTAGTAGGTAAGGTCAGGGGCAGATAGTCTGTTTTTAAGATTAAGGAACTTCGAAAACATAACCTTAAGGATTTTTGTGTTTTATTCACATGTGAATAATATTATGTTGTATACAATTGTTAACATTAATATTCTATTACGAGAATTAGTTTACTTTGGCTCTTTGGCAGATTGTAAATCTACTAATAACTCAGTTTACAACAAACAAATCATCTTCAGATGTTAACCACCTTATGATTAATACTATTGTTCGAAAATGAGGTAATTGGGTGACCACACATTAGAAATAATTAATAAAAAATAATCAGTAATTTACGCAGAAAGGATATAAGTATATAACTATTTTAAATATAGTTTAAAAAAACTACTTTGGTCTAAGGACCAATTAAGATTTATTTTAGCTTCATTGTGTAGTTGTGAAGGTATTTTAAAAACGTAACTTTATCCACGTTAGAAATTTAACCATTAGGTATTAAGTTATTATTTATAATTAAAAAACACTATAGGTAGTATTTCTTTCAGTCCACGATAAAAAAAGTGATGATAATAACAGGAAGAACGTCGTTTTTACATTTCTATTCAGTTACGAGTCCGATATAGTTTTTTAAATTTTAGGTATAGACATGTTGGCAAAGTCCTTTTTTTTTTAACTTTATAAGTCATTTAGGGCTTTAGCTGCTAAACTATGTTCCAGTCATCTTGAAACTATATTAAAACTTCTATTATATGCTCCTTAAAAATCTCCGGTCATAGATAATAAAAGAATATTTTATTATCTATGTTTCTGGTGCGATCTTCCTCTCGGTGTTGTTCTCTGAATGGGAATTATTTTACTCAGTCCTGGCTAGCTAAATCTCGGGCAACGCCGGGTCCGGACAGCTATAATATATATAAAAATGAATGTCTGTTGAACCTTATTTTTTAATAGACAATATACTATTTTTATTATTTTTGTTTTTAATAAGTTACTATACGTTGACAATGTTTTTAGGATTAAAATGTTTGTTAAATTTGCATTTTCTTCACTGGATTTTTTCTACTCGGTGTTTTTTGTTCCCTTAAAAAATATTTATTTAATTAGGCATAAATTAAGTATTTAAATTAACATTATGTTCACATTCCAAAACATTTTTACATATAATTTGTTGTTCGAGACAACAAAAAAATTAAATGGACCTTCTGATTTCCACTAATGATTTATGCAAAATTTCTAACTGTCAGACAATCAAACCCAGCTGAATCCCTAAATTATAGGGTTATTATTAATGGCCTAATAATAAACCGTCACGTTTGGCATTTAGATATCTGGGAAATTTTTTACGCCATGTGCTTGTTTGGATGACTTTATATGAATTTTATGTACCTCAATGTACTTAACTGTAGGTATTACTTTTTGTAGGCAAACAATATAATTTAAGATAGTTTTGTAAACATTGACCTTACATTTACCACTTCGATATTTATTATACCTACTTAATTTTTCTTCTTTTTTTATCAAGAAATAAATATAAAAAAAGTGGTAACTGCTACGAATAATTATTGTATTGTAAATTTCAAGTTAATATATGTATACTATGTATTGATTTTACGGTTTTAGAATAATTTGTACTATTCTATGGTTTGTTATGTTATACAGCCTATAACCTATAGGTATATTTGTATATATTGCATTTATTTTCGCGACAAATGATTGTTTTAATTAACGTAAAGCATCGCGATTTTTATTTAATTTAAATGTAAAAAAGTTGTACGAAATTGCTTTTTTCCCTTCTCCGTCATAATTTTCTTGTTTTACAATATTTCTTTAATTTTTGAACCCGATATTGAAGAAGGTATATGCTATATAGCTACCTATATTATATTAGATTTATAATACCATATTATGCTCACTAGTCACTTATATTTTTTTTTCATTAAAACTCGATTGTTCTACAGGTTTTATGGTCTGAATTGACGTTTATGGTATGTTGTGTGGCGAAATAATTAGATCTCCAAATCGAAGCCCGTACGCTACATTATTATCATCTCTTTACCCGATGATGACCGCTACTGTCGCCGAGGATGATAATTTACTTGGTAAGTCAAAAAAGCTTTTGTTAATATTTCCATTTGAATACAGTGTGTATATATCAATTGTACCTGAATGGCTTTTAAAACGCTTAATAAATCGTACAGCCACCATGTTATATGTATGACGGAATGCGTGTTGAAAATCGCCGAGAACACTTTTGTTTTGTCCCCTCGAATTTCAAAACTACCCTATATTACTATTATATCGATTATGCTGTATGTATGCATTTACCATTTAATATTGTTATGAGTCACCATTTTGCGTCTACAACAAACAAGCACACATGACTCAGCTCAGCATATGGAAATTATTAGGACTCATTGCGCATGGTTGAATAGGGCGCTTCTATACTGTACTCTGTTTTCTATTAACTAATTTGTTTTTAATCGAAATAATATGAAACATACTTGGAGGGATTATTCTGTTCCTGGAATTTACATACAAGTAAAATTTTAATTATTGATTTATTCAAATACATTTTTTTTTTTTTAGAAAACGGGCGTTTGAGTTATGAAAATCCCAATTATCATTTGGCAGGAAGAGGACAAATAGCGCTTGATGATGCATTAAATTCAAATTTGCCGTCTGCTACAGATTCTCCAGCTGGGTTCAACATAAATAGTGAATGCGTATTGTACTCGGATATTTTGTGCCGTGATTTGGAAAGTGTGTGCAATATTAATACGGACAATATAAACAGAAAACGTTATAAATCACTGGATCTAGGATCGATGGGCATAGACGTGCTTGGACAAACGGGAACAACTTGGTATTATTTAAGCAGCTCATATGTTATTTTGCTTTAACCGTAAACTGATCAAAGTTATGAATTTGTTATTTAGGAATAAAACAATAAATAGTAACATGGCGAGAGACTTGAATATCTCCAACAAGCATGAAACGACAAACGTTAGTAACCTAAATCATCAAATGCAAGTGTCTTATACAAAACCGGATTTAATTGAGGAATCTGAACAAATAAAATACAAAGGAGGGAAGTAAGTCGATTAAATACATTTATTTGACAATAATAATGTTTGATGATAAATAAATACACATTATGAAAATGTTGGTAAATGTTTTTTCCCCAACTCGATAATTATTTATTAGAACTATGTACGTATATTTTAGCATTAAAGAGAAGCGCACACCTCCTAACACTCTTTCCTTAAACAAAAAAAATGGAATTTCTAATATAAATAAAGGAATACCGCACGTTCAAGGTGAACTAAACAATGATTTGTATGCGGTTCCGGTAAAAAGTAACTCGTCTGAATATTCAGAAGAACAGTTACCAGCTGGCTGGGAAAAACACGAAGGTATAGATTTGTGTTATTGCGTTTTCTGAAGTAATACGATTATAATTAACTTAAACTTATAGACAACGATGGCCCCTATTATTGGCATATTAAAAGCGGAACAATTCAAAGAGAAATACCAGAATACAGCGGTAAAAATGAACCTAAAACTCCCTTGGTCAAGGACGCAGAATCGGTAACAATAATTATACATATTAACTATTATTATTATTATTTAAATTGAGTTAATAGATGAAAAAATCTCCAAAAACAAGGGACTAACTTATTTTCCAAAAATTAAATGTAAAGACACTTCTAAAAAGAGAATACAATTCTATCCCAAATTTCAAAACAATAGATGTGTCACTTAATATAAATTGGTTTTAGCCACATAGGTATTGATTGGTGGCTGCTTTGTGAACGCGATTTATCCTCATGATTTTGGAACTGTGATTACTTTTTTATATAACTTATTGAATAAGATACGAACGTCGAACACTATTTTTGTTAACTATGAAATAAAAAAAAAAAATGGATATGTATACATAATATATGTACACATATTACAGAGTATTCTGAATGGATCATTTAAACTCGGTTGACACTCTGTAGACTTTCATGTTAACATAAAGTTTTGATTTATGTTTTAAGGTGTTGAACAGTTTTCAAACTAGTAATAGTGGAGGTTTAGTTAGTTCTGTGACTAGAAGTACAACGAGCTCAGCTCTTGAAAACTTATGTTATCAGAAAAATAAAAAGGAGGAAATGGCTTACAAGTAAAAAGACAACAATCAGTGATCGGTTTTAAAATATATTGTGTAAAAAAAAATTTTAATTGTTTTTAAGACGAAGAAGTTATCCGGCTCGCATTGAAAATGAAAATAAAGGAATAAGATTTGCAGTGCGCTCTTTAGGGTGGGTTGAAATATGTGAAGATGATTTGACACCGGAAAGAAGTAGTAAAGCCGTTAATAAATGTATTGTTGATTTATCTCTTGGACGTAATGATTTCATCGACAATGTTGGCCGTTGGGGAGACGTAAGTTTAATTAATTAATTATGTAAAACATCTTATCAAATAATTAGTTCATCATTTTATTTTCAGGGAAAAGATTTGTTTATGGATTTGGATGAAGGCGCCTTAAAATTAATTGATCCCGAGAATCTAACGGTGCTAAATACACAGCCTATTCACACGATTAGAGTTTGGGGTGTTGGGCGAGATAACGGCAGGTTAGATCATTTTAAGCAATGTAAATGTTGCATATATAATAATCAGTGCCTGATTTGGGAAAATAAATTTAACTAACACAACTTGTTGTAAAAAAATACATTCCAATTTCTAAGCACGACATTATGTTTAACCAAACCGGCGGATTTTTTATATTTAAATAACACATAATTATTTGAAATACAGACATGGTGTGAGCAATGAACAACTCGGCTGTCGCCTGTCACGCGGCTCTTGAGGTTAAGCTATATATGTTCATTGCTGCTTGATTCCGGATGGGTGACCACCCGTATTTTTTGTCCTATGACATGTCCCCACCACACGTGTTCAGCACGACATTTAAACAACCCCAAAAACCAACCCACAACAAATCTATAAACAGCTAATGGCCTAAGTTGCCAAAGTTAATTTTATTATGATTTATTCAAATACAAATTTATTCAATACCATTTATTTTTATTTTTGATAAGTTAAAAACAAATTCTATTTTTGAGTTTTTTCTTTTAAATTATTTCCACGTCAAGTTGTAACAAAAGTATTTTGTTAGACACAGGTTTTCAAAAAAACAAAAAAAAAAATGTTATTTGGAAAACAAAAACATATTATCTGGTTATAATTATTACTTATTAGTTATGCCTCTTCAATTAGAGCACTGATTGGATTTATTCAAATTGTTATAATATTGTAGATACTTAAATTCTTATAAGTAATTTTATAATTTTGTTTTTTTTTTTATGCTTCATCTGTAGAGAAAGGTAATACATTTATATTTTATAAATATTATTAATAAAAAAATATTTACGTTAAACTAGTATTATACTCAATGTTTAAACTTACATTTAGTTTTCATAAAACATTATAAACAATTTTTTTAATTTATTTTGTAGAGATTTTGCATATGTGGCTCGTGATAGAATTACTCGTCGACACATGTGTCATGTATTTAGATGTGATATGCCTGCTCGTACAATTGCAAATACTCTTAGAGACATTTGTAAGAAAATCATGATAGAACGCAGTCTCCAGCAAAACATAATTAGACCTACAGACTTCAGTAAGCATGAGTAAAATTTAGTTATACAATAATATTTATATTAATGCTTGTATATATCTTTTAGGTAGTGCTACTAAAATGAATCAACCAGTTAGGCCAACAAACCTTCCTTTAGAATACCGTAGGCGTAAGACTAATCGGGGAAACTACACTACGGCTAACAGTACTATAGGTAAAAGTATACAATTATTTAAATTTTGATAATTATTATAACTATTTGTTTTACTATAGTACAACCATTTCCAACTCCGATGGAAGAACCCCGTAAAGTCATACGAGCTACTTATTTAGGCTCAACGGAAGTTTCAAAGGCATCTGGAATGGATGTTTTAAATGATGCAATTCATACATTAAAAAATTCACAAACTTCAATACCCCAAATAGTCACAGTAGCAGTTGCACCTTCAATGATTACCATTCAGCAAGATACAGTAATTTTATCAGAATACAAACTGATACAATTTATAACAATTATTATAATAATTTTACAACTTTTAGGACGATGGTGATCAAATTGTTGAATGTCGAGTTAGGTACTTATCCTTCTTGGGGATCGGTCAAAATATAAAACAGTGTGCTTTTATAATGCATACCACCCAAGACTTATTCATTGCCCACGTTTTCGAGTGTGATCCATCTGCCGGAACATTATGTAAAACTATTGAAGCTGCTTGTAAAGTATGTTTGTCGAATAACCATATAAATTTGATTTCTCATAATTCCAGTTGTTTCATTTTTTAACAGTTAAGATACCAAAAATGTTTGGATGCACATCCACAAGGTTTAAATCCAAGTGTAACACTTAGTCACAACATTAACGGTGGGTCAAAAAAAGGTATAAGTTCAACGTTAAAGTCATTAGTTGGTACTATTACAGGCCGCAAAATGAAATTGACTCAATCCTGAGAAGAAGTTTTCACGCTACAGGTAGAATAAGTATAAGCTACAATTTAAATAATATGATTATTTTTATCAATAACATTTTATTAAAACCACTTAGGAGGAATTGACAAATTCTGAAGAGCGTGAAGTTATACCACACAGACATTTGCAGTCGCCACATACAATAAAGTATTATGCGCTTTCGACCAGCATGCAATCCTTATTATCACCGACTATTGATAACCGGACCTTAAACGATCCTTACTAAGTTAATATCAAGAAATATAGTTGTATAAGAAATAAACATAATATACTAAATTATAAGAAGTATTCATACATACTATATATATTGCTATCATGTCTAATACTAGAATTTGAGTAAATCAGTTCCAAATTGTGTTTTATCGGCTGAATAATTACTCCCATCAATACTGTGTATACTTAACTTTATATAATTACAACTAGGGCTTTTTGAGAACATAAATATAGTGGTGGGATAAATGCTGTGTATACTTTCACTTTCCTATTAGTATACACATACAGAAAAATGAGAGCTGAGTACACACAGCTTACACCACTGTATATACACTATATAAAAAAGTTTGAGCAAATTTAATTTTTTTTTTAAATCAAAGATATGACAATAACCTGAGTTACTATGAATACACTATACTACAATACATTTATATCTTATTACATTTCATCATATCACATATCAAGCTTGAAATAATAATGTCACTATTTATTCATTTAGTTTCTGCCAAGATGTTAATTCACATTAATGCTGTTTAACCTATAATTAATTACTATTAATGGTATTAACTAATAATTACAGTATTATTAATACTGTTAGAACAATAAAAATCCTTTTATCCTATTATTATGCGATCTCGATATTTTTGGTACACGAGTTTGTATAATTATAAACGTAGCTTGTTAAAAATATTTTATAAACAAAAAATGCACACTTATTATGGATGTTGAAATGTAGAACTAAGCTTTATATACGTTAAAAATAAACAAAAATATTATAATTATAATTTATAACTGTAAATTTATTTAAATTTGTACGACAGTCCTAATATTTGTAGTTTTCAATATCTATTGCTAATTTATACTTGTATTTGTAACATAAAAAGTAAGTAACTATTCAATTAGCTTTCAAATGATTTAACTTATTAATTTATACAGTTTCAAAATAAAAAATAAAAAAAAAATAACTTATATAAATAGAGCTTTGACTTTTCTGCCAACCAATTGGCGATCATATAGTGCATTAAATTTGTTACAAAAGTTATTTATTTCATTGCAAAATTTGGTTACTACTCCCAAGTATGCAATTAATGCTACATCGTTGCAATGTGTATATAAGTCCCTGTAAAATTCACCCGATTCCATTACTGGTAAACGATGACATAATGAAATATATTCTCTGAAAAAAAAAAAATATGACTAAGACATATTTTATAGAATACCAAGCTAATCAGTTAATTATTTAAACTAGTATATTAATTTATTAAATATACTGGCACTCATTATATATTATAAGTGGAAGACAAGTGGCCAAGGTGGGATAACGCTAGTGGATTTACATCGACTGGCGTTTAAACACTACCTTTATGGAAAAGGGAGCAATTGCTTTTAGTGGGCCACTTAAGCTAGCATAGAACAGACACTCATTATTTTCAAAGAAATTTTAGTTGCATAGATTTACCTAAGTATTTCATTATTGATTGGCTTATCACTGTTCTTAGTTTCTTTTAAATATTCAAGTAACATTTTGACTCTACTGTGTAACATCTTGATGGCATTAAATTGCACTGTTAGAGTTTCAGCGACCAAACTATTTTCTTGTGCATCGTTGGTTGACATTCTTGCTACATGATCGACTCCAATACGTTCAGCGTCTTCAGTTGATAATGTATATGTCAATTCGACAAACTGCATTTTTGTTTCTCCATTTATTATGTCAATAACAGACTCGTATACTTTAACTGGAAGATCCGTATGACCGCCATGAGGATTCATCTTAAGGAAAATTGGACTCTCTGATATATCAGTAATTTGTTTATGTAGTTCGACATCGCGTAATGTTGGTTTGTCACTACTCGTACCCGTTATGTACCAACCCAGAAATTCTAAATCACAAAATACCTAAAACAAAATATTCTGTTATACTATTGTCTATTTAATATCATGAAGTTGGGGCACCAGGACGAGTTGGGTACAAAGGAAAGTTACCACACATTAAATAAAAAATAAGGAATTAATGCTTGATAAACTGCAAAGCTATCGATAAACCCCCTATAGAGCCAGACAGTAACCTGTCAAAGACTGAATCGAAAGGAAGTTCCATAATAACACGTTGACCGCCTGTGACCTAAGATTTTTTAATTTTTTTTTCCTGAAATTTACAAATAACTTATTATAAAGATATACATTTTATCAAAATTAAACAACTGTAACTATTTTTAAGTGTTTACACATTTGAGAAAACCATATAAAAATAGCGTGGTCTTGGGCGCATTACACTGACTTGGGTCGCCCGCGGTCATGTGGCAGTCAACGTGTTAAACAGTTTTCCATTTTCTTAAGCAACAAATTCGTGTAAGAATTTTGTACCAAACCTAATGTTTAAAGTAGGTAAGAGAATTTATTTAATGGAAAATGGTCGCAAGAAACGGACTTTTGACTGATTGTAATATGTGAATATGCATTTAATCTATAAATGATGTTTACTAAATCTTAAAGTTAAAACTTATGCAGTAAAATGTCAATCAAAATGTATTTATTTATTTTTTGTTTTATTAAGTTTTGGCTTAGCTAAGCTCTCTTCTAAATCTTAGTTACAGTGATGAGCTGGTCGCAGATACCTGCAACAATTTTAATAATATACATGTTCTTTGGTAGTTACTTCATTTTTCCCGCTTCACAAGTCTCTTGATATAATTAATCTGGTTTACAGTAAACACTAAAAGTGAAAATGTACTTATTGAAATACAAATTCACTCATGAAAGAGTTTTTTTATTTTGTAATGAAAATTACATAAGTAATAATTTAGTAGTATTCTATATTTTAACAGAGAAGTTTATGACCGAAAAAGACATAGAATGCAAATATAATATTTGTATAATAGGATGGGGCGAACAAATCTTTTACATTATAGCTCAAGTTGATTTATTATTAATTATAAGTGTTATTTAGGATTGAACAAATTATATCCTTGTGTAATCTTACTTGTTTGAACTGCTCTTCTTTAGTGTCGTAATAAACTCTGTCAATCACCAGTGATGAATCATCAAGTTTAGTATACGACAACTCAAATGAGTTCATAATTTCAAGAGTACGGTCCTTATGTTTACCTATAAGGGCACCAAGAGCCAACTCTGAAGTACCTAATTGGGCCGTTAGACGTGTCCAATGTTCGGATATATTGAGAATGACAAGAGGGTGTAATGATATAGAGACACTACCCGTAACATTGGTGGCTAAGACATTATCTTGGACATCGTCTACTTCCATCTCCACGACTGTGTTGTCCATATTTAAGTCCAAACAAACACAATAACTAAAAACTTACAAAAAAAAGAATGTAATTAAAGTAAATTCTAAAACATTAATAAATAACACAAGTCACAACCCACAGTTGGATTTAAGAAATGATAATGAATCCGACAAACAACAAAAACACTGATAACAATAATAGAGATACGATTACCACCAACCAAATATATAAAATATTTATTCATTTTAACTGATTTACGATTATAAAATCGAAATTATTATCTGCAGGGTACACAATTTTTGTTATACTTTTATTATTATTAACTTTAGAATTTAATAACCGATTTTACGAGCATTTCAAAAAACAATTTCGGACAATTTGTTTATAGATTAAGTTAGTAGATCCTTGTACAAATGATTACAAATCATGATAAATAAAATAGTCATGTCAGCAACTTTTGATAACTTCACAATGTCTGCCGGCTTTTTCAGGCGGCCGTTTATTTCTTACGAGAGAAAACCAGCTACCATATTGTATTTAATTGATAACACAAGTTATCGACATACCTTTTTATTTTGTCTGGTAAAATCTTCAATGAAAAATTATAAAATTATTAAATAATTGATAACAGAGAAAAATGTTAAATTTTGTACATATTAGCCGGCAACTGCTGCCTGTAATTTGTAAGTTAAGAAGGACTTGTTTGACTTGTTTATTAAAATATTTTTTTAAAAATATTTTACTGTACTACCAATCAAATTTAGTCATTCTGTATTATAGTTCAATAAGTGGAAATATTTTTCTAACAATTATTAATTTTATATTTATTCATGTAGTTAGCATATTATATGCTAATTTAAAATGTATATAAATAATTTATTTCGAAGACGTGCGTTAAAATTAACAACTTATGCATCTAAATACATAAGGAAAAAAAACTCGAAAACAGATGCTGACAGAAAGTAATTTAAGTATTTTATCTTTTTAGCAGAGGGTCTAAATAATAATATTATATTATTCTTAGATGCTGAACGCCTTAATTTCCGCTTAAAAAAGACAATACGTAAACCTCGCTATCTTTCACACTTTATTTATGAAATTACATTTTGTTGATTATAAGTTAAAAGTTTATCGCTTTGTTTTATAGAGATTTAAAGAGTGTAGTAGGATTAGAAATACATGCTCAACTCCAAAGTAAGTCTAAACTATTCAGTGCAGCTGCTAATTGTTTTGAATCGGCGGCTAATACTCAGGTAGCACTGTTTGATGCTGCCATCCCTGGGACACTTCCAGTAAGTTTTATAGTCCTCAGACTTAATAGAAAATTTAATATATTGTTTTTTGTGATTTATTTTAAACTCACAAATGTCACAAAGCTAGATTAAACAAATAATAGCTTCAAAACTTTCTAGATTATAAATAAAAAATGTGTCGAAGCGGCGACCTTAACTGCATTGGTATTGAATTGTAAATTGAATACTATTTCATTATTTGATCGTAAGCATTATTACTACGCAGATATGCCGGTAAGAAAATATGATTTACTAATTATAAGTATACAATTTTTTGTTTAACTATATAATCTTCTGTTAATATTTATTATTTTTTTAGGCAGGATACCAAATTACGCAGCAAAATTTACCATTGGCTACAAACGGTCAACTTTCGTTTTACGTTGTAGGTGAAAATATAAATAAAGAAATTTATAGTAAAACCTCTTTTATCAAACAAATCCAATTAGAACAAGACAGTGGTCGTTTAATTCACGACGATTCTTCTCAAACGTAAAACTTCTTATGCTATTTTAATTTTTTGTTACAAAATTTTGTTTTCTTTTAATTTAACTTTTTTTTTTAGGGTTTTGGTAGATTTAAATCGAGCAGGACTTGCATTGGTGGAATTAGTATTTGAACCTGATCTTTCCGACGGGTTGGAAGCATCTTCTCTTGTTAAAGAACTTTTGCTTACTTTTGAATGCATTAAAACATGTTCTTGTAAAATGGAAGGTAAATTATAATACTTTTAATGTTGTAACATTATTCATTTGCTCATATCTAGTCATTTTTGTATGACATACTTATTAATAATTCATTAGAGGGTGCTTTAAGAGTGGATGCTAATGTTTCTATTAGTGAGGGTGAACAAATGGGTACACGTACTGAGATTAAAAATTTGGGAAGCGTACGAGCTGTCCAATCAGCAGTTGACTATGAAATCCGTCGACAACTTAACTTAATTAAAGCGGGTAAAGAAATCATAAATGAAACTAGAGGATGGGATTCAGTTTTGAATAAAACAATATCTATGCGAGATAAAGAAGTGTTACAAGTAAGTTAAAAATAAATAACATCTAGTATAACAATTAACAATTGATCACAAATCATTGCAATAACAATTTGAAATAATGAGTTATTTGAAATACACTTTTTATTGCAACAAATAGTTATATTGTATGCATTTTTATTTAACTCTTACAAAAAATCTGGTTTTTTTAATAATAGTACAATTTTATTTTAGTACTATGTGATTTTTATTTAAATAGTGGCCAGGGTTGTAACAAACTTGATACTACTAGAGGTTGTATTTATTAGTATATCATTCAATATCCCTACAAGTGTAAAGTAATTATCATATTCAAATTGATTCATAAATAATTTCAATATTTTTTCAGGATTATAGATTTATGCCAGAACCAAATTTATTACCTCTAAATTTAAACATGATCGATGTTGATAAACTGCAATTGTCTATTCCTGAGTTACCAAATGCAACTCGAAAACGATTAATGCAAACGTATGGTTTTAATATACGAAAGGCGTCTATTTTAATGGTATACAAGTCACATATTGATTATATTGTTATACATAATTGATAATACACTTAAAATATATAATTTATTATGTGTCTATTCTAAACAATTGCTTATTTCTAGAATGAACCAGTGTTGTTGAAATTATTTTTTCAAATTATGAATGAGGACTCCTCTAGGAATCCATCAAGAGCATGGAATATAATAACTATTGAACTTGTAGCAGAACTAAATAAAATTAATATGAAACCTGTACAATGGTAAAAAAATAATGAAATACTGTTGTTTGTTTTTTAACCAATTAATTTTTTAGTGGAATTTCATCTAACGTAATTGGAGAGATCGTAGATTTATTAGATAATGGAACATTAAATTTAGCTTATGCTCGAAAGGTAATCGGAGAATTGCTACAAAGTGTAAATAAATCTGCAACAGAAGTAATTATATCAGATATTTCATGTGTTATTGACTATTATTATATGTGTTTCTTATTTGGAATTTTTTCTTTAGATTGTGATTAAAAATAATTGGAAACAAATCACAAATGATAGTGAAATACTCAAGTTTTGTGAAGAAGCCATGGTTGAGTATCCAAAAGCTGTTAAAGACTATAAAAAGGGAAAAGTAAAAGCTATCAAAGCATTAATAGGTTCAATTGCCAAGAAAACCAATAACCGAGCTGATTTAGCATCGGTTTCAAAAAAATTAGAAGAATTACTGAAAAGTAACAATTAATTATTAGTTGTTGAATCATATTAATAAGAAATATTATTAAAGCAAAGTATAACTTTTTTATAAAAATTGTTGTTGAATACTTCTTTTAAGCCATAGTTGTATATTATAAATCGATAGATCAATCGAAAGTAGTTGTTACAATTATATTTTTAAAGTTCGAATTACACAGTTTACGCTGCAGAATTAAATTCAGATAAAGAGAGAAGAGCATCACTTGTGTAACGCATGTAAATAGAAATAGTTTAAAAGCATAATTTTCTTATTTAATTCATTAACATATTATGAGTACACTAAGTGTACTCAAATTTTGAAAACGTAAGCATACCTACTAATTACGTTTGTATCATATGTATCAAAAGTTTACCATATTCTGATTGTATCTATAAAAAAAAAAGTAGGACGTAGCGCTGCTTAGCACTTTCTTAGAACATCTATGGCTTTTAAGCAAGTATCGGATTTAAGTGCAGGCATTAGGAACACTCGAAGTTACACTGAAGTTATTCAGTGCAAAAAAGTTCTGTATAACTTCACATTATCATTATCGCAAAGCTTTGATAGAACTTTAAATAATCTATTTACTTTTAGAACACTGAACAAAAAGGTTCTATCTAAGTCAAAAACTATTTTATTAGGAACAAAAAGTTCTATTTGTAATTATTAATACCACATGTACAATATTTTTTACAATAATATGACAACATGTTGAGCTCCCTAACCAGCTAAAAAAAAAGCGCCGTGGTATTTTCTTGGTTTTTTTTTTTTGCATATCGCCGGTATGATATTTATAATATGTTATATAGTCTATTGTCTATACCTAAAGAATATGCCACATCATTTTGGAGCAAATTATACTATTTTCAAAAAATATATAGCGTACAGTAATTCTAACTTAATTTCTGTGTACGTTTCTAAGGTGTTTTTGTCGATGTTGAATGGGAAAGGGTAAACTATTTTTAACTTATGGCCTTATAAAATAGGATACGAATTTTGAGCTATACACTTTCTATGTGAAGAAATCGGTCCAGTTGTTAAACTTTTTTTGTGGATCCAGGCACAAAAATAGGGAAAACACATCATTGTAAAACCAATAATATATTCTCAGCTTGGTATCGAAGCTAAAATGTATTAAGGACGCCAGACACGTGTTTTGAAAATAATGCGTGCGTATTTCAAATGCAACGAAGGCTTCAATGAACATCGACATATTATAATATATAAGTAATATATTGTTGGAAAGATGATAAGATCTTAGTTCTACCGTGTTTTGTTGGAATTATATTTTCACAATTGTGTTTTTTTTGCCTTACATAATGATATGCAAATATGAAATGAATATTACTATATTATGGTATTTTTGGTAAGCTGTAAATAAATTGTAATGCTCTCTATTTTGTAATACTATTTTCAAAGTAGGATTCCAACAAAATCATCATTGAATTTTTCATCTTTTAAACGGTGAAAAAATTTTGGCTTTTTGTTCACTTAACATTTTATTGTATTTTAACTACGAAAAATGGTGTGATGGAATATAATTGTAAATTTTGATGTATAAATAATGACTGATAGTCTGACCAAATAAAAAAAAAAAATAACGAATAAAGAATCCTTATTACTGTATTAACAATTATACACTATAACTATTGAAGCTCTAATTATGATTTTGCCAAAAATTGCTTATACTTTACTCTTTAATAAATGGGTGGTTTGGCGTTCTCTTAACTTTTATTGACCGGGGCTACAAAAAGTCTAAATTCGATTCTTATTTTAAACATTTTAAGAGCTTTGGGAGAGGAAATGCTTTTATTTTGCTCGCCGGAAGAAACATCGAATAGATATCATAAGCATAGCGATTGTTCTGACTCTCGGACCACCCAACCTTAACAACACATAACTGTCTTGTACTTATACGGTTTGTATATATTCATTCAACTTATACTCAAAGTGTGTACTGTATATACCAGTCGTTTTTTGGCGACCGCACGGAGGATGCGCTTAACCTTGGTCTGGCCGGTCGGGGCTAGCCGGTGCCAGTTCAATACATATATTTATGTATTGTACATACACACCAAGTGATCTAATTAACGTCTGACACTTATTTTCTGTTAAAAGAATTGCAATTTTGAGTTATTCTTCTACAGAAACCTTCATCGTGCAAGACCATTTACATAAGCGTGTGTTGCGTTAAATAGCTAAGTTTATTCAACACATTGTAAGATTAAAATAGAATTGTTAAATTGGTCTTACTTTTTATTTATTTTATTTTTGAGGAACGGAAACATTCAGGTTTAGCTCTGGGTTTAGCAATTAGGTTATTTTAATAGTCTTATTAACGGCCTTCTTCCTCCAGATTATGAGCCTTATTGCGGCTACGACTAAAATGTAAAAATAGCCCCATTAGGTTCAGACATTTCCCTTGTCAGTTGTCGAGTGTAAATAGGAATTGAATCGGTGGCGGAAGCATTATCTATAGTTACTAATTTTAAACGAGGAAAATTAACTTTTATATAAATTAAATTGGTGAAAATGAAGTACTTTAAGTTTTCCAAAAAAAAGAACTCATGACATTGGTTATTAGAGTACTATTTTATTAACCATATAGGCATAACTATAGGGGAATGTAAGGATGGTTGAGCTCCCTTTTTGATTTTAGCTCCAAAATTACTCAAAAGATAGATAAAACTTAAAATTCAAATAAGAAATAAAATTTCCTTGAAATAAATTACTGGCTATATGAGACTTGTTCGTACCAAGAGTTATAGTCCATAATCAATTATTAACCATGACGCAGGGGAGGGAGTGGACTACATTCTATAGTCATATTCATTTTAACTTGAATTTAGTTTCAAAAGGGATTTATTACAATCTTAATCATGTTGGGGGATGTGGTGTAAAATCTGTTTTTGATTTCTGGGTTCAACCCCATCTCTACCTAAAATCCGTTTTCAGTTAAGCCTATATGGCTTTGGATGGCATTGTCAACATTTTATCGTAAAATATACACAAGGAAACCGATGTAGGAGTGATATTAAGGGACGAGCAGCGTTCGGTCCAGTGGTCGCCGGTCGCGTTAATTAGACCGAGAGAGACAGCATATATAATACAGCCACCGGGGCTCTTGACCCATATACACATGTCACGGGTCGGGCACGAGAGGATTTAACGGTGGTTCAGATCTTTGTGGCGTCGGCGGGATGATACTCGCGCAAACTCCGGAGCAGCCGGCGTTGGCGCACTGCAACGGCCGCACATATTAGCCATGAGCGAGCGCTTGTGCCAGTGTGTAAATGTGTGTGTGTCTCAAGCTCGACCGTGCCTCTATCGGTCCGTCGCTGCTCGTTTATATAAATAGAGGCGTCCCGTCGCCACCGCCGCGGCGAATAACTTTTGAGTTACACGAGCACGTTATACGACTACACGGCCCAGTTGTTATTATTAACGAGCGTTTAAGACTCGACCACGGAGCGTCGCCGAACGGTGTCCGCTACCGCGTACTCGCGCCAACGAATAAACATGTTTTTAGTGTAATTAATTTGGTTTAAAAAAAATAATAATAATAAAATAAATCGTTTTATATATCGTTTTGGACAACTTCGGCCGGTCGCGGGTGCGTTCACTCCTTGACGTCGCCGATCTGCGGGGGTGCGATCTGCGGTGTTGTGTACGCGTGTGTGTGTGTGTGTACCTACGTTGTCCGACGGATAGCCGCCGCGATCGCGTGTTGGCCGGCCGTCGGTATAGTGCCTGTTTTTTTTTTTTTTAGTGGACAACAATATTATTTCTAGTGACATGTCGATGAGACACGTTGCGCGGCGGCCGCGGCGATGGTAGAAGCGCGTTAAATGCCATCTGCAGTTACGAAGGTGGCGATCGTAACAGCGGCTTTGAAATTATGTCGCCACTGACGATCGACAGACGACGTTTTCCGGTGCTGTGTAAGTAAACGCAAACGAAATCGTGTATAAATAAATCAATGCCAAAATAATGTTTGCCAAAAAAAAATTAGTCATAGGGAAAGAACGAGAGTTTTTACATTGTTCGGGACCTGGCCAACAACGTCTCTTGAGAGGTTGATATATTATATTAATATATTAGTATATATACATGAACAGATACATACATGAATTCTGTGCACAAAATCCAGGTTCAAAACCGTTAACATTTTTTTTAAATAAATCGTCAAAAAGTTAAAATTAAACAGTTACCCATACGGTCTACGTATAAATAATTTTTAAATAAAAGCAACAATAAAAGTTTTAGAAAATATAAACTAAATATAATGATATATTTTTAGAAGAACTGTTGTTTGCTCAGAAGTAGGTATTGATGTAAAATAAATAGTTTATAGATAAAATATTGAATCATAAGTTAATTGTTTTATTGTACGTTTATTGAACAATTTTAACCAGTTTTAATCAATTTTTAATGGTCCTGTGAACGCCCCTCTTACCCCCTCAAAACCGCCCTTGTGGGAATAATTTGTTAGTATGTACATTATCTTTAACTTAAATTATTTTAAGATATTGTCTTCTTCATTAAAGACCAGCGCTGTCATTTTGAAACTTAAATTATTATGATAGCAACTAATAATAATAAATATTTAAAAAAAGTACTTCAATACTAGTGTAATAACTAATAAGATACTATATATTAGACAACAGGTACTAAATTTCTTTACAACTGTTATCTATTGAACTTACAAGTAGGTATAACGACTACAGAATTCGAAAAATTACTTAACTATATTTTCTATGTATTTTCTATTCAATGTGATATCTTTCAACTGTTCAATCATCTATTGTAAATCACAATTCACAATTACATTATGATGGTTATAACTTATAAATAAGAAAAAATTCATGAATATTATAATTTACATAGTTTTTTGACATGATATCATTGACAATTGACCAAAATTATTTTTTATTCTTTAATTTAAAAAAAAGTCGATGATATACCTCCTGTGCACCTACTGTATAGGACTAGAATTTTAACTTCACGTTCAAAAGGTTTTAATGCTAATTTTAAAAATAAAGTTAAATTTGATTCCAGCGATATTTTAGCTTTACATGATTCGTCTCGTGTTACGTCTCATCGATGTTCAAATGCATATTATAAATTTGTTTTGGGTGTATTGGTTAGCGGGGAACCTATGAATTTTCAAAAACTTAAATTTGTTCTGCATGAGGTTGGATTGATGAATGATATTGTCATTAAGTATTAATATTGTATTTCGTCAATTCAAATTTGTTTATTCTTAGAGTACGATTGAGTCGTCTTCCGCCTCAAATCCTTAACTGGAAATTATTGATCTATATTAAAAATGTTTTACTACGATAAAGCAAGTTTGTGCCTTCTGAGCTTAAAAATCAGTTTACAAAGGAAGTACATAAATATTGACAATAATTGCATTTGATTTGGTAAAAATACGATGTCCTTAATTTTACATATTCTACAATAAACATAATATAATTAGCAGTTGATGTACAGCCTACTATTTTATAATCTGTATACTGAATGTTGCCTCGGAGATATTGTTTTTTTGTGGATTTTACATAATTAAAAGATTTTTATTTTAAATAAGTAAACATATTGACAACAGTTTTATGTGTGTTATTTGGAATCGCTGGCGGCTGAACCAGTTTTTATGATCAGTTCTCTATCGGTTCCAATTCCTAGCCCGTAACCGGAAAGAATATGTAGGGAAACACAAGTTAAAAAACTCCACTCATTTATCCTATAAACCCTCGAATGTTTCAATAAGTTACCTACTGATTTTGTATGTTTAAATATTGGTGCACTACACCAAAATAAAAAGGTTGTAAAGAGTTTAATTATATATGTACAGTATACTGTTTATTATTTAGGCACGTTTTTACTTTTTAGTCTTTAATGAGTAATAATAATTTTAGTCAATATAAAAAAAAAAGCTAACATACATCAAATTCCCTCTTGGTAGGAATTAATAACAGATTAAAAATGTAAATATCTTTAGTTGAATTTTGTTGACTGTTAATCATTGAGATTAACAAAATTGGAGGCGTAAAACGCCTTTTAAACCTTAGTACCTTACTAATTTCTCCAATAGGCATGTGTTCACATCAGTAAATACCCGAGAAACAAACACCAACCTTTGGCAAAGAATCAGATATATTTTTCGTTTTATTTAATTTTTCTTAAAAATATGTACAGTTTTCGGACATGAGCTTTTGATTTAACATAATTTCATTATTTTAATTTCCAACTTTCAATTTAGCGGGTTTAGTTTACCTGTCGTTACATAAAAGAGTGTCTTACTTAAAATATGGTGTTAGTTGAAGTAGGTAGATACTTAAAAAATACCTAGGTACAATTTTTAGTGCTTTTCTTCAAAATAAATGTTTTTTTCCCGGTTAAGTTCGATTAAATTCACTTGCCGCGTTTGATCATTCGTTACACGTGGAAGTGAACACTTTTGTTAATTTAGTTATTTAGTTAAATAATATTATGTTAAAACACTCAAGCTTTCATTTTACCCCTTTAACAAATCTTAATATATATTGTCTGGGTCGCACAAAATTTCATTGGCTGCATAAGCCTTTTATATGAACACTGTGATTGGTCCATACACGGTTAATTAAACCAATAAAGTTTTGTGCATCTCAGCATTAATATAATAATTAAGTATTCTTTATTATTTAGTATATTTAAAGTAGTAAGTACTACTATTAAAAGTCGGAATTGTACAAATGTACTTTAGTTTACTCCATCGACTCTTGTAAACATTTTAAAATTGTGTTGCTTTAAATTTTAATCTACCCAAATATACTAGTATGAAAAGTCGATAATAATTGAATGTCTTAATTTTTAACATTTTGTAGATAGAAATTTAAACAATTATTTAACTATTGCAAGCATTTTTTGAACGTAAAATAGTTTTAGTAGCGACGAATAAATAAACAAATTAATTAGTCGTTAGCACTGGAGATGACAACATTGTTGCCGAAATACGTATACGCGGAGAGTGTATTATTTTATGCTTAAGGGTGTGTTAAATATTATTTTATTATATATAACCATAAGTTGCTCAAGTTTTTTCTAGATTAATTAATTAGTTTTTAACTTAAAAATATGCATGTAGTGTTTGCATAGTTAGCAAATAAACATTTTGCTAAAAGGACAGGATTGTACCTACCTTTGAAATACCGCTTAATATGTTAATTGCATACGCGTGTGTGGTGTAATAAATATATGAACATTATTACTTATAGTGGTTATATCTAAATTACCAATATACTTAACCTATGTCGTATGCGTGAAAAAAAGAAACAACGCCCTTTTATTGCGTGTTTACATGACTTTTACAGGCGTCATACACCCTTGTCATTTTACCTCCCTGCCTTATAATGTACATGCGTCCACATTTTAAAATAATTACTTGTATGTATATCGACTTAAGTTAATTATAATTATTATAATTTATATTTGGCAATTTATGCTTGATTGTTTAGTGACATCTAAGTTTCTGAACTATCGCAGGTTTTTTTTAAATATGCCATGGGCTACGCCTTCACCCTCCCTTCTTCTCCCTTTGTTGCCAGGTATTTTTATATACAAACCATGTAAACGGGTTATATGAATAATATTATTGACAACAAATTCAGTGCTTATTTCCTAAAACATTTGTAAATACTAAATATAACGTAAAACTGAAAAAACTATACTATTTTTGATCTTTTTATTTTTTACAACATATTTTGGACAGTTTGTATTTTTTGCCATATGAATAGCTGTAAAAAACAAATTTTAAAGAATAAAAATTCAAATACGTCTATTTTTGAAACGAATAATATTTTATGTGGCTTTTGGGAATCATTCAAAAGCTAAGCAAGGCTAAACAAATTTTAATAATAATCATCGTACTTATTTAGCTTAAAAACTGAAAATGAACCTAAAAACGAAAAACGAAAACAATAAAATATTTCCATCCCTTTTGGGCAAGTATAAATAATAGAGGCACTTTAAAATTTTAGGTACTAATAATTGTTGTCTGTGAAATAATTGTTTTAACTAATACAATTTTAAATAATTGTATAGCAATACATTTATTATAATATAACTTTTTTGTTTGTTTTAGATTTCGCAGTTTTATTACTAGTTACGAAAAACACCGTCAGTACAGGTAAACGAGTCATAACTCATTCATAAATAAGGTTTTGTACTGGTAATATTATCATTTATCATTCTTAGTTATTATATTTTCACGTGCCGCATATTTATAAATGTTATAGATCCAGAAACAATAGGTGGAAATACTACAACAATAATTAATATGATCGATTACGATTTACCCGTTCAGGACATGGCACCTGAGAGTTCTATGACTTCACCCTGTCACCTGTTTGAGGGAGAATTTGAATTTTTTTCTCCCGGTTATCCTCAGACGTATCCTAATAATACGGAATGCATACGGGTAATAACAGGTACATATTAAGATGGATAACAATCGCGATGCAATTAGAGTTTCAATGTGGTTTTTACTTTTGTTTGTTTTAAGCTGACGAAGGAGAAGTTATCGAATTGGATTTCAGAGACTCGTTTACGATAGAACCTAGCAGTGGATGTAAACACGACCATTTAGAAATTCGAGATGGTCCCTATGGATATTCAGAACCTGCTCATTATTTTTGCGGTAACCAATTTCCTCCCAAGTGAGTGAATTTATTTTGTGATTATTAGTTATTTTGTTCTGATTACTGTTTGGCTTCACAAAGGCTATGGCTAGGCTCTTGTCCTACTCAGAAACTTCTTTTTATTTGCATGGTACTCTCATTTTTATGAGCACAAATCTATTTTATTTTTCACCTGTAAAAATTCATCTATAAATTAGTACGATTAATAATAATAAATGTAGTTATAAATGTGTCTTATAAAGTTAAAAAGAATCGGTAATTATCGAGGTGATGTTATAAAATATAAATTTGTATAGATTTTGGGGATTAAAATGAATACTGATATGAGTGGACTTAACCTATGCGTAATGATCTTTTAGCATTATACTAGTTATATTATTTGTAACCTAATCATTGTTTGGTAAAAGTTAGTTATAACTTAAAAGGGTTTACTCTTTGGGATGAGAGTGACGGTTCTGATAAAAGTTTTTAATATTTATAAATTATAATAAAATATATCATACAGATTTATTTATTTTGTATGACTTACAAGATCTTAAGCGCTTTACAATTAACGATTAATACAATTTAAATAGATAAATAGATAAATAAAATAAAATAAACAACTATGTAAATGCTATATTATTTGTGAAGTCAGGTAACTTTTGGTTTATAAATCGACGTCGAGTTTGCTTAACCATTCAATAGCCGGTTAACGGTTTCGTGGTTATTATTACAGATAATGTGTCTCTTATATAAATTCCAACATTTTTAAAACTATTTTTACCATAGCATAGGTATATTTTGTGAAAAGACGAGGACGTCTAAATATTTATCTATTGACATGAAATAATGATTGAATGACGCGTAAAATACTACGGAACATATTGTATTAGTTGGCATAATTTTCACAAAATGATTTGTCTCGTGTATAACAGACGGTTTGAGCTTTTCATAGGTTTGCCCGTTCCACCTAAAGGCAAGATATGTTCGTTTTCACCAAAAATATGTTCTTAATGTCAGATCTATTTACAGCGTCTCTGCTCGGTAGAGGCCAGGCCTTCAAAGTAAGGAATGCTTTGGTTCTTTAAAATGTAAATGTATATTTATGCCCATATTTTTAACTCCATGTGAATTGAGTATAAGTAATAATAGACTTGGTAATAGAAATTTTCTCGGATGAATTATTTGTTCAACAGTCAATTGATTAATACATTATTAATCAACGCCTCAGTATAAAACTAATAAAATAACATTTAAAATTAAATATTATTAGGTTGAAAACTAGAAAAGAAGCACCATACTTACTCCATCGTTATGATCACGCTAAATTGGTAGCCATAGTAAAAATGTTTAAGTTACAACTGTAAATTAATCAATATATTATTTAAACGTAGGAAAGGTATTATTTTCCTTGAGCCTAATCTTAAACGTCCAAATCCACTCTCCACATGTCTACTACAAACCAATAAAAGTTATTATAATATTGTATTATGTGATATTCCGTTTAGGATAGTGTCGAAGGACCGGTCGTTATGGTTAAGGTTTCGGTCTGACGAAAACATTGAATACGATGGATTTCATGCTGTTTACAAGTTCATCAAGAAACCTCCAACAAGTAAAAATTATATATATTTGTTTAATTTCTTATTAAATTAACCGCTGGCGTACGATTTTCAGGTGTCCGTGTACCGCAATTGCCGGCTTGCCGGAATTACATAAATGGCTCGCAAGGGTACATCAACAGCACGGAAGTGGATAAAGTCAAAAACGAAACACTCATGTATAAAGTGCCGCTTGATTGTATGTGGATCATAGAAGTAAAAGTCGGATGGAAAGTAAGCAGGACCGAAAATTTTTATTTACAAATAAATATCACTTCAAGGATAAAAAAGAACAATTTAGCTGCGTTATTATTGATTCAAATGTTCTTTAGCACGTCTAGTTATTTTTCAAATAACCTCCAAAGTTACAAAAAACTAATAAACATTTAAAATTTCTTTTGTATAAAAAAACAATGTACAAATTCTACATGATATTCTGAGATCATTCTTAATTTAAAAATAATACAATAAGAAACTATTTAAAATAAATTTATTTAAATGTAAAAAAATGCTTAAAATAACATTTTTAGCATGTTTTAAAACAGTGTTTTTAAAATTTGTGGGCGATTTCAATAACGTTCTAGAAAAAATGTGTTTCAGCATAAAAAAACGGATGTATATAATTGAATACTGGGGATATAGTGAGGGTAGGAAAAGGGGATATTGTACTGTTGATACAAAAAAAACAGTGGTTATGTTTACAAAATTGTGTGTACAGGGTGGAGCAGTGAAACGGGTGATTTTAAAATAACAAAAAAAAACTAACAACATTTTTTTAAATACATTTATTCATACCATCTGAATGTATATAAAAAAAACATTTAAAAAATGTTAATTTTGTATTTAATATTTATGAACGATATCCGCAAGATGGCGTCCATTTCGAAGCAAGCATTCGCCAAGGCGTCTTTTATAACTGGACATGACATTTCGTAACATTTCCCGAGAGATTTGTGTCACCTCTTCTTGTGTTCTTTGTTTGAGTTTGTCAATTGTTCTCGGCGTTGTTTGGTATACTTTATTCTTAATATAACCCCACAGAAAAAAACACAAGCTGTCAAATCAGGTGATCGGTGCGGCCAAGGAATATCCCCATTTCGAGAAGTTATGCGGTTCGGAAACAATGCTCTCAGAATATTCATACTCACTCTAACAGTATGACTCGTAGCTCTATTTTGTTGAAAATATCCAGTTACTCCATATTGAGTAAGTTGTGGAATAAAACATTTTTGCAATATCTGTGAATACCGTTCTGAATTAACGGTGACTGCCTCTTCACGTTCATTCTCGAAAAAATACGGGCCTATGGGCTATAATACCTAAAGAAGATAAAGCGCACCAAACCATTACTTTGGACGAATGTAGAGGTCTCTGATGAAGTTCAAGTGGGTTTATGTCACTCCAGTACCTAAAGTTTTCTTTATTAACGTATCTGGAGAGGTGAAAATGAGCCTTGTCACTCATCCATAAATCATGGACAATATCTTCATTTGCATTAATAACAGCCGCAAAATGTTCACAAAAATGTCTTCGACTGCCACGACGAATGCTTTCTTCGAAATGGACGCCATCTTGCGGATATCGCTCATAAATATTAAATACAAAATTAATACTTTTTAAATGTTTTTTATATACTTTCAGATAGTATGAATAAATTTATTAAAAATAAAATCTTGTTGATTTTTTTTTAGTTATATTAAAATCGCCCGTTTCACTACTGTCCCACCCTGTGCTAGAAATAATGGGTTTGTATTGTTTATATGCAGCCAAAAATCTTGACCGGACCAAGCTTTTTTAAAAATAAAAAATCCAGGTTTTTGCCAACTCTGGTTGGCGATACATTGTAGAGTGTAGAGTGGATAAATGGTAAATGTATGGAATTACAGATGATATTTAAAGATGATATTTAAACAATCGTAGATCCAGCTGAACTTCAAAGAATTCGCCTTGGAGAAACCCAACGACTGCAGTTGGAACGTGGTGGAAATTTTTTCGAATCGCACCGACATGGCGTCGCGTCTCAGAGTGTTCTGTGGATCGATTGCCGAAATGGTTCAGTCGCCGGGCAACATGCTTCACGTGAGGTTTGTGGCTGAAGGAAATACTTCCAAATTCTCGGCGTTGTTCACCGCGTATCGTACCAAGACCAAAGACGAAGGTACAGATTATACTTCTTCTTTAAAGCCTAATCCCACGCAAATACTTTATTTACCACTTGCTAAAATCTCGCTATTACCAAACTTAAACTCTTAAATAGTCCGTTCTAGACCTATGGGTTATATGGATCTAGCTATTTTTCTCAAACATCTTCCATTTCTTTAACTTAATTTCCAACACTTTTGTACTTTCATCTATTAAAATCACATCACCGGCAAACAATGTGCATCATTGTGCACCGCCCTGTATTTCTTTAGCAAGTCCATTACTAAGGCAAATAAGTATGTGCTTACAGTTGACCCTCGATGAATACTTACTTTAGAAGTGAATTATTTTGTTTTATCACACATACTCTATTAACACTAGCTTTCGCTCATAATCATACATAATCATTTCTATTATTAGTTTGCGGCGACGACCAGTACGATTGTGAAGACCTGACGTGCATAGCTTCAGAATTGCGATGCAACAACGTGGAAAACTGCCGTTTCCGATGGGATGAAGATGGCTGTCCGGTACGGTATTATATTCTATACTTATTATAAGAGAAGAACAGTGGTGCAAAAGAAGACAGCCCCTATTTCTTAAAGCGTCCTATAAACAAGTTGGGAGTTTTTAGATTTATTTCATTTTCATTAAATTGCAAGTACCTACAAAATACCAGTTGTTTTATTGGGTAAAGCTCAAAGCACCACTTCATTATTCCTTGAAGTTAGTCAAGTTTGACTTAATGGACCATAAAATAAGTTCCAAATTATTCTTATAAATTATAATTAAAAAAGAGCATCCCGTCTGTGTAATTTAATGTATTGGCAATTTTTAAAATTGTACACAAGTTTAAAAAAAAATTTTTGTTTTACGTTTTCCATAAAAAATATTTTAAGTCATCGTTTATTAAATTTGGAACTCTAAATCATCATTGTTACCAGCTATATATATTTTATATAGTATTTTTTTAAGGTTTACCACCTTTTGGACTAATTTAAAGATGAGGTGAACATTACAAATTTGGTGGATTTAGCTTATCCAGATTCCAGTTCCTCCTAGTTGAGTTTTTAGTTGATAGTTATGTTCAATAAAAATGTCGTAACAGATAAGTTTTAACAAGCATATTATTATTGTTTTAACCGATTAAGATTGTTTTTAACACTCTAAAAACAGTCTTCGAATGGAAAATCGGAAATAGTAAAAAATCAAAATGTATTCAGCTTATCGAATTTCGAGATGGCTTGTCAGCTGTTTTTTTCTTATAGCAGTGTTAAAAGAATATTAGCATGGGTGCCCGTGGAACATTTATCAGGGAGGGGCATTATGAAATCAAACACTAAAAAGTACATAAAAAATAGTTTATTTTTTGTAAACTACAAAATATGTCAGAATTATAATATACTATTTATTTGTTATTAAATAAAACTATATTTTTATTTAAGCAATAATAAAAGTTAAAATTTTCAAAATTATATTTGAAGTCCAAGGGGGGAGGAAAGGCAAATGCTCCGTCTTGCCCTCCCCTTCCGGGCGCCCATGAATATTAGTATTATTTGTAATGTTTTTCAGGAAGAGGACAACAGCTTGATGCAACTGTTTTCTAGTTTCGACATAATCGTTATACTGGTGGTGTTCTTTCTGATACTGTGTGGCATGTGTTCAGCATTTGTTACCAATATCGTACGAAAACTAGTGCACGATCATCGAATAATAAAAGTGAGTTCAATGATTACCTGTAGGCTATGCCGAATTTCCTATGAATATAAGAGAAATAATCGTGTACGGTATGACTGCTATGAAACACTGGACGGTGTTGGGTTAGGTATGACCTACACACATTTGGTTTTGCCCCGGTAGTGCTTTACCGGCCACCATTAATTTAGAAATTGCATACGATATGTGTGCATGGATGGGAAAAAAGTGTATTTAATTATATAAATTACTAATTTAGTATTTAATTACAACTTGCGTAATTGAACTACAAGTAATTATTATAAATTACAGTTTTTTTTTAATCTTTAACGTGAAAGAAAATTTGAAAATTCCAATTTCTATTTTGTACATTTTTTTGCAATTGGAAGCCATTTAAAAAAATAGACTATTGGAATAAAGTTTGATACCAGATTCGAGTTCAGTAAAAATGATTACCTGTCCCCCACTGTCTATTATGCATAATGAAAAAGTTGGGATTATATTTCAGGAACATATGCGTCACTCGAGAGAAGGTCATCTCGATCAAATAGGAGGAATTAGTGAAACCGACGATCACTCGGTGGAAGACTCCGGACCCCAAGGTCATGGCTATCCGCACAGTGACAACAGTAGCCAAACTACAAATTTATTTCGATCAAAACATGCCAATAACGTGTCTAGTTCGGATTGTTATGTTCCGTCGGGCGACCTCATTCCAGTATTAATGAAGCACGACCCTCCCCGACTTTACCCCTCGGTCGAAGACGAAGAAGGCGATGGACTGATGAGTTCCTATCCTATAACAACCGAGACCAAGGATATCGAATGTCAGACCAGAGAAAGTCTTTTCGACACTACTGTCGTGCCGAAAAGTACAGCGAGCCATTATAGAGTTAGGCCATCGGAATCGCCTTTAAATAAGCCGCCATTAGGATTTTCTACCTTCGGCTACAGAAAAGATACACAAACCTCGTCCGATGCGACAAACCCTTCAAAATTTAGGGCCGAGGCCGTTATCGAAATGGATAAATTCTCGTCAGAAATGTCCAACCAGAGACCGTACAGTATTGAATCAACCAAGTCAGCTCCGGATGTAATAGTGATGCACTAAGTATAAATAAATGATTGTAGATTATCCATTTATATTGCATTCAAAATGCAGCCAAGGTTATTATATGCTCAAACGATAAATTAATGAACGGCCGCTTTAAGTATCTAAATAAATTTGAGATTTAATAAAAATACAAGTTAATCTGAAACTCTGCTATAGATTATATTTGATAAAACGATAGAAAATAATGTAAGAATATTATTTAGCTTTGATAACATTAATGTTCTACGCAGTTTCCTACAATAGAGAAAATTCTCGATTAGCTGTGTTTGGAACGCTTACTCAAATAATGAACTCGTTTGGTTTTATATTTAATAAATACATTGTTTCCAAGAACTGTAGATGAGTATAACCACCAATAAATAGTATTTCATAAAAAAATAATTTTTAATATTTGTTACCATTAAATTTAGCAAAAACGAATATCCAATAACAATAAGAATTAAATGTATAATATATTAAAATAATTTATATAAAAACTCTCAAACTGATTATTCATTTTATGCTTCATTCAAATTATTTTGTATTGTATATTGTGTTACAACTTGTTTTATGAATTATTATGGTGTTTGTGTATTAAAGAATATTGGTGCACCTGACTCAATATGATAATTACATAAAGTAATTGTTAAACGTTTTACTACTTAAAAAACATATTGCTGTATAATAAATGAACAAAATTACACAATTCACAAATATTGTGAATTTAATAAAAAATGTACATACATTGTGTATCATAAAATTGTAAAAATAGGTAGTTAATTTTCTTTTTGTTATACTAAGGATGTACATATTGTTGAGACAATGCTCTTAGAAATTTTAGTTTTCTTATATTGGCTGCTTCTCTTTTTATTTCGTCATTATTATTTGCATTTAATTCTAACGCGCCAATCGTTTTCAACTGTAAAAAAAAAAAAAAAACTAGATGTTACAGCATGTATAATAGAATAAGTTAAATATACTGAATAGTATATTGTTTTTATTTGTAAATATAATTTAATCTATTTATATTTCAATATATGTTGTATCACGGCTAGGAGTAATTTTTTTTATATCTAGAATAATTAATAAATGCATTCAACCAAAGCATGTAATACGAAAAAAAATATTTTGTAAGTATAAAATATCATCACAAAAATAAAAATTTCAATGTGTATAAAATAGTTTTTCTTACGAGTTTTTGTCGGTGTTCTTGATGATTTAATTTAGTATGCCAATATATTAAAAATTCTAACAAGTTGATATCCCAAATGTAATCGTAATATTCATCTAAAGCATCACACGAATTTGATTCTGATGCGCACTTAAACACAGTCGCATAATCAATTTCATCTTGGAACAAACACAATATTGCTGCCTAAATAATAAAAGAAAAATAATAATAACTGGAATTAAGTAAGAAAGAAATAAATAAAAATCATAATTATTTTTTTTATTCACAAAACCTGACCTGAGTAAAGTTTTGCATTTGCATACAACATCTTGTCATTCTTTTGAATACATAATCCTCAATCATTGGTTTTAAAATAGGCCTCGCAAAATAGTCGCTGACAATTACTATTGCTTCCATGTACCATTTCATTGCTGAACTGTAGTGACCCATTACTAAAATGTTTATGTGCACATTATCCATTTGTATGAACATATTTTAGTGCGCTCATACCCATCGATACTAATTCGTTTTAAAGCGTACTTTTGATTACAATTAAAAAAATAACTTGTTTTCAATAGTTTTTAGATTGTAAAGGATTAAGACAGTTTAATCAGACGCTAGTTGCGCTAATTAGTTGGCAATTATTTAATTAACAATTAATTAATTGAATACTAACTAAGTTAAACAATTTATTCATTTTTTAAATTTTTACTTAGTTTCGAAATTGCAGTTGTTTTGACTAACAGCACTACTAATGGTGGTTGAATCTATTATTTTATCATTTTTAGAATACATATATATAATGATAAATAAAAATTATTTTACGGTACAGGTTATTGCTAATTATGGACCAGTGCATATTATATATATTGAAGATGATATGCTAAACAAACCTGTATAAATAGGTATTATAGGTAGGCAAAATTATTTATATCTTATCAATAATCCATTTATAGATTTAAAAAATTATATTATAATGGTTGTATAAATCATAACAAGAAAAGGCTTAAAAAAAAGTCAACAGATTATAGAGCCTCTAAAATTTAAGGCCATGATTCTTGGAAATCATAGTAAAAATGAGCCTTTAATATGTTTGATAGTATTATATACATTAACCCTGTTTTCATTTACCATGTTGAAGGTCTCCTTTCAGTTTTAATAAAACTATGTGATTTGGATGATATTTTAATGTTTCGTTTAACACAATTCCAAGAAATTCTGTAATATTCCGTAAAGGAATACTCATTCCACTAAAAATTAAAATAAATTTGGTTTAAAAAAATGCATGTACATTATATACAGTTTCAGTTTAGCAAAAAATAAAAAAAAATGATAAATTCATGACTAATAAATTTGATAAATAACTGCGATATATTTTTACATACTTCAGTACAGCTGGCCAAATACTTAAATAAGGCATTATAAGTTCCGTCGAAGACTCATCTCTAATGATATTTTGTATTTTTGTCAAAAGCGAAAGTGCTATTTGAATGGCGGTTTGATCTCTTAAACTCATAAATACACGCATAATATCTGTTTGACTTAGAACTTGACTTTGACCACATTGGGAATCTACATCCAAAGATCTTTTATTCGAGTTGCCGTAACTATAGTCGAATGCAGGCAAAACTATAAAAATAATACATTGTTGAGAATACCATTAAATTGTTGTTAAATAAATCTTTAAATATTTACCCAAATCCCATATTTCTTTGGCACTTTTCTTATTGCCTTTAAATTTACTAACATCGAGACAAGTGTAAGCGATTGCTAGAGGTAAATCAAAGCAGTTAAAACGCTTGGTCGTCAAATATTCCCACTCACCGACATTCAAAAGAGTCAATACACATTGTTCGGCGATATCTTGACGAGGTATCATATCGCCTTGGACGGTTTCCAAACACAATTTACAACGCTCAACAAGATCTCCGATAACTGTTGTCAAGAAATTTATTCTTGATTAGGTTATTCAATAGCTTTGATTAATGATTATTGTATAATATTTAATAGGATTTACAGACCAAAATGTTTAAACTCGTACTGGAATTGCAACATTTCAATATACAGTGCTTCCCAAGAAATAAGTTGTTTAATTTTAGAATACACAATGTTATTGCCAACTTTAATCTCATTTTCTGCTTCTCGTAAAAACACAATGGCTTTATCAAAATTCTTGAAATAAAAATTTGAAAATTAAATACATTGAAATTAAAAAAATTATCAAAATATTTTGACATACGTTTAAATTAAGCATTTCTTTTGATTTCGCTAGAAACGTTACAATTAAATATTTTAATACTCCGTTTGGCAATGGCATTAAAAGTGTTTGAATAGGTAAAGGCAACTGCCACTAAAAAAAAAAAACAATAATATGAATTAATTTAAATAGATAAATTAAAACTAACAATTTGTTAGTTTAGTATCAGATATATATAAGTATACCACATAACTTTATGGCAATGGAAACAATTTTTTTTTTTTTAATTTACTATGTGTTTGTAAATTGTAGTTTATATTTCAGGCATTACATTTGAAACACAGTTTATACATACATTTTATTTAAAAAAGATGTATCACTTGAAAATATAAAACACTACAAAATTTGATGGCAATACGCACACCGTACAGGTTTAATAGTTGTATTATTTTCATACAATAAATTTAAAAAAAAATTATGTTTTATTAAATATCTGAATTGAAAAAAAATACTTACTTCACAGTTAAGTTCCAAAATATTAAATCCCATATCTATTTTGTACAATTGCTGCAACAGATTGCGTACTATACTTGGATCACAGGTGGTACATATTTTGTTTTTCAACAAAGTAATTTGTTTTTTTATATTACCTGATGAAAAAAAGTGTCAAATATTTGAAGAAAAATAAATTTGGGTAAATCAAATTTTTTATTTTTTATGTAAGACAAGAATATAATACTAAATATGATACAACAGATAGAACGAATGAGCAATTTCTTAGTTAAGTAAATAATACTAAATCATATATATATATATATATATACTGAAGCATAAATAACATAATTTTGAAAACAGTGAATAAAAATGTGTATACAAATAAAGTAAATTTGATAAGATCATTTGAGATAATAACATACCTAAATCCCGTGTTAAACTTGTACGTTCAAAACGCTTTGTCATATTAATAGTCATTGTAGTTACATCCTCAGGAACCATTAACAGCTGTTGTATTTCTTCCTCGTTAAATAAATTAGATATAATATCGTCTTTTATTATATCGTTAATCAAACTTTTAGGACATTTTAATAAAACATTGTACACAAACATTTTTACTTTTTTTTTAAATTTATCATCTTTAATTGTAAAGTAAAGTTTTAAATCCTAGACAAAAAAAAAAAAAATAATAATAATAGTCTTAATAGTGCTACAATACTGTTTATAGGTTACCTTTAGAAATAAATCTGGCCCATGCGAATTACTTTTAATTTTAGTAACATAATCGTCTGGTGGCAATAACACTATTTCATCTGAAGTTATAAAAGCTCTTCGGAATGCATTTGTGGTTTGGATGTGAAAAAGCATATCGCGGGAAGCAGTAAATTTGCCTAAAGACAACATTGAGGCTAAATCAAGTTCTAAAGAATCTCGCAAAATCATTGGGATTTCCATAGTCTTGTTGTCAGCATTTAAAATCTTAAGTATTCCCTACAAATTAATGCATACAAATTTATAAATTATGTTTTTTTTACTATTGTTTAAATATGACTTACGTTGTAATTTGTTTGAACAGAATATAAAAACTGTATTAATAAACTTGTACTGTCTGTTACTTCAGACGAACACGCAGCACAAAATCCATTTAGTTCTTCAAGCTTAATTTTATAAAATGGACTAGGTTTTAAATTCTGTTGTAGTTGTTTACTCTTGATAAAATAGACATGTGCGTCTTCATATTGCTCTTTAAAGAATTTATACTTCGCATAATCGAACATAATCTAAATAAAAATATTATAAAGAACACAATACAATTTATATTACATATTTATAGTAAAAATAATAAATCAAGTAAATACCACACATAATAGATTTTAACATGAGTGATAAGTTAAAAACAATTAAAAACGTTTTCTCTCTTAGCTTTTAACATTATAGAATGAATAAATTGTGCCATTATTAATAACTTTACATACTTGCGATATAAATTCAGCTGAAGTGATGGTGTAACCCTTAGACCAATTGCACGATAAGGGATTCAATTCATTAGGAGGTATAAATGTCTCCATTGTTGGAATTGTATAAGATGTTTTTTTCAACGTAGCAAGACGTAATAACATTTTTTCACTTAGTTCACTCTGCATCTCTAATTTTAATAATACATCTTCATTACCATCTCTAAAAACATTTTATAATCTACATACTTTATGTTATACAGAGTACAAGATATGAACAGCATGAACTTGGCTTACTGTATAGGTCCTAAATTAAATGCTGTCTTTTTTGAAAGTGTATAGTTTATAATAACGGTCAGAGTCCAACGATGAAATAACGCTATGGCAAATAATTGCTCGTCGTTGAGTTGTGATAAGTCTTCAATGGAACTATGCAACTCAAAGTTAATCAGATTAAGTCCATTTGATACTAAATCTAGAAGATCTTGAACAAAAATTATCTGCAAACTTATAGGAACTCTGAAAAAAAATTTAAATCAATAAAATATAATACATTTAAAATTGTATTTTTTTATTATTACCTTGTTTGCAAAATATTAAGATCCCATTCCCAGAAACAAACGATTCTCATCGCTAATATTTTTAAACATTCATATTTTTTTCGTTTACGGTATTCAATCTTTTTATCTATTTTTGTGTTGTCCATTAGATCGTCAATATCAATTGGTGGCAAATCTTTAGGCCTTTCCATAGATGAATAAAGAAATTTTATTAAAAGATCTGTTGAACTTGGCTCTGAAAAAAAAAAATTAACATAATACAAATCACATATTATTTGTTTAAACATTAATGACACACAAAAGTTGTGTTGCATAAGTTATGCAAATAATTAAGAAATGTAAAAATAATGTATATTTTGGGTCATACAAGCCAATACAAAAAAAAATATTAAATGCAATATTATAAATGTGTCTAAAGGAAGAAGTGATGAATCATAATTTTGTTTTACAATAATTAGTTCTAAAAAAAAATGTAATAATAATTTAGATAATTAAAAGAAAGCTTAATACTTTAAAAATTGATTATACCAATCTTTTTTACATGTATTCAAAAATTTACTTTAATTCTCAAATAACTTAAGAAGACAATATACAGAAGTTAACTAAGGCCTTATTAAAATAAATTATCAATAAATGTATAAATATTGCTTTATTAAAAGTGTTTTCATACAAGATAACTTATGAACAGCAATATATTATATTTCATAAATCATTACAGGCAAATCACACAAATTATTTCAATACCTGCATGGGGTTTGTTTAAATGTTCTTCGAGGAGAGATGGATCGATGAGAAATTCAAACCAGAGTTTTGTATTTGGCGCGATCGGTATCATACCAGGTCGTAACAAATCGACATCCATATTGATTTGTTAGGTGAAAATTAAAAAAAGTAAAAATAATTAAGTAAATAAGAGCTTAACAATTATGTATAATCATTTCAATCCTAGATCAAACGGACCGAGTAATGTAAAAATCATATTTCTCATTTAAGTTTCACAATTATTAAATAATTAATAAATCAAACCATTTAGAACAAATTCAAGAAATTTATATACATTATTATACTTTCGATTTTAATAATATTTTGATTTGAATTTTGAATAAGCATTTAATATTTACTACTCAGTAATCACTAATCAGTATTAATTTCATTTCAAGCATTTTAAAAAACTTAATACTGACTACTGCATCATATAATCACAGACATCAGTATCATGTAGGCCAAATGGCAAATACTAAAAATGTATAGTATTTGAGGCATACTCAGATTATTATAGAGTAACACTCTCTGATTTGAGACTACAATTAGAATTATTTTATTTTGTCACGTTGGTGCTCGTGCGTGATATCGATGATAACATCATTTATCACTTTTTGGACGGGTGGGTAATAATTGTTCCACACATTTTTTCTTTCAATGAACATTTGTTCCAAATGTTTTTTGGAACAAAAGTCTATTGGGACATAAGATGCGTGGAAGGATTGTTATTTGGAACAAATGTTTTGCGGAAGAAAAATTATATGGCATAACTGATAACAGTACTGTGGAACAATCGTTCATGGAAGTTAAACATTTTCGAGAAAAAGATAATTGGCACTAATTATCTTCGGAACTAGAGTAAATAAACGCTGGATTAAGTATTCCAAAAATACAACTTAATATAAACTATATAAATAATAATTATATATGATATTATTTACATACATAACATATTGGTAGGTAATTTATATTATAATTTATGTTGTATGACGTTTTATTAAACCTTTAGTCTACTTAGGTATAATCTGAATAGTACTAAAAGATTCAATGATTTTTATAAAAATATATTTGAAAGTAGTAAAAATTATTCAAATACGTTAGCCAATTAGTTTTGGTTTATATCGCTCTTTTGCACACAAACCCATTTATGATTTCGTAGTTTTATTTATGAAGTCGTTTTACTAAAAATCATTGAATTGGCTGTCGTTTTTTGTTTACTCAATAGCTTTCCATTTTGATTTCATTTATTATGTGGTACTGTTATGTCATATCATTTTTGTTCCTCAAAACATTTGTTCCAAATAAGTAATAACAATTATTCCACACATCTAATGTCCCAATAAACTTTTGTTCTAAAAAACATATGGAACAAATGTTCATTGGAAGAAAAAATGTGTGGAACAAATATTACTCACCCGACCTTGGTTTTTATTTTTCATTGTTAAGTGTTAACGCTCACATTGGCGCGAAAAGTTTATTAAAGATATTATTAAAGAGACATTTTAACTATAATTTTGTGATTTGTGTTATATTATTATTATTAGATATCTATTAATTTATCTAATATATATATAAAGTATAAACTACACTCAGAATTTACCGATTATTACTAAGTTCAAATATTAAACTGACTTTTTTAGTACAATAATCTACAATTAGCAAAGAATGTATATTTGATATAATTTTATATTTTCTTCATCAATAAATTAAGAGAAATACTAAACATACACGTATTAGACGATATTATATTAATTATTGTAAAATTGGATTATCACATTAAAAAAAGTGGATATTACTTACTGATAGATATTTTCAAACAACAGTTTTTTAGTAATATAAACTGTAAATATGAATAAGGATTTAAAAAAGAAAACAACATTGGCAGACATGGCATTTTTAAAGAAATCTTATAAAGAATATATAAGAGACGATTTTATAAATGCATTTAAAAAATTTTATTGGTGAGTTTATATTGTTTATCTTTAATTAATTTGAATAAGTACATTTTACTAAATATAATATTAGTTTGATATTAACATATTATGATGCGAACTTAAAATTTATAATTTGTACCTAGGGTTTGCATGAAGACCGATTAGTTTTACTTTGGTATAAATCTATTTTACCGGACACCCTTTTTTTCTCTATAATATAGTGTCTTTTACACTGATAACGAATCTGAAGTCAGAATTCATTCGGCGGACTCCGTTAGTTCAAAAGTTATAGCTAGTTGGAATTTGCATTTTTCCCTTATGTAACTGTACACTGGTCCTTTTTTTTCTTATGCCAGACACGTGACATGGCTTGTAAAGCTGTTTTAAACCGACTTTACTTTGAACCTGTGATCTCCTCCTAGTCTATAGCCTGCAAATCTAGGATATTTTTAGTTAGCGGAGCGAAGCTACGACGCCGAGCAAGTGCCAAAACACTAGGAGACCTGCCGTCCTTATTAGTTATCGCCTCCTACCGACGGAGTCGCCGCGTACTGTTACATAGGGGAAATATGCAAATTTCAACTAGCTATAACTTTTGAACTTACGGAGTCCGCCTAATTCTGACTTCAGATTTGTAAGCAACGTAAAAAACACTATAATATAGCAAAAAATAAGGTGTCCGGTAAAATAGATTTGTTCCTTTACTATTATCAATAATTGATTTCTCAATTAAACTAAAATTTGCATTGCATTTCTCTTGCATGAAATAATAACTTGATATTTTTAGTGATGGTAACATGAATGTACCAATTTTTGACAATTTAAAATCTGACTGTAATCACTACAAATCTAATAAAACAAAAACAAAAATGGATCACTATGAACTGGTGGTATATGCAAAAAATATTTTATTTTGGCTTGATCCAAAGTAAGTAGTTTATCATAATATTTATTTTTATGCTATCCTAACATACTATAGTCTATTCAGGCTAAGATTATACCGCTCAGCTTACGAAAACTCGTCACCACTGTGCATCCCTCCGCCTCTAGCCTCCCCGCGCCTAGGCCTAGGTCTAGGTGGATTATTATATAAGTTTAATCTTACACTGAATAGACTATAGTATGTTAGCTAGAGTTAGTTTTTATTATGAGAAAAGTCTTATATTTATTTTGTTTTCTAATAATAAATAACGATGTTATAATTCGGATTCTCAAATTATTTTTTATGAATATTTGTTTGTATATTTTTTTATTTAATTTTTAATAAATAAAAATGTTTTTAATTCAATACATTTTTTTTTGGTAGAATGGGTTACGATAACTGTAAGGAAGTTCCAAAACCAACTAAACAAAGATTTTTCAAGACCAGTTATTTTCAAGAAGGAGAACAACTGTCAAGAGTTTGTCTTTACTACAGATTACCGGATTTTAATAATAAGATTATAGGTAAAGTATTATGTATTCCATGTCTGATATACCTATTGGTTCTATTTTTGGAATAGATTTATTTGGTAAGTTTTGTTTTAAACAATTATATCTACTTACATAGTATATCAATTTGTTTTACATTCTACAAAATCACACTTGATTTAAAATGTCTATTAATTTTGTATCATAGTCCAAAGACTATGTTGCCTGCCCTTTACTACTGACTACTATTGTTTAGTGTTTAAAGTTTTTAAAGGGAAAAAACAGGTAATAAATTGATTATGTACCATCCGACATCAATGGGTTTACCTACTATTTACTTAGCTTTATGGTATAATAATATTTCTCATACCATTCCACTTTATCTGTGCTTTCAAAATATCTCTCTTTATTATTAATTTTTTAAATTAGTAGTGAAGGGTTAAAAATTACAATACTGGTATAATAATAACAAATTTAATTAAATCAATTTTAGATAAACAATTGTCTAAAAAAATAGATTTGTCTTGTGATTTTCCTCCGAAAAATGTGAAAGCAGATAATGCAAGCGAAACAATAATTTATTCTCCAGATAAACCGATAAAAAAAAAAACTAAAAACAAAGTATGTATTTCAACTCTATTTATATAAACATTTTTCCGTTTTAACTAATTTTCACCTATTTTAACTGTAGAAATGAGCGATAGAAATTATTAGACTATTCAATTAAATTTGATGAAAATTAAATTACTGAAAATCCACAAAAAAAAAACCCTAAAGTACATGTATAAGTACTTGGCATATTCTTTTAGCGGATGCATGATGTCTTCTTTTTTTAATTTTTTTAGAATTTAGTACTAGATTTTGAATCCTAAACTAATTAATTTTAAATCCAATGATAATATATTTACTACATTTCTCTATTATTATACAATTATTATATTTGTGTAACATTTAAATCTTTAAATTTACTTTGTACTTTGATATTTGATTAAACAGGTAAAATCTAACAATGGATCATGTAATTTAAGTAAAAAAAGCTTATCTACCCCTGAAGTTGATATGGTAAGTGGCCCATTAAGGAAATATGATTATAAAAAAAATAAATAATATTTAAATGTCTACTAAAATAGATAATAGATTCTAAAAAGGAATTGAATAAAAATGTCATCACACCACTTACTTCGAGTGGTTCAAATAAAAAAAGTTTACACAATCCCAAAACAGAAATTCCTAATAAGGTTTGTAATTTACCATGTATAAAATTATGTTTGTTTTAATGCTCAAATATTGTAATAGGTAGAAGATCCTAACTTAGAGTTAAATAAAAAAGTTGGCCTACCAACTACATCAAAAAACTTGAATGATAAACGTCCACACAGTCCTAAAGCAGAAATCAATACGGTTAGTAGTTAATTTTGAAAAATTAATTTAAGATCTTTTAACCAATTTTTTGATAATACAGGTTAATCACATAGAAATTTTGTTAAAAGAGAAAAATTGCCCACCGACTATCTCTAAAGATTTGAATAAGAAACGTCCACATGGATCTGAAGCAGAAATTGATACAGTTAGTAGTTACCTACTTGGGTAATATTAGTTATAGGATTTAAACAATTTTTTTAATAATACAGGTAAATAATAAAGAAATTTTGCTAAAAGAAGAAAACTGCACACCGACTTGCTCAAAAGATCTGAATCAAAACCGTCCTCTTGGAAAAGCTGAAACTGATACGGTTAGTAGTAATGTGTAATGTAATTGTGATTTTATATTCTATATAGCTTGGGTAATATTAATTTGAAGTTGTTTAATAAATATTTTTTTTAAACAGGTAATTATAAAAGAAATTTTGTTAAAAGAAAAAAATAGCACACTGATTTCTTCGAATCAATTAAATAAAAAACGTCCACAAGAAGAAGAAATTGATACAGTTAGTAGTTACTTATATAATAGTAGTTTGAAATAATTTAACCAATTTTTTAATTATACAGGTAAATAACAAAGAAATGTTGGTAAAAGAAAAAAATTGCACACTGACCTTAAATGATCTGAATAAAAAGAGCTTATGTGGTGTTGCAGAAGAAATTGATATGGTAAGTATTATTATCATTATTTTTAAGATAATATTTTTAATGAATTTTTTTTTTTATTTCAGGTAAATGATCCTGGTATTATGGCAAATTCCAGAAAAAGCACTCTAACTAAATCAAAAGATTTGAAGAAAAGTGTGCCCAGCTCTAAATCAAAAATCCATACGGTTAGTAATTTGGTTATTATATAAGTTTTGGTTACTTTTATCAATTTTTAAACAATAATTCTTTTCTGTGAACAAATTGTTTGTGAAAAATCTGTATTAAGAACAAATTCCAAAAGAATTGTTCGTAAAATTAGTTTCTTTTTTGAGGAATGAATGTTAGAAAACGAACTCCAATTATTGTTTCTGGAGTATAAATAGCAATAGAATGATTTGATTAGATTTCTTTGTATATTTTTATTTTGCTTTTATAGTTAACCTTGTACTATGGTATACATAATTTGTTTATAAATTTAAAATATATTATTAAATTATAAAAGCTACATGTGACTGGAAAAATCTGAAAACAAAAATTTACCTAAATAAAGGTTTTGGGCCATAAAATAAATTTGTTTTAAAACTATGATAAACCGTATTATATTTTCATTATTTTTTAGAAGTAGGGTAAAAACGAGTTTATCTTATGTAGGAATGGAGAAAAAAATATGATTTTAGAAACAACACTGCAAAAAATACAATTTTTCCACAGAATACATTGTAACCTACCGGAATTTTTTCCAAATATTGTTCTAAAACAATTACTTACATATTTATTTCAATAGGAAAAAGATTCTGATATCAAATTAAAACAAAAAAGTACACCAAGTACTTCAGGTGTTTTAAATAATAAAAGTTCACGCGATGCCGAAGCAGAAATCGACATGGTTAGTATTTCTTTGAGTATTTTTTTTAAGTACAGTGTGAATTATAATCAAATTTAATAAATCAGGGTTATGGTGTAGTGCAGTAGTCAAATACAATTGCCGGTTAGGTTGGTTATAGGACAGATGAGCTCTTGAGAATTTTAGTGACAAAACCATACCCCACACTATGAGCTTTAAATTGAAAAAAAAAAACAAAATAATTATGTATTATACATAATTGTGTAGTTTTTCTTTTTATTTACAAGTTTTTGACAACATATTGGGTTTTATGTTTTTTATTTATAGAATTTGTAGTGTTCTTTAGCATTATTCATTTAGATTAATATATTGATGTATTGCTGTTTACTGGTATAATAATAATTAAAATAATAATATCATGTAATATTTTTATTAAATTAGATATTTCAAAATTTTGTCTGTTCTCCAACATACAACGATTGTACATTATCAGATGATAGTCCAAAAAATAATTCTAATATACCAACTGAAAAATCCACAAATATTGTATGCACCTCTAAAAAGAGTATAAAAGCAAATATCGGGGTGCAAAACACATCTTCCAAAAACACTATTGAGAGAGTGAAAAAAATATCGGAAGCAAATCAAACTTTTGAAGAAGTAAGTGTCTGTATCATTTATTTATTCTATCTGTTTATCATTACTCCTGGGGGCTTAATGTTTTTTAAACAAAAATGTGTTAATTTAATTATTCCCATACAATGATCCTTCATTTTCTTGTAGCATTTTCTGACATTTTAATATAAAAAAATTATATAATATCAAATGGTAGTTAAATTTTTAATATAGTAAAAAGTTATTTAAAAAAAATGTATTTTTGTTTTGGAATAAAATTAAACCAAAACACATTTTCTTTATCCAAATCGGAATGATTTATATTATTTTATGTTAGTGGATATTTTAGTTAATTAACGTAAACATTGTTAAAAGATTTACAAATATAACATTTATTAAACTAACTATTGGCGTTAGAATTAATACTCTGGTCTAACTATACTATTTACTATTTAGTAAACGATTTTGAAAAAAAAAACTTACTTTAAGTATATCTAAAGAATATCTCAAACAAATTGTTCAATTTATTTTGACACATTACTGTATAATTACAGTATACCTCCTGTGGGTCTGGGGTTAGAATTGGTCCATTAACTCCTGCTTGTCGTAAGACACAATTAAAAGGGGGTAATGGAGGGAATGCTACTGTTACTACCAACCATTGGCGATTTCTGCAGCAGAAATAATGGTAATGGAAGGACATGGTAGAGGCAGCTTAGAAATATTTCAAGTACTGGTTCATCAACTGCGATGCAGCAAGCAAGAGAGAAACTACTGCATTAGAGATCCCTAACTCAAATAGCCAATGATGTGTCTCTCATATAAGACAGACACACAGGGCTAATTTGACAAGGCGTTGCCTTCAGAACATGATGATGACTCTATAATTAATAACTTCAATCCACATGAAATCTATTGTTTTTGTTGCCAAAATTAATTGCTGATATTATATGTATACTTATACTTATTCTGTTAATTTATTGTGTTTTAAATTTTAGAAAGAGTTATCCAAAAGTGTTTTGAAATCGAAAAACAGTGAAATTATACCAAATTGTTTATTTTATAAAACACCATCGACCAAAAATATTACTCTTAGTAACAAAAAAAATAGTAAGCAACCAGTTGAAAGTAATAGCAGGTCAAAAGAGTGTGGTAACATCTCGTTAACTGGAAAAAGATGTAATTCTAATAATGATTTAGATACTATTGTGACAAATAAAAAATTAAAGACTGAATCTAAAGAAATATTATCTCATTCTTCTAACAAAATAAAAGTGAGTATTTCCTTCCTAAAACCTAATTATTTTTAAATGTTTTACTTATACCATAAGGAATTATTGATGAAATTTGTAAATAAAAAATGTTAGCTTTTGTATAAACATTCAATTTATTATTTATTGCTATTAAATATTATTCATGATATTTACATAAAATATTTTCTATGTATCTTTTATTTGTTACTAATATAAAAAACCTAAAAATTTGTGAGATTTTTTCTTGTTCATACTATATTTTATTTATTCAAAGGATATCAACGACATTAAAAATGAAAATCATTATGAAGCAGAAAAAAACTTGCCTGGTAGGCAAAACGATGATGAAATAAAAAAATCTCATAACTCTAAAAAGGTACTATATATTTGATATTCTAGTTTGCTTAAAACTTCACTCAATGTTGCCTAAAGAATAAGTAATTTATTTAATAGGTGTGTCGCCATTGAAAATTCAGTCCCAAATTTTAAAAAATAGCTTACAACTTGATTTTTTAAGAAATTTGTATATACTAAGTATTTGTATCTTTTTTGTTTTTAGACATTGATTACGACTACAAAAAAAAATATGAATGAAATAGCAAAGGCTGTAAAAAATGACAACCAATTTAACTTAGAAAATAGTAGTCCTAAAGATAATACACCAAATAAAAATATTATACAAAAAGTAACAATGACTTATATTTGAATCTACTTGAATTAACACAACATTTTTATAAGTTCTTTTTAGATGCTTAATATGTCTTATTACACGTACATTATTTTTATAGAATATATATTATATTCTTATTTCTAATAGCATTTATTGCTTGTTTTATTTACAGATTGATGTACAGAAGACACAAATAGATTCTACAAAAAAACCTTATAAAAATATGTATACGAGAAATAGTAAAGGTGAAACAATATTGCATACTGCTTGTTCTAAGGTAAAATGAATTAATCAAACTAACAGACATGTTTGTTTTTTTAAATATTTAGGAATTATCATTAATAATAGATAAATAAGTAGAGGGACTCTAATAACATAAAGAAATTGTGCTTTCCCAGCTCGTAGCTCATATTTTATTACCATGGGGGGGGGCTTCTCCCCTCATCTCCCTTTTGGCTCATCTTAAAAAGATGAGGTTCAGAGGTATCTTGACAAGAACATATAACTCTGTTATAGAGTTAAAACTCTGAAAAAACTGTATTGCTTGTTAGGTTTTTGTAATTTAGCATTATTATTGTTAAGTATATTATCTAGATGATGAGGAGTGGCCAAGTGAATAAGGGGGTAGTGTGTTAGCACTCTCTGTCGCTTGTTTGACACTCGGTTATGGGTGTTCTGTTTGCTGGGCGAGCAATCGTCCAGTGGAAAGAAGCCGCTATCCCCCTCTCCGGCAACAGACTGACGACCCGTTTTGGATAATGAATTTGTCAAGAAATCATCTCGTGAAGGCAGCATTGGGCTTTACTGGCCCGTTAAGCTACATGATGAATGAATCTAGATAAATACTGATTTCACCAGCATGTTACCAGTGAAAATATATTTTTTTATTAGATAAGTTTTTTTTTGAATCGGACAATTAATTTATCCACATTTTCCAAAAAACAACAACTTAAGTAGTTTTTTTTTAGTATAATTATTAAAAAAATAAGCGCAACCAAATCTAAAATTACAAAATCAAATTATTTTTTAACTCAACTCATAAATGGGATAGGCCAAACTGAGTTACCGTGACTTGAGCATAACAAGCCATTTCTACGGCTTATGAGGAACATCGAGACCAATGCCATGAGGTCAACCGATTATGTTAAATTATTATAAATTAAGTGAAGAGTATTTTTGTAATTATATTTTATATTTAGTATATGTTTGACTTTTTTGTGGTTTTATTATTATGTTACTAATTATTAGAAAAGAAAACTTTTTATGTAGCTACTAATAACTATAGATTTAATATTTTAGGGTAATCTAGATACAGTAATCTCACTGCTTTCACAAGGGTTCAATCCAAACGTTAAAGACCATGCTGGATGGACTCCTTTGGTTTGTATTTGATAAATAATAATGGATATCCATTTAAAATTTCTAAAACTATTTTATTTTTGTTTCTTTGTTTGCATAGCATGAAACAGTGAAAACTGGTCGCATAGACATTGTAAAAAGTTTGATTAAATATGGGGCGTATTTAAGTGTACCCGGTTTTGAATATGAAACCCCATTACATACAGCTATTAAGTACAATCAATTTGAAATAGCAGAAATACTTTTGGAAAATAGAGCCAATACTAAATGTGTAAACATTTATGGGGAAACACCCAAGTAAGAAAAATACATTTTTTACCAATATGGTAATAAATAAAAAATAAGTTTTGTACATATTTCATTACAAAAGTAAAACTATGTTGTTCCTTTGTAGTCTGTTAAAGTATTATGAATTATTATATGGTTTCTCTAACTGTGTTTCTGATTACACACCGTTAGATATATCCATACAAGGTTACTTGTAATCAAAGAAAAAAAAATGTTAAATTTGGCTTAAGATGATGTACAATTACCAATGATGAATTATATTTTTTTTTAGAACTCTTAACGAAGAAATATGGTCAAAATTAACAATAAAAAAAAATCTATGTACGCCAAAATTTGATCATGTTTATGAGCCAGATCAAGTTACAATAATTGTAAATGGAATCACACTGAACAATGGTACTATTAATAGATTTTGTAAACAGTTTAATATTAAACTCGCCAAGACCAGTTTGTGAGTAAAAAGGAAAAAAAATTGTAAAAATTTGCTGTTTTAATTATCATGATGATGCAAGCTTAAAAAGTCTTAAGGCCACTAGATACCAACCATTTTTATGGAGTTTTGTATAGGCAATATTTAAGAAGAAAGTGGTTTCAATAAATTTAGAAAATGTCAATTAATTAACAGATTAATTTGTATAAGCTTTGTGGCATTATTTTTAATTTAAATAATTTTGTCTATGAGTAAAAGCCATTTTAGTTAATATAATAGTACATGTTTTGTCCATTGCACATGCTGAACCAGTGATCCGATAACAGATTTGAATTTGTCATGAAGTTTACTTGAGATTGGTCAGCGTACTTTTTTGATATCTTATTCCTACTACTCATAAAACACGTTAAAACATTTTATAAAATTTCAAATTTTAAAATAAAATTTGTTAGGGCGCAAAATTAAAAATAAAAAAAAATACTCTGACCGATCTCATGTAAACTCCATGACAAATTCATATCTGTTTTTAGATTGCCTATCAGATCATTGGTTCGACCTATGCGATGGACAAAAAATTATGTATTTGGCTGAAAAAAACGGTCAGTATCCAGGGGCCTTAAAGGCCCAACGCTATCATCATGAGGTGATGATTTTTAATAATAGTTATTAATTAATATTATTATTATTTAGTAATGATAAACATTATGTGACTCATGTCATAGTGCCAGACACGCCAAATAATATTTGTAATGTGAATTTTGAATGTTTGAATGGCATAGCAAATGGATTATTTATCATTAAACAAAAATGTAAGTAAAACCTTTTTTTTATTAATCCTTTTTTTAGTATTTTCCAGAACTATTAAAACTTTTAAAACTTAAATAGTAACCTACATATTTAATAAGCTTTTTAAATTAAGAATAATTTGCTAAAAAACTTGACTGATCGCTACCAGTTTTGCATAATTACTTTTAAAGTTATAATGTAGGTCAGGAAGATAAGTGATAAGTAGTATTATTTTTATTACCTCCTAAAATTGATAAAGCTCAAGAAAAAAAAAATGGATAAAAATTTGAATATTGTCTATTTTAAAAATGTATAATTAATAATCTTATTATATATTATCATTTAAAATTATATCTTAAATTAAAATGTCTCCTAAGAAGGAAAATTACAAAATTGCAATTATTTTTGGAGAAAATAAGTGTCTTATTCTTAATGAATTTCCCCTATATTGTGTTAAATATAATATATTTTGCAGTAATGCTTTCTTAAAAATATATCTCAATTGTATCGCTAGTACCTAATCTTTTATCAAAATACTTAAGATTTATTATTTAAATTTTAATATATAATGTTTTTCTTTTCATTAGGGATCACTAATTCGCTGCTACAAAATAAACTTTTGTCGTGTGAAGATTATGAAGTTAGCGGAACAAAACAATTTGTTGACTGTAATGGTCCGAAATTATCACGAATAAATAAACAAAATTTGGTAAATATTTTTTCAATTTATAGCTTATCTCCATTTAGGTATGATATTTTTTTATCTGTTCAGGATTTTACCTGAATTATGTTAATTTTTGAAACTGCGATGTATTACAAATATGATAACTGTTATTACTATCATTATTATATTATGTCTTGAACACTGGATGATATGCTGTTTCCTAAGGCAATCTGAAAGTGTAGCAGTCCACTGAGCAGCAAACACAATTTTATGTGCTAAGAATCATATAAAATGTAAATATATGGGTTAAATAAAAGGCAAAATTTTGTTTGATGCTTGTGTGACCCTCCCGTAATTTTTGCAATATCAGAGGTTATTTAGATAAATCAATTCACTCTACACATTGATACAGTTTAAAATGAGGCGATTACTTGCCCCCCCCCCCCACCAACCCCTCTATAGAACGATGGCAGGTCATCAAGTGTTTTAGTACTTGCTACACCACTAATCTAAAAAAATCTTAGCCTGTAGTCTGCAAACCTAGGGTATTAAGTTTAGCGGAGCAAAGTGACAGCACTGAACAAGCGAATGCCAAAACACTCGGTGATCGGCTGTCCTACAGATGGGTTTGGGGGGGGGGGGGCAAGTAATCGCCTCATTAGTAACTGTATTAATGTGTAGTGTGAAATATTTTATCTAATTACACTCTGATATTAAAAAAAATAGAGGGGTCCGTATAATACACAATTACCTTTTGTTCTACAATGTAATCAATATAGTGCAACTATGTATCAAGTATGTTTTCAACATTATTTGACCTCCTTTTTGGGATACAATTATTGTAAAACTTAGTAACAAAATAATTTAAAACCAACTTCTTTTAAAAAATTGTTTTAATTATTGCAAATTGATAAATCCTTTTGGGCCATATATGTTTAAAGTATATCTAGAAACATGCCAAGTACCAACTTTTGGTTAATAATTAATTGAAAAATAAAATAGAATATTAAAGAGTATGAGAATGTTGATTAACAAGTTAAGTTGAATTAATATTATTAAAATAGTTGTTTTAGGTTTGATGTTTTCTTTTTTAAAATAAATATTTTTCTCATTTAGAACCCAAAACTGTTTGATGGAATAAATGTACACATTTGTGGAAATTCAGGCTTTAACCAATTAACAGTAGAAGATTTAAAGAAACTGGTATTAGAATTTGGAGCAAAACTGTTGAAACGAATGCCAAATCCCGAAGATTGCTCTACAAATATTATGCCATTTCATTGTCAAAAATATGAACAAATGCAATATCTATCTACAATCATACTATACACCAATGATTCTAATAGATTAATTAAATATAATATGAAACATTTCAAAGCATTTCATATTTCATGGTTTTTAGAAGTCGCTCAAAAGTATTCTATTGTATAAAGTTATTAATAAATACATCCTTATGAGTTATTTATTATTGTTGAATGTTCTTATTTTACATTTATAAATAATCACTCATTTTAACTTGCAAGTTAGTTAGCTAACGTTACAAAGGTATGCAATAAACTAAATATTGATAGCATATATAATCATATTTATGTAATATTTTGAGAAATAAATAAATATTAAGTTATTTTGTTTTCAAGCAATTTTGAAATACTACAGTTTAATTAATCTTTTTTATAGCTTCTAATCAAAGCAGAGAAAGTTTTTGTATCATGTTTATGATAGTGTGGACCAATTGTAACATTTTACATCAAATAAAAGCTAAAATAAAATCTAAACAATAAACTCTTCAACACCAAAATCTAAAACATTACCTTCCCACACATTTTTAAATTTTATAATATGACAATACAAATTCTTAATAATAATTATAAACAATTATGGTTATATTTGAAAAAATACCAAAGTATTTTTACTTTTTTCAAAATAGTATTATGATTCCACCAAATAACTAGTTTCTACAGGACACAGGCTAATTAATTTCATATTTGCAACTTGTATTGTTATTTCTTTTTTTTTCATTGTTGTATAATTTTTATTATTCTGTGACTGTAGTTTACAACTTGCATGACAAAATAATAAATATGCCGAGTTATCTGGCAAATGGCTACGACTGTAACAACTTGTCTCGTAATAACTAATAAACAGTTAACAGACGCAAGAAAACGCAATCATATTGTGGTTGGGCCACGATTTAAGATAATCTTAAATCGTGGGTTGGGCACAGGGCAGTTAGCCAACAAATGATAAGCGATTTTATCACCGACATCATGCACAAGCACCAACGTCACCAAAAAAAATATTCGAATATTTAAAATCCTTATCAATAGATTTAAAATGTATTGCATTTGTATTGCTAATAGACAATAGTGAATGATATACAACTGTAGTCTGTACCTAAATTGTATCATTAATAAATTAATTTATATTTTTAAGTTTTAACTATATTATAGCTATTAGTGTAAATTCCAATAAATTTTCCTTGATAAATGTAACTATATTGTCAGGTCAAACAAAATAACTAGTTCTTATCCAAAGTATTCATCCCTAAGCGCGTATTTAAGATTTTATTTCATGTTAAAAAAAAAAAATATGGGCAGTAAATTCAAGTACTCCACCGCCCTCAACAAAGTTTTAAAGTTTTTTTAATCGACCTTACTTTATTAATGTAATAATAATATTAGTAATAACAATTTGTTATTTTTAAACAATTAGTGTACAAATATTAACTGTGGAAATAAATCAAAAGTATTTAAAGGGTAGTATAAAAAAAAGCATAAGGCGTAAAAAGTATAAGGTCTATGAAAAAAAGTAAAAACACATTAATAAGAAATAATAAAACTATGCAATTATGGATTATGTAAATTAATTATTTATCTACATTCATAAAAGATGAAGATTTCAATTATATGCATTACAATTAAATTGGTGCAGTAATAAATAAATAATAATATATTTATTGTGTTTACAAACAATATTATAATATTTGAAGGTAGCTACCGTATACAACCATGATCGTGGCTTACTATAATCAGCTGCTTTTGGAACAACAACAAATATTGTAACCAAGACGAACAGGTTGAGGTTATGTTATCAAATTCTGTTGGCGGGAAAGATTTTTATCATTTTGAGTTTTGACTTGTGTTTTGTCCTTTTTCCATCGTTGAACGGTTTTAATTTTTTTTTATTCCTACTAATAAAAATAATGAATAATGATTGTATTTTTGTAGATCGATGATAGATGTATGTTTTGATATATTTTGATAGTTATTTTTTATCATGTCGGCATCTTAAATTTGTCTTATTATTATTATTATTATTATTCAAGCAAAATGGTTCACGAGTCTTTTTTCTTAATGAGTGTCTCATTTAAATAATTATAATTCATTTTGGAACTTTTACATGTGAGATGGAGAAAAAAAACAGCATTGATGGCTTGGTAGCAAAAAAACGAAAACTTGACCAAATGGTTGATGGTTCAATCGTAAAAGTATACTTGAAAAATTTTATGTGAGAACTTGGTTTTGCAATTTATTTAAAAAAAAATTTGAAATTATTTAAACTAAAATCTTATTTTAGGACTTTTAATGAAGCAAAATATAAAGCTCACCCCAAGTTGAATTTAATAATTGGTCCAAATGGGTCTGGAAAATCTTCAATTGTTACAGCCCTAATATTAGGGTTTGGTGGATCTCCAAAAGACATCAATAGAGGAGATAAAGTAATAACAATAATCATGAATTTATATAATATTAACCTATATGGCACAATTAATAATGAGTCAAACTTGGTACCTTAGGTCTACCCTATTACACATAGCAGGGTTTGCGACATAAAGTGCTTAAAATAAACATACATTTTCTTATCTAGGTTTCATGTCTAACCAAAAAAAAGTAAGCAAAATGCAAATATTTAATTCCCAAACCCTGTACATAAGCTATGGTAATTGGGGAGAATAGACATTATACATTAACACTTTGAAGATAATTCTCATGGCTATTGCGTGACTCTTCCTTTCTGAAATAAAAATCTCGTCTCTAAAGTGTTGTGTGAGTGTCACGATCAACAAATGTTACTTATGTTTTATGAAATATATTTGCTGCAGCTATTAAGCATCAAATAAAAAATTTGGCTATTTTATACCCTTCCAAAAACTATTAATTTTTTTTATGTCAACTAATTTATTATTTTAGGTCAGTCAGTTTGTTAAACTTGGAAAAAGCGCAGCCGAAATATCTATAGAGCTTTACAAAAAAAGTAACCAGAATGTAAACTTCAAAAGAAAAATTTTTGCTAATGGTGATTCATGCCACTATTACTTAAACAACATTATGATTACCAAAAAAAAAGTAAGAATTGTTCACAAACAAAAGGCAGTATAGTGGGGTCTTTACATAGTGGTAATAAAACAAAAACGCATTACCTATGTAAAAACAATACCTCTTCAGTTACGCATCGAAGCTAAAACATAATTTTATACAAATTATTGACGACTTATTTTCTCATATAACATTTTTTGACTGGGTGTAAGATAAGTTTAAATTCCTTGGGAAGAGGATGGTATTTTCTCTCATTAGACAGTTGTTCAAAGAGAGAGACTGCCAATAACACCGGTTAGCACAAATGCACTACCGCCCTACCCATTCAGTTAATCATCCTCCTTGATTGATTGAATTTAATTATTGTCTGTAATTCTAGTATACTGAAGCAGTAGAAAGTTTCAACATTAATGTGCATAATTTATGTCAATTTTTGCCTCAAGACAGATTGGAAGATTTTTCAAAATTGGACTCTAAGGGACTTTTATTGAATGCTTTACAAAGCATTGGTGAGATTGTAGATATTGAGGAGTCTACTTGATTTCATTCCATTCTAATTAACAATTTAAAAAGAAAACTGTTTTTCCAGAGGATCAAGAATTATTAGAAACATTAAATAAATTAAAAGATTTGTCTTCTCAAATGACAAACTATGAAGGTAATCAAAAAAGCTTAGAGAACACGATTAAACATGAAACCGCTGCTAATCTAAAGTAAATATTTTATTTAAAACTATGATTTTTCAATGTTTTTATCAAGGTTGATTTAGCCATTGATTATGTGTTACGTTCAGGAATTTGTTCACAAATATTTAAAGTCACAAGCATTATGAAATGATACGTTCATTTAACATTTATGTATATGCTGTTTATATGTTTAGGTATTATATATTCATATAATGTTATATATTATTATAACATTTGAAGTTTTTAATTGGCTGTCTTCTTTTACTCTTTTGTATCTATCTTTCATTATCTGATATGGCATACGTAGGCATACTGGTCCTTGGGACATATATTCTGTTTGGATGTATTTGTCTACAACTATTAAATAAAATTAACCTGTTAATAATTTAGCATGCAATTTTTAGACTTGAAACAATTGTAAATTCATTTCAAGAGAAAAAAACTTTGGAATCAGAACTACTAATAATTTTACAAAAAAGATGTTGGACGTTATATACTTTAGCTTATACCCAAATTAGAGATGTAAGTATATAAACTAAATTTATAAATTTGACAGTGTCTAAATTACAAAATTCATTATTAAATTAATTTTAAAATCCTACCTTCATTTATTACTAATACAATTTTGGACACTATCATATTTGTTCTTTAAGCTTATCTACTTAAGAAATAAAATTATATTTTCAATTATTTATTTATAATTTTTTTAATAAACTTAAATATTATAATATTATTTATTTCTAATGTATCATTATTGGTATTTTTAAGGAAAGAAAAAAGTTACCTTATGCAAAAGATGCTAACAATAAGGCTTTAATGCTTATTAATAAACAGCAAGAACTTATAAAAAAGAAAAAATCAAAAGAATTTGATTTGAAGAAAGTTGTATTGCAAAACGTAAATAATTATTTTGTTTGATAATAATTAAATAATTATTTAATGTATTAACAAATGTGATTCGTTGTTTAGGCAAATGTTGTATGCAAAATATTAGAACAAGTCAATAAAAAAGTCGGAGCTACAGAAATTTATGTAGCTGATATGAAAGAATTGAAAAAAACTTGTAAAAAGACCTCAATGAAAATCAGTGACTATAGAGAAATGGTGGCTTCTATGAAACAAAAATTGGAAGATATTAAAAATGAAACACTTAATTTGGAAGGTATTTATGGTGCACATGCTTCCTAACCTGAACTAAAATATTTTTTTAAACTCAAATGAAATTGAACTATTTGAACAATGTTTGTATTAGTAATTGAAGTAAAGGGGAGCAATTTATTCGTTTGTACCCTTTTTCTTACAAGACTACTAATTTAGAAATTTTCTTTATTTGTAAACAACATAAGTTGACATTATGAAAAAAATATAAATAACAATTGTTGGTGTGTTTGATGATATAAATTTAATAATGTAAATATATTTAAGTAATAATATTTTTTTAGAGTGTAAACGCAAATTAATTGAACTTAACAAGAAAATAACTGAAATCGATCACAGTTTAAGTCCTATAAAAAGCAATTATGAAAGTATTAAAAGTAAGCTAAAAAATTTAACTGGAAAAATGTATGGTGAGTACTTTATTATTTTTTTTAATTGTTGTTTGATTATTATAAAACTGTAATGTATAATAATATAAAGGTCGAAATATGTGTTTTTATCAGCTATTGATCAAGAACTAGAACGTGAAAAAAGAAAAGAAGACAGTAAAAATGAGTTGATTCGAAGAAAATTTCCAGAAATGTGGAAAGCTATCACTTGGTTAAGGAACTGTGATAGCAATTCCATTTTTCATGGAAAAGTATTTGAACCTTTGTTTACGCAGGTATAGGTTTACGTACAAATTAAGTGTATTTTAATAGAATAATTTTATTAAACAATTAAAATAATTTTGAATCATTTGTTTGTAGATTGAAGTGATCGATCAGCACAATGCAAAATACATTGAAAATATTGTGAATTATCGTGATATGATTGCATTTGTATTTGAGTATGCAGAAGATTTAACAACATTTAATAAAATTGTTAAACAAGAACGCTGGCAAAAAATAAATTCCATTTCTGCTCCACCGCCAAATTTTCATATCAACGATAAACCGAATCATGATATCAATTATTTAAAGTATTTAACAACTTTTAGTTACATACTTTGAGTTACTTGTATCATATATAATAGTTTTGTTTCTCCATTAATTTAAAACAAATATTTAATAAGTGATTTTTATTGTGTCATGTCCACAGTATTTTTTTTATTCAAGATATGTGCTTACAGTATATATTTTAATCTATGAAATTTGTTTTGTTTTAAAATAGACAATTTGGTTTTCACAAGTATGCATTGGACATGATTAAAGCTCCCCCTGTCATCAGAAGATATTTAATTAAAAACTATGGGCTGCATAATATACCAATTGGAAGCAAAGAAGTAATAAACAACATGCAGCATATACCAAATAATATAGGACTTTTTTTTGCAGGTAAAATAAATGAATGTGTATATATTTTTTTTATGTTATATTCATAACAATAATGAATTACTTACTGTTTAATATGTACTATTGTCTTATTACCATAATATTTTTTTGATCCTTAGGTAATGATCAAATAAGCATCAGAAGTTCTTCATACTCTGGAGAGAAAATCACTAGACAATCCCAAATATCTAACGATGCACAGTTTTTGATATTTTCGGTCAATACCAATTTAATCCAAACGCTAACTCAAAGGTAATACTATTATTTTAATTAAAATCCCAAAAGTAGACAGGCCTACTGTATGAAACTTAATTTTTTTATTGAAACCATAATTAGACTATTATCAGTTTTGAGTTACAACTTCGGTATATTGTCGAGAACTTTAATTTCGTAAAAAAACCATCTATGTGAATGTGGTCTTGGCGATTCTAAGATAAGACTGTAGGCCTATTCTTACCCGGTCTGCCTTTGTCCATTTAGTTTTAATATATGTACATTTGTGAATTCGATTAGAAAAGAAGAAGCGAAACAAGAATGTGATTATGTTGAAAAGGAACAAGTTGAAGTTATAAATAAGTTAAAAGCGACAGAAGACAGTCGAGAACCTATTTATATAAAGAAAAAAGATATCCAAAGGAGTGTAATAAAGTTTCAAGACAGACAAAAAGCTCTTGATAAAATGGCTAAAGATTTAGAGTGTACGCAAAATGAACTTAAAAGAGAAGAAGAAAAATCAACCAAATTCGATGCTCAGAATATGGTATGTTGTTTAATATTTAAAATTGATAATTATTAATAGCTGTTCTCACCAGTTAAGCTTAACAATTACGTCTGGACTTAAATGTTAAGGCAAACTGATGAAAACGGTCATAACTATTATTAAGTTATAATTGTATTCATGTATAGCTCTTAATCAACAAATACTTCAGTGCAATGAAAGACGTAAACAATTTGTTAGACAATTACGCAACATCGTTAAAAACACTTATAGCTTCTGCGTTTATTCTCAACAATTCTGGAACAGATATGAATGCAGAATACAGTGTTTTAAAACAACTTCGGCAGCTTTATTTGTCAAATCAGGTATATAATTATTTATAAATGTTAATCATGAATTTTGTCTTGGAAATGTATTTTTTGTGAGTTTGATAAAACTGAGAATCAGGCCAACGGTTACACATTGCTTTCAAACTATTAATTGTCTGCTTGTTTGTTGATAGAACAATTTTGAAGAGTACATAAAGTACTTACAAAAATTAGATTCAGAGTTTAAAAAAACATCTGAAGTTGCATTGTACTGGAGTCGAGGTGTCTCAATGTACGATAAAGAACTATTTTCTCAAATGACCGACAAGTTTAGCACTATTGAGCAATGCGATTTAGACGATTTGGATGAATTGATTGTGGAAAAAAAAGCTAAATTGAATTGTCTGAATATTGATCCCAATGCTCCTCAGGTACGTTGAATCAAAATTAACCAGTTTACGGACTCTATGGTATAACTCTAATAATTTTACAGTTGATTAAAGAGTACAGGGAACGTAAGACCAAAATTAAAGAGTTGGAAAAACGTTTGAAGAATTTAAATGCCGACGCACAGTCACAAGAACAGCAAATAGAGACGTTGAACACGGTATGGTTCCCAAAGCTACAACAATTTGTTGGTTTGTTAAATTCTACTTTTCAACAATTTCTCGTTACGTTCGGTTGTAACGGTGTGATCGAATTGGATGTTGGTGTTACGAGGGTAAATATTTGGTCGCTTATTTAAGACAATGTAGAGTTGTATTTTTAATGTTACAATTGTATGCATACAGTACGATTTCCAAGCCTACGGACTTTTGATTAAAGTACAATTTCGCAACGATGAGGGTACATCATTGAGGCAATTGGATGCCAAGAGTCAAAGTGGTGGCGAACGAGCCTTGACGACTGCATTGTTTTTGTTATCGCTACAAGAAGTCACCCACTTCCCTTTTAGAATTGTCGATGAAATAAATCAAGTACTTACTGCTCATTTACACGTCTTGATATTATGTCGATCGTTGATTTGCGAGTTGCACAATTAATTACAACCAAATTTGTTTTCAGGGTATGGATAAAGTTTATGAAAGAAAACTAATGGAACTTTTCATGGATCTGTTTGACGATAGAAACAATCAGTACATAGTTGTCACACCAAAGGTTTGTATTTTTGTTTGACAATGTTATTTCACTTAAAAAGTAACACGGAGTGCATTGTTATTTTTGATTTCCTCCCTAGTGTGTGCATTGTGATTATTTGTTAATCATTTCAAATTCATGTTTCAGTTGATCAAAGATTTATCTTTTAAGAATACCACCGTGGACATCATTTTTTGTATAGGAAAAAAATAGATTTTTCTCTTGTACGTTCATGGCGAGTAGACATTAAATTTTTATTATATTCACATTATTTTTTTTAATAAATGTTTTTTTACTTATCTCTATAACTATTCTTGTTAAGAATTTGAATGTTTAGAAATTAAGTTGTTATGCGTTTTTTTTTTTTGTTAATGTTTATATTTTCTTTTTTTCTACTTTATACAATCGTACAGTAATAAATGCAAATTAAATTGTATCAAAAATGTTTGTATTTGTTTATACTACTCACTAGCGTTTTGTAAATCATAACGTAATCAAAATATTTAAACTGCTTTATTTCAAAGGATTATTGTACTTGTTCTTGGGAAGATTTTCAAGTATAGCATTTTGTCTCTAATCAAAACACTATCATTATCGACATAGTTCATTCTCATTGTGTATCGTTCACATTTACTTAAAAAGGAAATAAATTATCACTTTTTGAGATGATTTTCTGTCATGTAATTTGATTTTAAATATTCCATAAACTTTGTAAACTTTTTCTCTATTTATTTAATATAGTGTATGATTGAAGTGGAAAAATGTTAATATTTTAAAACAATTTTTTTAGCTAACTGTTTTCGGCTTAAAACCAATAAAAAAAACAAGACTAAATTTCAATGTTATCATTATTGTTTTAATTCATGAATGTTTATTTTACACCAACTCATAGAAAACATACTTTAAATATTTTATTAATGCATAGGTAATATCTATAAAAACAAAAATTTTACAATTTCCATTTACAATGATAATCTAAATAAAAATGTACAAAAAAAAAAATTTGTTAAGGCACTAATTAACCCATAATAGTACAATTAAAGAAACTATAATTTCTTTATGTAAAATATGTATAATATTATTTTATAATTCTATAAAAATCTAAACAAAATACACTTGAACAAAAAGAAATTCAATGTTTATATGGCAGCCATGACTCATAAATAAACCAAAAAAAAAATCTATCACAATACTCTTCTTTTTTTTTTTTTTAAGTCAGTATTTTTATTTTTTAAACACTCGAATATCTTTGTTTATAATAATAAAATATTACTTAAAATGATTACATCTAATTATGTTCACTATATATAAGGATTTACAAAAAAATATATATATATATTTATATAAGATCAGTTTAAACGAGGAAAACGTGCTTGCCGTATCTCTCTTCTATGATTTTTAAATTGTTTAATATGAAACATTAATGTCTCTGCACGTGTATACACGTTTAAAAGGCACTATGTTTAAGTCTATAATAAAATATTGCTGGTGTTCTCTCAACACTAGCGCAATTATATTTTAAAATTCCACAGGACGTGGTAGAAAAAAAAAATTATGTTTAAGGTCTTGCAGTCAACTACACAACCTATAATAATATAGGTAATAATATTAATAATAATAATAAAATAATATTTACACACTAGGAGAGATGGTGGGGAATGACGAGAGAATAAAAGGAAATAATGAATATGTACAAACAAAAATTGTATATATATCACAAAAGAATAAAAACCGTTAAAATGGGAGTGTGGTTTTGAATAAATTAATAATAGGTAAGTTGTTTAAAAATAATAATAAATACAAAACATTTAAAGATGATCAATTAAACGTAATTTACGATAAAGATAATAATTGATATTGAAGGAAAAAAATAATAATAAGCGAGACTAGTTTAAATAAAACATATTATAATAACATCTATGTACACATACCTACTTAATAAGGCGGGAAAACTAAAGTAGATGAGATTTTTATTTTATTTTTTTTAATGTGTTTATTACCTATACAATATTATTATCGTGCCGTTTTTTAGGTATTACCTATAATAAACAACAATAATAGACTCACGGTAAAATCGCACACCCTGCGTACACACTACAATATATGTAATTACATTAAATCTAATATCAACCTACTAACTTCAACTAAAAAAACAATTTTATAACCTTGTTTTGGGCCCGACAGGCTGTCCGAATGTTTTTTTCATCGATACCTATTTTATTTTTTTAGGAACTGAACGAAATCGTCAAGGGTGGATGGGGGTGCAATTGTTGTCGAGGGGGTGGTTTCCTATTCTTAGCTCAGGTTATTCCATGTGTCTGTACTTGTGGGCGGTCATCTGGGAAAGACCCAGCACGGCGTACTGGCAGCTAAGACAATGGTAGTGCGTCTGCTTGCCGGAGTGAACGCATCCGCCGGGTTGGCTGCACGCCTGCGCCGGGGTGAACTTTTCGAAACCGGCAGCCATGATGGAGTCCAGCTTTTGGTGTTGGCGTCTGTGCGCCACCACTTTGTTGGTGTCGGTGCACACGAATTCGCATTTCAGACAGTGGAAGTGAGACGCCTTGTTTTGGCCCGTACCTGAAGAAAAACAACAGCCGTTAAATAAGTAATTGATATATTATTTTCTTCAAAAGTTCCGTCTTGAACTCACTCATGGCCGAAGCGTAAGCACAGTCGGCGCGGCCGCAAGACACGTTGGCCCGGTATTGTTGGAAGTCGCCTCCCATGAGCGTGTCGAGTCTAAAAATAAAGCGAAAAATCAATTATCCCGTTCAATCATATCTTGGGTAGTGTGTGTCCACGGCTTACCTCTCGTGTCGGGCCGTGTGCTGCACGAAACGGGTCTTGTCGCAAAAACTGTAACCGCAGTCCTGGCGCATACAATGGAAATGCGTCTGGTGTTCCCTGTATCCGCAGTGCGTGTAGTGGCAATCCTCGTTGAACCGGAAACGGAGATAACCTTCGGGGACGGGTTCGTCTTTGAGTATGCGCATAGAGTTCTGCACTCTGGCCTTTCTCATCTCGGGGCTCATGTCCCGCGAAGGCGACATGGGCCGGTTGTCGCTGTTGCCGGTCGAGTCCGAACCGCTGCGGTTCAACATGCCGTTGGTAAGCATCGCCACCGGATGGGGGTGCGAGCCGAAGCCGGGCGGGGCGAACATGAGGTCTGCAAATGAGAGACAATAGAAAAACGGTTAAAAAACTAAGACAAATGTACTTATGTAAGTTAGCTCGACTTACTTGTGGGGGCCGAACTGTACATGGCTTGGATGGCGTGTGGCATGAACGGCAATCCCTGAGAAGTCATGAGCGAGGCAAACTGTTGGTTGGCCATTGCTGCGGCCATGGCGGCGCTGAAGCCGGGCGGGTAAGGCGAGTGCTGCGGTAGACAAGCCGGGTTGCCGCCGTCGCCGGTTATGGGCACCATGGTCAGTGCTGGAAAAACAATAGAAATCAAAATGATTAAGTCACTCCAACGTGCTTACAGCAACATAGTTATTAAAAAAAAAACTTACCAGGAGGTTGTCGGACGTTGTCTTCCGGTTCGTCTTCGTCGTCGTTGTTGTTGTTGTTCTCGGTTTTCTGCATGAACGTCGGCATGGCGCCCGGGGTGTGTTTGATAATGTGCGGTTTTAATTTGTCCATCTCCGAGAAAGCCTGTATAGACAGAGAGAAAAAAACATTATAATTAGCTGAATATATTTACATATTTATAAAATATAAATAATTGATATTTTAAAACGTTTTTTTTTTTTAAAAATATTTTAGGCAATTACGTTTTACAGGAAAAAAAACTACTTAATAAAGACGTATGGTTTTAAACGAAATACAAATCTTGAATATTGATTATGATTTATGAGCTTCACGTTGAACGCAAACCACGAATAATTTATTGCATTGCTAGTACGCGATAAGGTGCCTCGTTTTAAATAGCAGTTTTACTTTTAGAAAAAAAAAATGTGACAAATCCCAAGATTTATACATAATTTTATTATTACAATATGTTAATAAGACAGAATTTTTAAATTATAAATTTTAATCGTGTTACTTTACTACTGTTTTGACTTTACAAAAAAAAAAAATAGCCAGTCAGCACTTAAAACGCACACACTATTATTGGCCATAAATTGTTCTAAATGTATTCTATATCTATATAATGTATCAATTGTATTCTAAATTATTCAACCCTTCCAGAAACTGATTGTTTGACATCATCAGTTAACAACGGTGCTAATAATTATGTCAAACAGAAATAAAGAAATCGTGTTTTACATTTTTTTTTTATTACCGTGTGCTGTTTTTGGGCTTTTGCGGTGCAAAAAAAAACCATTTAGAAACAATAGAACGAGTCGCCAAACGTTATAAATGAATTATTAATAGCGTTCCATACATATGATACAATAGCATTACAATGATATTACACATTGATCTGTAGATAGATATTTTATTTCCAAACGTTTAATACTGCGAATCGTAATGTGAATATATTATGTTTAAACGTGGAAACTTGGGTAAAATTAAAAGTATTTTTCTAATAGGATTGCCGTTTGAAAATAATTAAACGGCGGCCGTTGGATCGGCTCATGGGAAAAACCGACACAGGAAATCATTAACCAAAAAAAAAAAAGGGGAAATAGTCGTTTTTAATCGTTTTTTTTTTAGGTTTGCTAAAAAATGAACACCCGGAAAAATAGAAACCGTGTTAAAAAACACACCTCTCTAACAGTGGCCCTTTTTCGGTTTACCGTCGTCGTCAATCATTTAACTCTTTCGTTACGCACGTCAACCGATTGCATATGTTCAAAATAGCGTTTTTTTTTATACACTTATTACTTACATACCGTTTCCCTACACACAGATACACAACAACAGCAAATAATAATAATAATTATTGCAATACTTGTAATGCACCAAAAGGGGTGAACGCGGAAACCGATGACGTTGATGCTGATCGATTATCGATTTTCCAAAAATTGGGTGGGGGGGGGGGGGCGAGAGGGCTACCGGCTGCCAGTTTTTTTTTACATTCTCTCCTTTTGTCATCGCATCATTAATCATTTTTTCGGAAGCGTTTCCGCCGCCGTCGTCGCCGATCGATTAAAACCACTCGTTTCTTTTTAATAATAATAAAAAATTATTATATTTTATTTTTCTCCCTTCTTTTATTTCCTTAAAAACCCGGCATTTTTATTTTTTTTTGCCAGAAAATAGTTTTTTTTTTTTACTATAAATTCTCACGAGATTATATTGTTGTGTTAACGATCAAGTTGTTGATGCGAAATTCAAGACACGTAACCGGATAACCCTCTTCGCTTTCTTTTCGGTATACAAACATTGAGTGTTTTTTTTTTTAAACATCATCAATTTTAATCAGCGACGGGTGTGCGAGGTATAACACTCGAGTTGATTAGAACTCAAAACCGTTTAATGGGTGTCGCCGGTTATGTGGGTATTATTTTTTTTTTTGCCTGTACAACCATTACATATTTTATACTTGGGCGTTTGTTGCCATACCAGCGATTATGTAGTTGAATTTTTGTAAAATTTCAAAAAAAAAATTACAAGTGTCTTAAGATCGAAAAAGGGCAAGTACAATAAATTTGTGCTTGAAAATGAGCGCGAAAACTTGCTTGCCCGGAAAGATGGACCGGAAAGCTTTGGAGCAAGACAAGACGGACGCCAGTCCGGGACCGGCGGCGTACCGGAACGGCACGACTGTTGGCCGCAAGAACCGCATGGCCAACATACCCGTCGGACCGGCGTACACGCTAAGACCGCGACTGCCGCCCAAGGTGGACACCGAGAGTCCGGGGCCCAAGTACAATCTGGAACGGTTAACGTGCCGCGGCCGAGCGCGCGGCCCCGAGTATTCGATGGCCGCCAAGTTGAGAGACCTGGACGGCGCGGAAAGTCCAGGCCCGGCGGCCTACAGACCCAGCCCCCCCGGACAGATCAAACCCAAAATCCTATTGCCTCTAAGAGAGTTGACAGTAAGACGATAATCGCACATGGTATGGTTAGGTTAGGTTAGGTTAGGCTATTATAAGACAGCGTTCAAAAATAAACGTTGGAAATATCACGGTTAGAGAAATTCATCCATTAAGTCCAAGTCTGAAAGCCAGCCAAAATAATTTCCATTCCCTTTTACACAACAACAAAAAAATAGAAGATCGTTTTTTTACGTTTATAATGAATCAAAGTTATTTGTATTGTCAAAGTTAAACTGGCCCCATAAACGATTGTTGGGTCAAATCAAAATAGTATTAACAATATGCTGGTGTTTTTTTTTTAAGGACGAAAACAGACCGGCGCCCAACGTGTACATGTTACCGTCGACTCTATCGCGTAAACCGATCACGCTGGCCAAGAGACTCGAGGAGCAATCCGCCACTCCGGGGCCGGGTCCAGCTGGTTATGGCGCAGTGCCCGTGCACAAGTTCAAAGGAAACGCGCCCAAGTATACTTTGGCTAAGCAATTCGAAGACCCCGTGATTGCCGACGAAATGAACAGCCCGGCGCCAGGTCCCCAGGCTTACCATCCGCCGCTCAAGTACAAGTACGGAAACGCGCCGAAATTTTCATTCGGCGTGCGAAGACCCGACAAGTTTCCGCCCCTCGTGTTGTGCGAGGACGACGCGAGAAAAAAATAAATTTATTGTTTTTTTAAAGTACAAAAAACTCACCTGATTGCAAGCGTTACAATGATAATGTTCTTTTCGCTTGAGCTTGCAGAAAGCGCGACTGCAAGGCTGCTCGGGCCCGTATTTTTCGTGTCTATCCAAACTCATCCATTCGGGTAGCACTTGAATGGTCACCACCGGTTCGATGCTCAAGCTTGGGTCCGTTTTGGGTTTATCTAAATCGGCAATAAAAAAAAAAAATTGTTTTTATCTTCGTTATAAAAAAAAATTGTGCGATTGTCATTCGACGAGAACACACATTACTATAATTGTATTTAAAAAAAAAACAGTGGCGGTTTTGAGGCGAAAATTTAATGAAATAAAATATCTATGTACAAAAATAGCTGCGACCTTAAACCGTCACTACTGTTGAAAAACAGTAGGCGATCGTTATTAATTTATTTTATTACTCGTGTAAGACTAAGGTATATATATATATATTATGTGTGTCGAACAATAGCTACTACCACCAAAAATAAAGCGTGTTTTATTTATATTATAAAAATAGGTAACAAAAGTATACAATAATGTTGTGTTATTAATCTAATAAACCATATCTGCATGACCCACCTGTAAGGGCTGCAGGGTCTGAGAAATTTGGAGAGGAACTCTTAGCGTTCGATAGGCCGCTCATAGGGTAGAAAGTGCCCGAAGCCTTCACCACTTTGAACAAGACAGAAAAAAACAATCAAGACAATAGTAAAAAAAATATATACTGCGCTAAGAGTAATTTATTTACTGGAACAAAATATTTCACTTACCCGTTGTGGAACGTTGGCTGGTGGCCGAGTCAGACGGCGAAGGAGTGGCTTGGGGTCTAGACGGAGACAAGATTTCTTCTTTAATTTGAGTTTCTGTAGAAAAATAAATAATTTATTTTAAAAAAAACGCCTATCGAACATTAGCGGTTTACACGGTTGTCGTACCTAGTTTGTCGGTGATTTGCACACCGGCCGTGGTTTGATGTTGTAACAAGTGTTGAGCCATCTGAGAGTATCTAGTGAACGAAAAACCACATCCCGCTCTAACGCAATGGAAATGCTTGTTGACTGTGTTACTGTAATAATAACAATAACATTAAATAGAGTTAATTAAAGCAGTATTAGGAGAGCTTGTGACTTACTTGACGCATGTCTCCAGTCGGCAGTCCACCGAACTGTCGAAGAACAAGAAGCCTTCCATGATGGTCACGTTGTCGTGGAAGTGCGTGGAGTGAGCTTGGAGCTGCTCTTCGTTGTCGGTGGCAAAAAAGCATCTGGGCCGGCGACAATGATAATGCAACGCTACGCCTTCGCTGGTGTACTTGCAGAGATTGTCCGGACAACCGTAACGGTATTCTTCGAAACAATGCTGTTCCTGCGGACAAAACATACAATATATTATTGATATAGAGTGACACAGTGGCTACTTGAAAAAATCACAATTAGTTCTTACCAGTGTGGTTTGAGTAGGGACGTCGGGCTCTTCGGAAGGCTGTCCGATTTGCGAGGGCTTGGGCAATTTAAAACTAGTGAATATAGCTTGAGGCGAATCGCCGGTAGATCCTCCGGCGTAATCGTTCCACACTTCAATGACACGGTTCTTGGGGGGCCGACCACGCTTTCTTCTGAAAAGAGCGTCCAGAGAGTTATACTGGCCGTACGGGATGTCGTGGCTCTTGATGTGTTCGCCACGTTCTGACGGCAAAACCGCCTCGTAACATCCTTCCTATAATATATGTTTATCCGACGATTTAGTATGCAACACATACAACAATTCTCTTAAAAATAACAACACCCGAACGGAGCCGAGTGAACCTACCAAAACACAATGATAGTGTTGTTCCTTGGTGCACGTGTCTTGGCAATAGGCCGGGCCTCCCGGGTAGAAGCTCTCGTTAATCCTTTCCTGATTATCGTGATTGCGAGCGTGAGTCTCGGCTGCTTCTTGGTTCCTATAGACGGATACACAATTAATAAAATTCCACGAGCGGTCGTTTAGCCGACGTTGTTAACGTTATTGTTTACCTGACTGGCATTTCGCAGTTGGGCTCTTTGCAGTGGAAATGATCGGCGTCGTACAGTACACAAGTCGAACCGCTGATACAAGTATTCGGCTTGAACCTGGTCAGGTATCTCGGCCAGACTTCGACGTCGTCCGGAGACGATCCGTCCGGAGCGGTGGACGAGTTGTCAGTGAAAAATCCTTGTCCTGCCTTCGAAGTGACCCTGGTCAAAGGCAACGGAGACATTGGACCGCCGTCGCTAGAGCTATTGCTATAGCTAGCAGCGTCGCCCGCTTGGGCGGCCAACGCCGAAAGAGATGCCAAAGAGTTGGCTTGCTGATGGAGAAATTGTAGGGAACTACTCGGCGAAATGGACAGCTCGTTCATCTGCAAAAGGGAAGATGGGTGTGAATACTTGCGCATTGCAAAGTTAAATGGCAACTTCTACCACATACCTGATCCGGGTTGCCTGTCATGTTCAGCACGGCTTGTTGGGCCAGTTTGAATTTCCTGTACGCTATTTCGCTGTCTTTGCGCTCGTGTTTTCGTTTGTGACTTAAAAGTTGACCGCTCGAATGCAGCACGTAGTTGCATCCGTCTCGGACGCAATGGATGTGATTGCAGACTTGAGAGAACCGACAGTTGGAGAAACCGCAAGGGTCCGGCTTCATGAATTTCTTGAATCCGTCCCTGGCCAATTGTTCATCTTTGATATGATATGTTTTGTGTTTTTCTGTAAAGTATTACACGCATTTAACATGACCGATATTCACTAATATGTGTTATTTTATAATATATAGAGTATCGTTTATTTACCCATATCGGCTTTATTTTTAAAGGTAAACTGGCAGTGGTCACGCCTGCAGTGGAAATGCGTGGTCCTCTGACCGTAAAAAGCGCAATAAGGGGTACGGCACTCTTCGGTGGCCCTCAGTCTCTGAAACCCTTCCTGTATGATTGCCGAGTCTTTTCTGTGATAGTTTGCGTGCATCTGCACATCAGACGTGCTAATGTACACCTTATCACACGTGCCCTGAATGCAATGGTAGTGGGTTTGCTTGCGATTGTGACTGCATCCCTGATAACGGTCGGAGCAGTCGTCGCTCGGCGAGTACCTCATGAAACCGTGCTGCAAGCTCTCGTCCCTCTTCTTGTGCCACTTGAAGTGTCTGATCATCTCCTCTTTCTTCACAAACACTCTCGAGTTACAATCAAGACAATGGAAGTGCTCTCTGCGTGGACAAGTACAAAACAAACGAAATTACTACTATTGGTACGTTCTTTATTGTGGTCGGATTTTGACAAGTCACTGCCAGTTGTCTGGGCATATCGCTTTACCTGTAGTTCAAATCCCGGCAACGAGCAGACCCGCATTCCTGACAACTGCTGAACCTCCTCACGTAACGAGAATAGTCACCACTTGTGGCGGACGAGCTGGTTCCTCCTCCGGTAGCTGCTCCTTGCAACACCATGGTGACGTTGCTCAGGGCCGACGCTATCGAAGACGGTGTTTGGCTTTGGGTTTCTGGTCTGCCGGTAGTCAACGCCAACGGGCTCAGAGACCGTTTTGATAATCCGTTATCTGCGGTGGCAAAAACAGAAAAAAAATAGCAATACATTATTATTAATGCGTTCGACTTATGTGCAAGTCGCGTCCCGGGCCGGGTGTCGGATTACATCCAGATTCACCGGCGGCAATGCCATGAGAAAAAGGAACGATTTTTTCCAATGTCAAACAGAATCCGTATTTTGCGAAAACCGAAACAATGTAGCTAAACAATACGAGAAGCCACCGGATAGGGTTAAATCATTGTGTTAGCCCGGGTAACCCGAGATGTCCGCCGTGTCACCTATTTTTTTCTTCTTTTTATCCCCAAAAAAATATATTCCCTTCTTCTTTGTATTCCTACGCGCGTGTGTGTGTGGGTAATAACAGTACATATTATAACGTTGCAGAATAGGTTTCTTTTCTTTTCTTTTTTTTTTTGTAAAAAGAGGTGAAAAAAAATACACGGGTAAGGTGGCAGACGTAACCCGATGCTGAGCGAAAGGGGTGACACAACGCGGTGTGCACACACGCAAGGTGAGACCGTGTCACCGCCGCCGGACTGTTTCCCATAATTACGCGTAGACCCACAGTGGGTCCAGGTGCGATAGTGTGTATACATAGGCGGTACAACTGAAATAATAAATCCTTTGGGAGAAAAAGAAATCGCGAGCGCCAACCCTTTCGCCCTTGCAGAAAAAAATAAAAAAAAGGTCACCGTCTATAAAGAATAAATGGAGGAATAAAAAAGAAGCGGAACACAATGAGACATGTGGTGTTTGTAGAAAGAGAAATTTATCAAAAAAGGGAATCGCTGTACACAGCAGTATATAATATATATTTTTTCATTTGTATTATACCGTTGTCGGTCTAGTGTAAGATTATTTTATTTTTTTATTTATTACACATATTTTTAGTGTTCCCAGGACGTTGAAGATTTTACACACATCCGTAGAGAGGCCGCTGGCGTTTGTGGAGACTTATTCGAATGAAATTTGCATATAATTTTCCCGTTCGAAACAACATCAAGGAGACCCCAATGTGAAACAATACACACTTATACACACACCGATGTCCGAAGAGATCGAGCATACAATAAAAAAATAATAATAAATAGATAAAAAAACCGCGTTATTATGTTTGAAAATGCAAGTCATTCATTATCTCTTGTGCGCTACCGCCCTTGACACGAATCGTTTAAGAGTACAACGGCAATAATGTGTACACTTAAGCTGCTGTTAAAAATCCGCTCGAAAAACTCCGCTTAGCCCATACCGGTCTCGTTATGATGGCCCAAGGATATATTTATTACTATTGTACACACTATATTGTCGAGATTCAACTCTGTCTGTCTGTTTTCCACGGCACGTGTGTTCATAATTAAAAAATCTCTTATAGGAAAAATCATATATAATAATATTATTATGTTCTCATTGTTGTTATCGCGCTCTGTCACGACGTTTCGATAGTACACCCCACCCCCTCTTTTCTATGTACAGTGGTTTGTAATAGTCCCCCCCCCCCGTTGTCGCATATTGTGCGTCAAATTGAAAACTTATCAGATTCCGGTTTAAATAAACAGTCCGGCCGTATCAGAGCCAGCAGAGTTTCTGTAAAACAAATTACAAAAGACGACTAAAAAAAAAAAAGAATTGATTGTTAATGAACCAAAAGTATATATATATATATTGTTCTAAATGAAAACTATTGATCTCCCCCGACCAAAAATATAGGTACACAAGTTTATAACGCTTTTTTTTTTTTATTATTTGTTATTACATTATCGAACTTTAAACTTTTTACCCATTGTTCGTTTGTGACATTGTGTTTGAAGAAGAAAAAAAAATAATAAAAAAAGTTTTAAGAAACGGGGGCTCGTAGACGTTTTTACAAAAAACTCAATCGCCATGGTAACCGATTATTGTTGATATTATTGGAAATTCTTTTTCTTCCTTATTTTTTCACCCCCCCCCCCCCACGACTTCTGAACATTGGCCTCCACCCCCGTCCTCCCTTATCCCGTCGCCATTCACGGCAGCACCACGCCGCCGTCATACTTTAAAATTGATTATCCGCCGTATTCGTCTCTTTCCAACTATAAGCGGATTCAATACAAATCGGTTTAGTAGTTCTCGGCGGCGGTATCTATATACCTACATATAATAATATATTATAATACATGTATACATTTTTTTTCCTCTCGAGACGTGAAAAAAAATACCCGAGCAAAATCAGTTTTTTTAGATTTCACACTGAACTCAGTCTCGATCATAGTATTTAAACATTTTCACACGGTAAATGTAATTAATTAAACCTCTGATAGTATATATTGAATATTCATACTTTGGCTAGGTATAGCTAACCTTACCTAGAATTAGTTTAGTTGTTACTAGTTTTCTGTTTTAGAAACAATACCAATACAGCCACCGCCGCCGCCTTTCGACGGGGCGACTGGATATTTTTTTTTCACTCGGCTCTTTTTTTTTTTATTTACTTTTTTAACTGTTACACCGCTGAATATTTCGCGAAGCATTCATCCCGTGGGTGTGTAGTGAAAATTACCACCGACGCGCAAATCCATTTAGTATCGGTGTCACCTGCGATAAACATACAGCCGGCCATAATTCATCGGATACGCGTTTGAAAGGGACGGTTTTTTGACAAAATACATTAAAAAAAAACTAACACTAATAAATGCACGGGTTTCGCCGCAGCGACTTCGGCTGGAGCGGATTTTACGGGTTCAACACGGTTTTTATTTTCTCAGTTTCTTTTTTTTTTTATACAGAAAATTCAAAAACGATGATGAAAAGAAGACACGCGATAATGGTATTTGAATTATTATTATTACTATTACTATTGTACACCACCGCCAGCGACGACGCCGACGTGTCTTTAAAAAGACACATATGAGGTCATGACGAAGCATAAACCGAAACGCTTAGTACACAGAGGTGTACACACGGGCAATGGGGATTTAGCGGGTAAAAAAAACCCAACGGGCATAGGTATTTTCTTTAACCAGTAGTATTATATTGTTGTTATTATTATTATACACACATAATGTTGCTTACTGCTGCTGCAGTATTGTAACAACCCGTTAAAAAACGATATAGGTAAGACATGACATCCTTGCGCGCGAGTCTACAACAACCCCGCGGTGTAAACCTTTACTACCGGGTTACTTCCAATTGGTTTTCATACTTAGAAAGTATAGATCCAATGAAAAAGATATACATTTACATTTGCCATCTTGGAATGTACGCCGCTATAATATTGTCCACATGATGATTAATGAACACAGCCAGAGTCGGTTGTATTCGAGACACAAAAATCAACAACGACCGGGAAATAAAAATGTACAACAATACTGATGTTTTTTCGGCCATTAACGCGCGTCACATCTTTGGCCGGAAAACGGTGTTTTTTTAGAATTCGGATATTTTCTGTGTGTGTGTGTACCTTCACGCCCGATGTCGGCTTGTGGTTTTATGTCTGTCACGGTCCATAGGCCTCGGCGATTAAGCAAAAATAACGGCTAAAAAAAATAACCACCACCAGAGAAATACCACCGTCTGAATATTATTATGGTTGTGCAATAACCGTGGCGTCGCGTGATCTGAATCCGTGTACCTTTCTTATATAGTTTTACCGCTGCGACATTATTGTGTACAATACAAAATACACAATATATTAACACCGGTATTTCATTTCGCAATTAAATATCGTTGTTTACAATTCATTCGAACCCAAATAGTTGTAAAAAAAAAACAGATTCTGATCCGTTCAACAATACTATAATAACGTACACTGTGATAGTGCAAGATTGGCAAGATTTGTGTGTGTTTACAGTTGATATTTAAAACATGTTTCGAACAAAACAAATAGTAAGGTTTTTGATTAGGATTATTTACAACGTTCAAACATGGCAACAGCAGTAACAATAATTGGATAATATAATATATAAATGAACTTTAGGATAACAATACAATATGTATAATAGATAAACCCTGTGCACGTATCTATATAATATGATTTATTATATTATGTAGTTTACGAACGCGGATACATTAAATATAAGTATAGTGTTTTCACACTACACTGGTAACCGGATTTTGTCATACATGTGTAGGTAGGTACGGTTTGACCCCTTTTGCGGAAATGCTGCACGACTACCCCTAAAGCGCAAAAATTTTAATCCCGTATCCGATTTCTGTTTACGTAACGGGCTGAGTAGGTACACCATTTTGTGCATTGTAACAATTTTTTAATTTCTCTCATCGACAAAACGGTCGCGTCCTTAATCCTTTCCTTGGAAAAATAGGGTTCCCCCGATACACATCCATGGGGAAACGCGGAAAGAGGGACCGGTTTTTATTATTATTATATAGATTTAGTTTTATTTTTTTTTTTTTTGTTCATTTCGACCTTTTTATACAAAACGACCCTCTGCCGTCGATATGGTTAAATAATACAAAAAAAAAAATAAAAATCACTCTTCATAATACTTGTATAACCCTTTTTTTCGTACACATATAGGGAAAGGAACGGCCGTGTGTGCTGGCTGTGAAGGGGCTGTTGTAGAACACCTGGACTCGTTGGACCGCCAGTGAACTTTCCCCCTATAAACATTCTTTGCTGTGTACTCCCACACAGGCGCAGAAATTATTATTACAGTACACATCCGCAACAGTGCTGGAAACTGTTTGAAAATAACCGATTTGAGGTTAAAAAAAACCGTCCGACCGAATCGGTAGGTTTTTTTATTTTTTATAATTGTTCGTTTAGCAATTAAAAAAACAAATATCGAATTATATTTTCTTGTCTTCATAAAAAAAAGGTGTGAAAGGTTACACGTCTCGGTAGAAATGGGCTTGCACATGCTAATATATGTGTGTGTGTGTGTGTGTGTGTGTGTACGCAGTTCGCTTACTAACCGTGACATTTTCTGCGCGAGCGTTGTTATAAATTATTAATAAGCAATAAACGTTCGCAATATAACAGTGTACATATATTATATTATATTATAATTCCAC